AGGAGAAAAATATATATCTATCCCGAGCTGGAGCTTTTTTTTTTATTTATAATTTAAATTAACGCTTTCACTTGCTTTTAACGTGTAAAAAATTAAATGCATATAAAGTATAACTACTATGGATAGTAGTTATACTTTATATGCATTTAATTTTTTACACGTTAAAAGCAAGTGAAAACGTTAATTTAAATTATAAATAAAAAAAATAAAATATTGCTTTATTAAAAATATAGATGTTTGTAAACAAAAATTCCTAGGTGGAAATGGAATGTAAACAACCAAGAATGACATTTTCTACGTTACAATACAAAAACATTGTTACATTGTAACGTTCACAATTCGATTTTATGAAGGGTGAGGAGGGTGTTTGCTACAAGACTTGCAATCTTGGATATCGATCATCCCTTTCTGTAATAAACGAAGGCCGCCTTTGTACCGGTCTCCGGAGTTACACGAGTATTACGGCTTGACGATGATTCTAAACTTTCTCCATTAAAAACTCAGTTTAAAGATCGAAGCACTGAAGTACTTATGATGCTTTGATATAAGGGACAGTCATTTAAGCGATTTGTTTTTGTTGTTATTCATTTTTATTTTAAAAAATATTCAAGAGAGAAAGACGATTATTGGCTAAGAAAAAAAATCTTTATAGGCCGGCAGATAAACGCATAAACCGCTGAAATAGACCATTTCGTGATAGCTTAACTGTTTCTTCGCACGAAACCACGTCAGACGCTTAATTTGACTCGTTAAGCTAGAATTATTGATTAAACCATCGTTTTCAATGTTTTCTTCAAACCTTGTAATAATTCCCTTCGTACGGGTCTCTTTTTTAAACACGCCTTGTGTTTGTAGAGGGATGATTCATATTTCGTCACATACGAAAACCATTTTCAACTTCACGGTAGAAAAAAAGCCACAGAAATTATAATGGGTTTAATACATACGAAAATGCAAATATGCCGCGGTGAAAATGCAAATCCAGAAGAAAGGTCCCCCTTCGCCATTCCTCCATTATTGAAAATCAAATTATGTAGATTATAAACTGAGATAGTATTTCCTGCTCTCTCTGGACCTTTTCTTTGTCCTATTTATTAAAAACTGGCCTCCTTACCGGCTAAGAAAATCTTTATATTTTGAAATAAAGTTTGGTAAAGAACAAATGGAAAACACTTGGGATATAGTCCCCTTATGTTTTGACAAATCATTCTTCCCTAAATCAAGAACGTTTCCTAGATAGTATCTAGTAATAAGCCAGATGTAGTCAAAGTCAAACAGTCAAGCATTTTCCATAAATCTGCTACATTAATTTTATTATGGCACTCTCAACTCGAGACAAGAATGACACATCTGCAAGGAAAACAAACACTTTGAGCCCTGAAGATGATCTCAATAAAGATCGAAACGTTGGCATGATAAAGAAAATGTTTTTCTAAAACCTACGTCTCACCAGACTGCACCTTACGATCTCTAAATAATCTTAATTTTATTATTGTATAATTTATTGCGTAATTCCTGCCTTACAGGAAGACTTAACGTTGAGTGTCGCGGAGGAGTGGTCAAAATCACTTACACAGTTTTTTCCAAACTAATATTAAGTAAATTATAAATTTAAAAAACAGGGATTCGAACCCAGAAATACTATCGTGGCAAATACCGAGCCCTGACCAACTGATCACCACAATGATCGGAAGATCGGAAAAGGCCAAAATTACAGGTTCATCGAACTCTAGGTTTTGGTTTGTCAGACGCGTGCAGGCTTCAAGTCATCTTCAGTGGTGGATCTGGCGAATAACGAGGAAATGGATAACAAATGAACGGAAACGATCGAATACATGTACATCACCAAGCAGCGGTCAAGAGGGAATCTCAAACCGTGTAGTCAAAAATTATTTGGAGATCGTGAGATGTGGTTTTAGAAAAACAGTTTCTTTATCGTGCCAACGTTTCGATCTTTATTGAGATCATCTTCAGGGCTCAAAGCGTTTGTTTTCTGTGTATATGTGTCATTCTTGTGTGTCGTGTTGAGAGTGCTGTCCTGTAGTCAAATATACTTTCCTAAAGGTAGATTGGGGATGAGGCCATCCCTCATCTCCAATCTACCTTTAGGAAAGTATATTTAAACTGAGAAGGCTGATCAAACACCTGTAGTCAAAGTTCATCATTTTGATATACTTGCACTCACTTACGTGTACTTATACGCAAGAAGGGTTTCGGTCTCTCTTTTTTTTCCTTTTTTTACCTACCTAACCTTTCTGTTTTGGTAGAACGTTTCAACCCCTCACCATCTTTTGTGGTGGTTCAGACGGGCAAAAAACAACGAGGATTAAAATTGGGATTTGCCTATCCTTTCTGTTTTGGTCTATCAGATGTGTTTCGGCTTCTTTCCGTCTTCAGTTTGTAATAATAATTTTGTTTAAAAATGGAGGCTGAGGGGCGTCTGACTGTCCAATACGGCAAGGGTAGTCAGACCAAAAATGATCTGGAACCACAGTCTGTGAATTTGTTGAGTGTGCCGAAGTAACAGTCCATTAATGCCATCCAAATTAAATTTGAAAATACAAAAACATATGCAAGCTAAAACATGTCAACTTCACTAATTATGATAAGACTTAATTTCCTATTATAAGAATTTCACTTTTTCTTTTTTTAGTAGGAACTAAAAGTCGTACTTTTGCTTTATTAGATCTTCAATAAAATTGGCAACAACCAATGTGTAGAATCTATTTTCAGTCTACGAAGATTTCAGAAAGTTTTTACATACATATGCCGGTGAAATTCCTACTCCTGTTTCACGAATCTCGTGTAATTTATGGCAGCTATTATGAACGCAAGGTTTATTTCAAAAATGAGCTTTCCGTTGTTTTTAAATTAGTTGGAAAGTCATTTAGTGGAAGTCTAGCAATGATAATGAACGAATGAGTGGGAATTTTTGGCACTGAGTTGACCGGAGTTGCATGTTTAAAAAAGGTTCAGTTGAATAAATATGTTTTTATGGTTTTATGAAAGAGGGGAAATTAAAGTAATATCCTATTATTTATTTTATTTATATACCAGCTCCAGTATAATTCAACTCTGACACTCGTATTTCATATTTCAAACTATATGTATTTTTATATATTAATAAAAACATACTTATTTTAATTGTAAACCAAATTAACCGAGGTCAGAAATTCATGACTTTTAATAAAAATTATTTAATTATGATGATTTAAAAAAATTCTCTGATAGTCTAAAATTTAATTAATAATTTATTACCTAATCTTGCTTTTATAAACACGAATTACCTCCCTACATCCTCCAAGTAATTGGTCACAAAATCGAGCTAGATGCGGTCGAGCATTACCATGCATAACACGAAGTTGTCTTCAAAAAATGGAGCGAATAGGACCATAGTTTCCAGAAGAAATTTCTCGATGTACCTCAGTGCAGGCAAATATCATTCTGCATGATAATTAGTCCGGTAAGGGCATGGACGTTGATTCCATCCCATACCATAACTGACTGCTGAAATTGAAAATGACACGAACCAAAGCACCAAGTCTTCTCCACACACGATCCCGGTTCCCAAAAACGAAACTGCCACTCAACTGAGAAGAGCCCAACATTGTTCAAATGTCCAAGCGAGATTTGCGAATAGTCACCTTTCTACTCGATGCCTTTTCAGTGGTAGAGAATCTGATGCGGGACGTCTAGAGCTGATGTCTGGTGACTGTTTTAGAGCTCACCACCATTTGGAGTGAAGTGAGTGGAGCTCACCACCTATCAAGGAATAAAATGATCGTCTCTAACCGACGTAAATCGTGGTCGACCATTACCTTATCTTCGATCAAGCCTTCTGGAGGCCCTAAACCGCTGTAGATCATCGTGAACGGTAGAGCTCGGCATACTCAGGACTTGTGCAATGTAACGGACGCAACGTCTGCTGGCTAAGGCTACTACCCGAGCGAAATCTTTTCGGCTTAAAACCCTGCTTGTAAGAAAAAATGATAATTTTTTACTCAAATTTAATTTTTTATCAAAGAAAACAGTTTCTGAATTTGTATGTGTTAATGTGCTGTTATTATATTTATAAATATAGCGAAAAATTTAATTAATTAGCCTTAATAACTACACAGTTTTTCCAGAAATGAAGGTAATTCTGAAAATTACCACTGAGAATCAAAATGTTAAAGAGGTGAGAGCAAAGAAAACCTTTTCTTGTTTCTTCCTCGTACCCTGCATCGTTTCTACCCTCATCAATGCAGTCAGAAGGTTTCATGAAAAACCAATTTTCTTCGCGTGCGCGCGCGCACACACATACACACACAAAACGCCTTGTACCTTATTCTTCCCATACTTACTGAAATAAAGGCCTAATACAAATAATTACAGTGGCGCCAGGAATTAACTGTTAAAAGCGGAAAAGTTCTATCGTCGATTCCCATCACGTTTCCATAATTAAAGTCATCTTGAAATTTAAATTGTCTATTTTTTTTATGTGGTCTGCCTGAGCGACACCTAGCAAGGACAGTCAGTTGAAAATGATCTTTAATGATATTTAAGATCAGTGTTTATCTTTGGTTCAATTAATTGTATAATCAGTTTTTCCAAAGCAAGGGTGGAAAATCTGTATGTCAATTTTTTTCTTTCTGCGAAGGTTCGCAACAGGGGATATCAACCGTATACAAATCCTCAGGGTGCCCATCTTTAAAAACAAAAATTTGTAAGTATGTCGAGTTCAAATTCAGGCTCGCTGGATTCGAACCCGGGACCGTAACCTTAGTGATGAAGGGCGTGTCAAAACCTAAACAGTTGCGGCCAGAAGCCCCCCCCCCAAGTGTGTCAAATGTGTATATATTTATGAATTTACAAACTTTTTTTTAACTCGATAGTTTTATTGATAGTCTTTTCTTATTTACGGTCAGTTTTAACTTAATTCCTTGAAACATGACGTCATTGATATATCGAGGTCCCATGTGCACACTATCTAATCATAAATATGAAAGGTTACACTAGGTTTCTTTGTTTTGAATTTTATCTCTTGCCGGATTATCCGCCGGTTTATTTCTTTAAAAATAAAAACTATATATTTAAATTAAATGTGATCCACCCACGGAGAAAACATGTCTTTTTTGGTTTTAAAACTAAACCAAAAGACTTATTCAGCCCGGCAATTTTTATTCAAAAGAGGTAGATAATGCCTAATTTTGTAGTTTTCTTTCATTGGCTTGATTATTATTATTATTAACATCTTTCAATAAAATAACATATTCAGCAACATAATGATGAATAAAGTTTGCACGGTGATAAACCTGTAGTTTGGTCGTTACTCATCATTTTGGTCTGTCAAACTCATTCGCCATCCATCATCTCTCCTTAAAACAATCATTAAAGTTAAGATAAAATAACACAAACCTACCACTGAAGACGCCGAGAAGCTGAAACATGCCTTACATACCAAAACTGATTGATGATGACAACAAATTGATGAGAAATGACCAAACTATAAATTGATTTTTAATAAGATCACAATTTATTTCTGCTTCAGAACTATCGTCATTTCCAAAATCGTATACTAAGGATATCGAGAAGAATGTCTACGAGGAGTGGGAAAGCTCGGGAGCTTTTCAGCCGAAAGCGTCAAACGATGGAAATTTCTCCATGATTTTACCACCTCCCAATGTCACAGGAACCCTTCACATCGGACATGCTCTCACTATTTCCATTCAAGATGCAGTTGCCAGGCAGTAAGAACTAATCTTATCAATTAAAGATTAAAAATCTCTTTAAAATAGAAATATAGATTGTTATAGTTAAAGTGCATCTTTTTTTAAATCAGTTGTCAAATTCAAATTGAAAGTCTTGCCGTACAGTTAGTTTTCAATTTCAGCCAAAGAATGCTTGGGAAAAAGGTTTTATGGGTGCCAGGCACTGACCATGCCGGTATTGCAACTCAGGCTGTAGTCGACCGAGAAATTCAGCATAAATTAAAGCAAACTTCAAATGAAATCGGCCGTGAGAAATTTCTACAATGCGTGTGGGACTGGAAAAACAGCAAAAGCGTAAGGATTAATGAACAAATGAGAAAACTTGGCGCATCATTAGATTGGTCGAAAGAAATATTCACTCTGGACGAGGTAGCGAAAAATTTGTCAAGAATTTTGCCATTAAGTATACTTTTTAAAAATACATTTTTCAGTTGCAAAGTAATTCTGTCATGGAAGCTCTTATTAAACTTTGGGATAAAGGTTTAATATATAGAGACGAAACAATTTTAAACTGGTCGTGCGCTCTTAAAACGACAATATCTGACATAGAAGTAGAGCATGTTTTAATTGACGGGCCCACAAAAATATCAGTTCAAGGGTTCGACGAGCCAGTCGTGTTTGGACAAATAATTGATTTTTCATATAAAATCCAGGATTCGAGTATGTCGGTTATTTTCCAAATTTGTACCATTTTGACCGGGTCGTTTATTTCAGATGAAGAAATCGTCGTATCTACGACAAGAGTTGAGACCATGCTTGGCGATGTAGCTGTAGCGGTACATCCTGATGATGAACGTTATATTAATTTTATTGGGAAAAATGTCATCCACCCTTTTAACGGATGTGTTTTACCTATAATATCGGATGATACTGTTGATCCAAAATTTGGAACAGGTCATTAAACAATTCAATTCCTTTATTAATTGAGTCTCCATTTAGGCCATTTTCTCCTATGAACTAATTGACTTTTTTTTTTAACTTTTGTCATATAGGTGCTGTTAAAATAACCCCAGCGCATGATCCAAGAGACTTTTTAATAGCAAAAAGGCATAATTTGCCAATTAAAACTGTTATCAATGAAAATGGCTATCTTTCTGATAAATGTTTTGACTTTTCAGTAAGTAATATTCAATTCAAATATTCACTACAAATGTTTTTTTTTGTTTTTTTAATTTAAAGTTTAATTTTTAGGGTATTCATAGATTCCATGCTCGACAAACACTGATTAAAGCACTAGAAGAGAAAGGGTTGCTGAGATCTATCAAACCTCACAGTTTTCAACTTCCAATTTGTTCTAGATCAAAAGATGTGATTGAATTTATTATTAAACCACAATGGTAAAATTATACTAAACATTTACCATATTTTAATTTTAAAATTGAAATAGAAAATATATTGTCATTGAAAGGTTTATTAAATGTCACGACATGGCAGCCAGAGCAGCAGACGCCGTCAGAACTGGTCAATTGACCATCACACCTGACAAATATAACAAAAACTGGTTTAATTGGTTAGATGGAATAAAGCAAGTAATTTTATCATTAATTAACCCAAATAATTTGTAATTTTTTTAATACGAAAATTTTAGAGATTGGTGTATTTCAAGACAGCTATGGTGGGGGCATCAGTTGCCTTTTTACCACTGTGGAAATGGGCAAAATGACTTATGGGTAGCAGCTCGGGATGAGAATAAAGCGTTGAATATTGCCCAAAATTCTTTAGAAGGAGAAATCACCATAAAAAGAGATTCTGATGTACTCGATACTTGGTTTTCTTCAGCACTTCTGCCTTTTTCAAGTTTAGGATGGATAAAAAATGTATATTCGTATATCACTTCATGTGTTCTTTTAAAATAATTACTTAATTTTTCAGGATAATAACTTCAACGAGTTTTATCCGTTAAATACTATGATAACTGGACATGACATTCTGTTTTTCTGGGTCGCAAGGATGACAATGCTCGGATTAGAGCTTACGGACAAACTTCCCTTTAAAGTATGTTGTAATTTTTAAACGTTCTAGCATAGCTTTCAATTATGAAACTTTACATGTGTCTAAAATTAAATAGTAAAATATCAGGTTGTAAAATAAATTCATAGTGTTTTTTAATAATTTGATTTTATCTGTCTGTTTTGAAGTTTATTTTGCCATTTTTATATAAACACTGAAAATGAATTAAAGGTGTTTTTATTCGTCAATTTTGTCCAAGACCTCGTATTTTTACAAGGTATTTTGCTAATTTAAAATGGGAGAAAAAACTAGCACATTTTTATCATTTAATGGGTTTTATTACTGCAAAGGGAAAACCACAACTCAAAATGCTAGGAAAATTTGTGGTGTATGGTGATGATGCATTAGGAGAAAGCTCAGTCTGTAAGTGGCTTCTGAAGTGAAAATTTTGATTTGGAAGGAGCAAAGCGCACTGAAAATTGCACTTCGTCAAGTGAATGAATGAATGAAATGTAACGCATTACTATTATTGTTTTGTTGTTGCAGTTCTTTGCCCCGCTTTTGTTAGGTGCGCGGTAAATCTGGGAAATTTTATTTGCTCAGGCGGTTTTATTTAACTCAAAAGAAGTCAAGGTCCTGGTTGAGATGAAAAAGTTGGTGTCTTAAGATTAACTGGTCTTACTGTCTACTAAGACTGCAGATAGGTTTGGTGCATCTGTCATCACTGATAACCCTATGACAAACGCATTGGCTTAGTAATATTTAACGTACATCCGTTGTTAATTAGGTTTATTAGGTTAAGTAGCTGAATACTGAAAGTTTAAGTTGTTCGGCCTTCTCCAGTATTATAATGTATTTTTTTTTTTATGTAAGGTCTTTGTTGATATGAAAGATGTCACATGCGGGATTCGAACCCACGACCTTCGGCTCAATACGCCACTGCTCTAAACACTTGAACTAATGTAACTTCAATCCTCTCGGACACCAACTCAACATCTCAACCTACAGCCTTTCCAATTTTCCCTCTTTGTTGCCATTTTTAGACTACTAAATGAATTGGAAAGGAAGTTAATTATTAAGGACAATTTTGAAGGAAAGAGAAATATAACATTAAGGTTTAATAATTTACTTGTTTTATGATGTTGGCTGAGTTTGCATGTATCTGTTCTGTAATTAATTTTGTTTTCGTGTCTCTAATGTAAACCATTTCTAAAAAGTTGCGTTTGTATTTGTTTTTTCCATGTTTAGTATTTGTATTTTGTAGAAATCAAAGTCGTCTTATTTTTCCGTTCTTTTTCTCTTCGTCCCAGTAGTGCCGTACTCCCTTATCCGAATCGTGTCTTGCATCCTGAGACCTTTAACTTAGCCACGTCCCAATTCGGTTGCGGCCAAGCGCTGCCTGGATTCAAGCAAGAACCACTAGTGTGGCAAAACAAGACAGATGCTCTAACCACTCAGCTCCTAAGAAAATAATGTGGAGATATATATAATATATAAGTATATAAGTATAATATGTAAGTATATAATAATACTTAAGGACTGCAGAGAACATCGAGTAGTTCCTTACTCAAAAGACAGAATTACAAAATTACATATACACAGACAACAGGTAGAGGTTTATAAAAAATGGTTTATAAAATATTTATAAAATGGTTTATATTTTGTTGATTAAATATTTTACCTGCAATTTTCATTGAATTTACCATTAAAAACACTATGGACTTATTTTACAACCACCAACAAAACAGTTGACAATTGTTCAATTTCACTAGTTTCGTGGTCCGCTTGACCAATTAATATCATACAATTAATTAAGGTTTTTAGTTGAGATAAAAAAGTCAATGGCACAAGCGGGATTCGAACCCACGATCTTCGGCTTGATACGCCGCTGCTCTACCACTTGAGCTATCGTGACCTCGATCCACTTGGACACCAACCTCCCATCTCAACCACAACCTTTAGAATTTTCCCTCCTTTTTGCCATTTTTCAAGCCGAAGATCATGGGTTCGAATCCCGCTCGTGCCATTGACTTTTTTATCTCAACTAAAAACTTTAATTAATTGTATTGTTCAATTTTTTTCGTTTTTTTAATTTTCAGCATGTGTTTCTGCATTCAGTCGTTTGTGATTCTCAAGGTAGAAAAATGTCGAAAAGCTTAGGCAACGTAGTTGATCCTATCGATATTGTCGACGGCTGTACTCAAAAGGTATTTTTTTCTCTCTTTAAAAATTAATAGAAAAAAATAATTAATTAATTAGTTTTTGGTGTAAAATCAGAAATTACTAGACCAAGTAAGTGAAAGTAATTCAAAAGGGCTGATAAGTCGAGAAGAAATGAATAAGGCTCAACAATTTTTGAAAAATCAATTCCCACAAGGTATTCCGGACTGTGGTGCAGATGCTTTAAGGTTTACCCTCCTCTCTCAAAATCTTAAAAGTATGCTATTTAAATAATTGTACAACTATAACTATTTTTATACATTTCAATTATTTATTCTTTTTATGTAAAGTCTTGGTCGAGATGAAAAAATTAATGTCATGAGCAGGATTCGAACCCACGTCCTTCGGCGCAACCACAAAAGTTAGTGTCACGATAGGTCAAGTGGTTAGAGCAGCAGTATTGAGCCGAAGATCATGGGTTCGAATCCCACTCATGACACTAACGTTTTCATCTCAACCAAGACCTTACAGAAAAAGAATAATTCATTGAAATAAATAATGTTGACCACTAAAACATAAATGGATTTTTATTTATGTCCATTTTTATAGACGTATACATCAACTTTAACGTTAATGATTGCCATGGGAATAAACTATTCTGCAATAAAATCTGGAATGCGACAAGATTCGCTGTACAATCTGCTGAGCAATTTAAAATCACAAGTATAAATTTACCAGTCGAGATGAACGAAATGGATAAATGGATACTTAGTCGACTATCAAAGGCTATTAGAATTATTAAAATTTCTTTTCAGAATCACGATTTTCATGCAATTACAACTGCGCTAAGATCATTTTTGTACGGAGATTTATGTGATTTGTACATAGTAAGTATATATTGCCGTTTTGTTTTGTTTTTTGTTATAAAAATTCATTTATTTGTACTACAGGAAAGTATGAAGCCTCTACTAAATACTGATTCTGGCAAAAATTCTTCTTCAGTTTTACTTTTTACCTTGGAGAACGCCTTAAGATGTCTGTCGCCTTTGATGCCATTCATTTCTGAAACACTTTACAGAAAGCTACCAAGTAAAATGAACGACTCTGTAATGTTTCAGAAATTCCCCGATGAAATTGAGGTTTTATTTTCAGATTTTTTACCGATTACCGAATTACTTTTAAGTTGATGTCATCTTTTTCATTTGTTTTAGATGGTTAATGAAAATATAGAAGACAAAATTAATTTACTTAAACAAATCTTGTACGTCATCAGAAGTTTAAAGACAAAAAATGGAATTAATTATAAAACTACAAGTATATATTTATTTCACTTTTTTTTATTCTGTGATATTAAGGTTTCTTCTTTTTCTAGCTTATATTAAAACATGCCATAAAAATTCACTAGAAACTCTTAAGTACGTGATTGAACCTTTAACAAAATCTGACATTAAATTTGTGAATGATAAACCACATCCTTCACTCAAATACCTAGACGATAATGTTAATTTCGATACAGATATTTACGTCGTATTGGACCAAGTAAGCCATAGCCATAAATCATAGGAAGAAATCATTTCTGTCATTATTTCTTGCCTTTTTCAAGGGTTTACCCGATAAGAAAAAAACCGACGTTGATATTCTTGTCAAGAAGAAAAAGAAAATCGAATTGGATTTGAACAAATTGCTGAAGATAACTTCTTCAGATGGTTACGCGCTCAAAGCCCCTGACAAGGTTAAACAGGATCACAAATTAAAGGTAATTTATAATTAAATAACATGTTCATAAAAAAAATGGTAACAAGATTTATTGCAGATCATGAAATTAAAAAAAGAATTAGAACAACTTGATGGACACGAGATATGATAATTTAATTGAAAATTATTTGTACATATTGTAAATTATATTTTTATTATAGATAAATAAATCTACTTTTTTTTTTTTTTTTTTTTTTTTTAACTACCATGAAGTAGAGAGGTGAAACACAGTCTGATATCCTTGCTCATCTATTGTCGGGCGAAAAAAATTAAAACACGGATTAACGACCAACTTACAAGTGCTCTGATTTGTAAAAGATCTTCCCAAGGTACGACAAAAATTTTTATCAAATTTTTTTTAATCAAAAAATCATTAAAAAAATTCTAACAAGTCAAATCATAACGTGGTGTTTCATAGTAACATCATCAAAGGCCTAGTACACAGGAAGCATTTTCTAATGCACGTTAGTGAAATACTGAAGGTCAAAATAGAGCGTATACATGGTAACAAGCATTTAATATCAAGTGCAAAAAATCATCAATTAACTGACATTCTAAAATAATGGAAAAATTTGTTGTTCATAATCACGTAATTATGGGTAGACAGTAACGAACATATATATAGAACGTACATATTTTTCATTGTAAAATTGCGCTTGTCCAAACATTTCGTGTTCACCACAAGCACCTGTTTATGCAGGATTTAACTATTGTGTTCTAAGCCAAAGCAATTTGATTTGAAAAATACCCCCGACACTACAAGTTTTGAAACAATGGTTTTCTAAAGAGGTGCGTCATTATGAAATATTTGGATATGGATAGCATTTAGTGCGTCGTCCCAGAATGACACCCATAAAGAATGTATTAAGCAGCATAAACCAAGGGCAGGTTGAGATTCTGACATCTGGGAGAGAAAAAGCCAAGGCCTGAGCCTTTAGGATTACACGCAGAAGCTTTAAAAAGCTTTAGGATCTGGTAAAAATGATATTAAAATATAATACTTATTGTATAATAGACCAATATTGGTCGAAGTAAAGGTCGTAGAGACAGGACAGGTAACTATGAACATAACTCATTAAGAAAAATCAAACAAAACTATCAGAGGATATTGATAAAATCCTATCGTCATTCATGTTAGGTATGAGTTATGGTGATATTCAAAAACATGTCGCAGAATTATACAGGCTGGAAATATCAAATGAAGCAATAACTAATATGGCAACCGACCAGCATAAATTAAAGCAAACTTCAAATGAAATCGGCCGTGAGAAATTTCTACAATGCGTGTGGGACTGGAAAAACAGCAAAAGTGTAAGGATTAATGAACAAATGAGAAAACTTGGCGCATCGTTAGATTGGTCGAAAGAAATATTCACTCTGGACGAGGTAGCAAAAAATTCGTCAATAATTTTGCCGTTAAGTATACTTTTTAAAAATACATTTTTCAGTTGCAAAGTAATTCTGTCATGGAAGCTCTTATTAAACTTTGGGATAAAGGTTTAATATATAGAGACGAAACAATTTTAAACTGGTCGTGCGCTCTTAAAACGACAATATCTGATATAGAAGTAGAGCATGTTTTAATTGACGGGTTGGTTCGATGAGCCAGTCGTGTTTGGACAAATCATTGATTTTTCATATAAAATCGATTCGAGTATGTCAGTTATTTTCCAAATTTGAACCATTTTGACCGGGTCGTTTATTTCAGATGAAGAAATCGTTGTATCTACAACAAGGGTTGAGACCATGCTTGGCGATGTAGCTGTAGCGGTACATCCTGATGATGAACGTTATATTAATTTTATTGGGAAAAATGTCATCCACCCTTTTAACGGATGTGTTTTACCTATAATATCGGATGATACTGTTGATCCAAAATTTGGAACAGGTCATTAAACAATTCAATTCCTTTATTAATTGAGTCTCCATTTAGGCCATATTCTCCTATGAACTAATTGACTTTTTTTTTTTTTTTAACTTTTGTCATATAGGTGGTGTTAAAATAACCCCAGCGCATGATCCAAGAGACTTTTTAATAGCAAAAAGGCATAATTTGCCAACTAAAACTGTTATCAATGAAAATGGCTATCTTTCTGATAAATGTTTTGACTTTTCAGTAAGTAATATTCAATTCAAATATTCACTACAATTTTTTTTTTTTTTTAATTGAAAGTTTAATTTTTAGGGTATTCATAGATTCCATGCTCGACAAACACTGATTAAAGTACTAGAAGAGAAAGGGTTGCTGAGATCTATCAAACCTCACAGTTTTCAACTTCCAATTTGGCAACCGACCAGCAGCCTTATGCGGAGCATATGCTAAATGTAATGGTTGAAATCAGTGATTATCAAAATTTATCAGCAGCAGGAAATTATGTTCAGCGACCATCTTCGCCGCCGGTGACTAAATTTGAAAAGCATGGCCAACAGTTAGGTCATGGTATTAAAATTAAATTAAATTTGAGAGGATAAATTATGTCCAAGCAACGTAGCCTTCATTTACATAAAAAACTATAAATTTCAAGAGGTTGGTTTCTCTGTAAAATGATTTTTTGCGGGTACAAAAAATCCGATAAAGTATTGCATTTCTTCGCTAAAACGTTTAGAAAGTGTTTTTTCAAGGCATGTTTTTGCTAATTTAAACTCAGTTAAGAGCAGATAATTCTTCTAAATTTTTTTCAATAGGCATAGAGTGCATCAGCTTGTTTAACACCCGTCCTTGCTTGGTATGACATTCATCATCTAAAATCGGCTGAAAATCTTTTTCCTAAAAACTCCTTTTACCTGGACCTCAAATATTGGAATTCAGTCCTTGGGAAACATCATTCGGCGTAATTAACAACTAGATATTTTTGAAAAACAGTTTAATTTGAAAGCTTGATGTTTAACAAACTCAAATATGTAACTTGAGCTTTTTGACAGCTAACTGATTTATACAATAATACGTTCAATAACATTGCAGTTTACTTCAAAGAAATAGTTCAGATAGGAAAGTCATGTGAAACAAACATGTCTTTTAAAAACACCCATATTAATAGTTGTAAAAGATTAAATAAAACAAAGTCTAATATTTAAAGATAATTTTATTGCCCTACTCTGTCTACAATAAACTACAGTGCACATGCTTAAAAAAACAACTGTTTTTTTTTTCCTTTTTTTGGTTTTTATAATCTAAAAATAATATATGGGTAAGAATGAAAAATATTACATCTCTGATTTAGTTATAAAGTTATAAACTAAAAAGCTTACAATACGCTTTTTTTTTTTTTTTTAATTCAATAATATACAGAAATAATGTATAAAGCAATAAATTTATTTGAATTACAATGCTGTACAAATTTGTAATATATTTACACATTTTAATTTGTTAAAGGTACTAGAACAAATAAAACTAAACTTTTTTTTTGTTATTGACAAAAATAAGTCTGTTCCACAAAGCTAATTCAAAGGGTGTACACCGCACAAAGAAAGAATAATAATTCTGGACCCCTGTATTTGTCAATTTATTCTCGGTAGCAAATGGAATGTTACAAATTGAAATGTTTTTTTTATTTTTTTTTTTTTTACAGTTATCTTCTTAATGAAGCGTAAAATATACAGCCAGTCTTCTAATTTTCATTCGCCTTTGAAATGCAACATTCATCAGAGATATCTACCTTTACTACCTCAAACATGTTGTCACAGACATAGGCCTCTATAGCCCTCACAGGCTCTTCCTGGGTAACATTGGTAAAATCGTCGGATTTTACTTCTTCTTCTACTTCCTCCTCCTCTTCTTCTTCTTCTTCTTCATAATCTTCCTCTTCCTCCTCTTCTTCTTCTTCGTCAGAAGAAGAAGAAGAACTGTCAATATCATCGGCGACTTCAGATTTGTCTACTTCGGAAGCAGATGATACGTCATTTGTATCATTGATATCGGTATTTTCAACTTCATCACCACTGTCCTCGTCATCGTCTTCTTCTTCTTCCTCCTCCTCCTCCTCCTCCTCTTCTTCTTCTTCCTCCTCCTCTTCTTCTTCTTCCACTTCTTCATCAACTTCATCTCCTTCATCTTCTTCAGCCATAATTGTCTCCATATCTTCACCACTTTTAACTTGGGCCCTTAGTTTAGCTTTACAGACTTTATTATGTTCGGTTAATTGGATGTAGGTGGAAAAGTTCGACTTGCAGTCTGCACAGACGAATTCTGCCCCTTTGTGTTTGTCAGCTTTGTGAGACGCCAAAAGATTCGCTGATGTAAACAGTTCACCGCACTGACCACATTTGTAACTGTCAGATTGGCTATGTATTCTCTTGTGATTTATTAACCCTTGTTCACTCGCAAAAACTAATGAACAGACGTCACAACTGTTAAAAGGAAATTTGGTGGTCGAATTGGTTTCGGCTCCGTTAAAGGTATTTTCTTTCTTTACAAGATCCAATGGCTTTTTACCTTGTTCGGCATTGTTCTTTGTGTCCGGTGTGACATTGTGAACGTTATAGCAGTGATCGCAGAAAAGCTTGAACAGGGGAAATGATATCTGACATATCAAACAAAGATGAGCACTCTTTTGCGCCCGTTCCTCATGTCCGGCGTGGATCGTGGCGTGATTTTGCAATTTGGATCTGGCATTGTGATATTTGCCACAAACCCTGCACGACAAATTGGTTCCGTCGCAATCGAAATTGTTCGGATGTTCTAAAACGAGGTGATTACTTAACTCTACATAGCTGTGACACAGTTTCAAGCAAATTCCGCATGAAGTCCCTGCTTGGACTCTATGAAATCTAATCAAGTGCTGCCAAAGGTGCCTTTTTGCAGGCCACACTTTGCCACAGATTTCACACATACTGGGCGTAAAATCGTTAGAATACACTTTCCGATTAGCTTTAATTTTACCTCCTTTATCGCTCTCAGGCATGAGACCCAACTGGTGCATAAAATTAGTGTCGGATTCATAAGGAATGGTTTGAAGCTCTTCTTTTACCTCGACTTTACCCTCAATTAAAACTGATTCTAAAATACTAGGCTGGTTTTCTTTATGGCTGTTTTCTTTGTGGGATATAAAATCATCCATAAAAACAAATGTCTCTTGGCAAATATCGCAAGAAAATTCGGATTTAGGTTTTTTAGCCGGAGGTGCGATAGTTTCTATCAATTCTTCTTTCTCACTTTCGTCGTCGAGTTGTCGTTTAACACATATCTTTTCACCTTGTTGAGCTCCGATTATGTCCATGATACTATTCGCGTCTAACTCTACTTCGTCGATTTGATCCTCTTCTTCACCGCTATCACTCGGGTGATTGTTTAAATGTATATTGAGGTCGTCTTTTGTCGGTAATATTTTAAGGCAGATTTTACAAGGGTGAAAATATGTACTATGCGATTTTATGTGCTCCATTAATTTTGATTTGTTTGTACAAGGTTTCGCACAGACGGGACAAGAGTTTGGACGATCGAGAGCAACTTTGTGGTTCGTTTCCACGTGTGATTGCAATTCTTTAAAACTCGATAACGGCTTTAAACAAATTGCACATAAAAATTTTGTTTCTTTGCTATGATTAGACGTCAAATGCTTCTTCATTTTTAATTTGCTGGTAACCATTTCTGCGCAGAAGATGCAAATGTGAAATTGAACACTTTGGCGGTGATCCCTCTGATGGCGATTCAAATCTGCCCTACTCCTTAAAATTCTACCGCAATCGGGATAGCTGCATTTAACATCTGGATGATCGCCATGATTATTGCATATGTGTTTGTAGAGATCAGATTTAGAATTCACTTTCATTAAACAAATTTCACAAGTGTATGTTAAATGAGAGCTACGCATATGTTTATACAGAAGATTCTGGGCAGGGAAAGGTTTCGAGCACCTTTCGCAATTGTACATTCCATTTATGAGAGGAGGCAGAGGCATGGGCGGAGGCCTCGGACCTTTGCAGTGTTTAAGGTGTTTCTTGACTAATGATTCTTTCCTAAACACTTTCATGCACTTTTCACATGCATGGACACCGTTACTAGTTTTCATATTAAGAATACTGCCGTCAATTAAAGAGCTTTCATTTCTATGGTGTTTGGCCATATGGCTGGCTAAATGTGACTTTGAAGCTGACGTTTTTTCGCAAATAGGACAAGTGATTTCTGGATGGCCTTTATGAATTTTATGAACGTGTTTCCACAAATGAGACGTCCTCCCGTAATACTTTGTACATAAGTCGCATGGCATTACTTCGTGCTTTTGTAACCTATGTTTCCCCAGTGCTTCTATGCTTTCAAATTCTTCGGTGGCTCCTTGGCAAAGATCGCACGTCAGTTTCGGTGGATCTTCCAGAAAATGTTGGTCGCTTTCTGTTATAGGATTTTCCAATAATAGTTGAATTTCCGGAGGGGTGTTTAGAACATAATGGACCTTACGATGTCTCGTCATTTTTGACACTTTGGAATAAGGTCTTCCGCATATGTCACAACAGAAGTCGCCACCGGCAAGCGGCCAATGCAGGCCACGGACGTGATTAACTAACGAAGAGATATTACAAAAAACTTTAAGACAAACACCACAGATAAAAGGTAAACAATCTGGATGAACGCCCATCATGTGTTTCCAATATTCCACTCTCGTTTTCCACATTTTACCACAGACTTCGCAAGTATTTGGATACTGCCCTTGTAACATATGGTGACTTGATTCGTGCTCCTTCTTAACCGCACTCGTCGGGAAAACTTTACCGCATTCTTTTAATTCACAAGTGACCGAAGGTTCTCCTGCGTGTACTGTCGCCATGTGTTTCCATCTTTCCGATCGTGACATATGCGACAGGCCACAGAGTTCACACGCAAAGTAAAAATGGTAGCTGCCTGATGACGATATATTGAGACCGGCTGAATCTCTATGTGCGCTTCTCTTATGTTTGAGTAATTTAGCTTCGCTTTCAAAAACTTTAAAGCAGACTTCACAGCTTGACATAAAACCGTCGTCTTGTGGGAAGTTTCCTTGTATTTCATTAGCATAAAATTCACTATTCAAAACGACCACAGTTTCCGGATCGATCAGATTACCTTGCGAGTCGGTCAGTTTGTGAATTTTAGCATGGGTGACTAATTTTTTCCTTGAGTCATGTTGCCGAGCGCACACCTGACAACTATACCGTCTTTGTTCTGTTTTGTTCCTCGGATGACATGCTTCGACATGTTGTGACAAGCTTTCATTGTCGTCGCAAATCTTTAAACATATACCGCACGCTTTAGAGGCTTCATCTCTATGCGAGTACAGCATGTGTAGCCAAAGACTTGCTCTATCGTTAAATTCTCGAATACAGATTTCACAGCAGAAAACTGTTTCCGCTTCCATCATTCTTTCAGCATATGCATTTTCACCAGCATCAGTTCTAGCATTGTTAAAATCTAAAGTTCCATCATAACCGTGTGTGTTTAACAAATGATCGGATAAAACTTGAGTGTCCATAAACTTCTCTTCGCATAATAAACATGAATAAAGCAATTGCGGACGTTCGTTACCATCCTCGGGAGATTCGTCTGTAGCGAGGTTGTCATCAGAATTATAAGGCGCGTCCGATGAATCCCTTTCAATTTTTCTCGGCTTGGAACTTTTTCTTTTATTTGAAGTCCCTTCTTCTTTGGAATCACTGGCTTCAGTCAACTCACCATCTTCATTGCTCACCTACAACATAATTAAATGGTAGCAATGCTTAAATTATATTAGATAAGAAAGGAAGAAATAAATATTGGGTGTATGCACTTTTTTTTTTTTCAAATTTATACTTTCACCCTTAAAAACAAGATCCTTTATCATCTGCTAGCCCATTAGCCCATTAGCTCTAGGGTGGGAAAAGACCTATTGAAAGAGATTGCTAAGAAATGGGTAATTGATCCATTCAGTTTAGAATAAACATCATGGAAGATAAAATTTATTTGACGCATTGCTTGGACATAGAGATGCGTCAAAATTTATCTGGAATTTATGGTGATAACACAGTAACTGAGCATTTGAGTCAAGAGTGGTTCTGATGTTTTGGAGCAGGACCTTCTTGTGGAACGCCTAACAAACTTAAAAGTGATGACTAAGTATATCGCACATTATAAAGAAGAAACCTATCTCTGGGTTATGTTGTGAAACTCGTGTCCCTCATGAACGAGTAAGACCGGCTTGTTGCGGGTTTATTTCCTATTAGATCATTGGGGATGAGAAGTAGGTCCTTCACAAAAATATTAAACACCTAATGACCAATGCAGGAAGAATGAAACACTGCTGTCAATGTCAAGGATTGCACCCTTGTAAGATCGTACTGTCTGATTGGTGGGATATTCAAGGAATGATTTATTGGGAACTGTTACTGTACAACCAAAACCTTATGGCAGATGTTGACTGTGTGCCCAGCTACAGCGTCTCGGGTCAGCGTTGAAAGATTCTGTTGCAACATCGTCTTTCATCATGGCAATGACAAGCCTCACATGGAGTCAAATCGCAGAGTTAGAATGACAACAATTGCCTGACCCTCCATACTCTACAGCAGTGATTCCCAAACTTTTTTGACCCCTGGACCCCTTTTTATAGCCGAAAATTGCTAACAGACCCCAAAGTGAAAAAGTATAAAAATTACAAATTTAAAAAAACATTTTTTGAAGAAGTATTTATTGAAATTATAAATATATATAAATTATAATCCACTATTTTTCGTGGTCCGCTTGACCAATTAATAACATTCAATTAATTAAGGTTTTTAAGTTGAGATAAAAAAGCCAGTGTCACGAGCGGGATTCGAACCCACAATCTTCGGCTAGATACGCCGCTGCTCTACCACTTGAGCTATCGTGACCTCGATCCACTCGGGCACCAACTTTCCATCTCAACCCCACCTTTTGAATTTTCCCTCCTTTTTGCCATTTTTCAAATGTTGATGTTGTGTAATCGGATTGGATTCTCGGCAACAAATGAGATTCGGGTTCGAATCCCGCTCGTGACACTGGCTTTTTTATCTCAACTTAAAAACCTTAATTAATTGAATAAATTATAATATTAATTACTTTTATTTAAAATAAAATATAAAGAAATGAATGACCTCGATGAATATGATGAAATGTTATGAGTGTATATATGGCCGGCTCAATGTTTGTGATAGAGTCTACCAAATAGGAAGACAGGAAAACAGAAAACAACTTCTGTACAATAACCCTTAATGCAAGATATAAAATTGGAACCTGTTTTTGTAACCAGAATTTGTGGTATCCTTGTTCAAACAGTGGTTTAAGTTCCTCATTTGTGGATAGTTCAATATGTATGGATTCATCTGTGTTTGAGATCTTTGTCCAAGCGCTAAAGGGTTCAACACCCAGTCGGGAATATCCAAGTGAAGAATGTCTTCAAATCTTTGGTTCGGGTCTGTATGAAGAGCCATTAAATGTTGACAGTAAGCAAATAAATGTTCATCTCTAATTTGCAATTTCGAAAGATTTGTAACCTGAGAACATTCTCCTCTTCGTTTTGTTTGTACAGAAAAAGTTTTGCAACAAACGCACATATTACGCTTTTAGTTTTGATTAAATTTAATTGGTCACATTGTAGTTTCAAATTAGTTTCGTTAAATTTGGCAAATAAATCAATCATATAGGCTATGTCATTTTTGAGTTAATTAAATTGTGTCGCAAATCATTGTCTTTGCTTTCCAACTGAATCAAAGAGAACATAAAATCGATTTAAACATGCACTTTTTAGATAACCAACGTACTTCTGTTTTATAGTATGTTATTTTATATTATTATTTATATTATATTATATTATATTAAACCTTGCACGGCCCCCTGACGTTGATTGACCCAAATCAATTTTAATTTTCCACACCCTGGATTTGGACACCCTGAATGATACCGGGGATCCGTGAGGGTCCGTAGGGACCACTTTGGGAACCGCTGCTCTACAAGCTGATTTTGTCCCTTCCGATTTTTACTTGTTCTGCTCCTTAAACCACTTTAAAAAATAGGGAATTTTTGAGAGGAATCAAAAATAAAAGATCTACAGATTTCTTCTTGTCTAAGTCATTAATCTTTTGGTGCGCATTGGCCGAAGATGATCTACTGAATATCCTTAGAGGGAGGCCAAGTTGATCAGCCTAACCCTATCCCACAACCTTCAGGGTGCTAGAGATCTCTATCAGTTTGAAAGGCGCTGAATACCTTGAGAATTTACTCTTAGGCTGCTCATCCATTGGAACCGAACTAGGACGGCCATTCAACAGCCGAACTATTTGACCAAACGGAGGACTGGCAATATGGCCGAACGCCGTCATCCACTGTAGCTGATTTTCGTCAGTTCACGACACAGCCCAAATGGATGTAGAAGACTTGTTCCTGCTTGAAAATTCTTAGTTTACATACAAATGGAGGGAAAGAAATAAACAAAAATATTGGAAGTTCCATTTATAAAGCTATCCTCGACTACAGCTTTCGCTAGACATATCTCCAATGAAAGAGCAGATCACGCATGCCCCAAAGAGCCTTGGTTCTCCTCAACAGCACTTACCAAATGAAAACGAAACTAAAAGGTAAACAAAAAGTAAAGAAAGGCGTTCAACAATGGTGAGCGTTTGATGTCGGTTGACAGCTGAATTCAAAGTAACAATTCAGCTGAATAGGACTGGAAAATCCAACTTTATTTGGATCGGAAAGTGCTTCGGCCATACACGGCCCAACACGACTAAGCAAATTGGTTCTAATGGACGCTTGCTCATTCATTTCTTCGCTTTTGGATCATCCGGCCCTATTCGACCTTGCAACAGCCGAGCAAGTTCAGCCGAAAACGGTTCCAGTGGATGGCCTACCTTATCCCTTATAAATGAACTCAAAATTATAAACATATGGTTTTGACAGTGTCCAATATCTGCATAATCGCTAAAATATTGGGAATGCAAAAATTTCACTTTAAATAGGAGAATTTCCCATTTAATTTGTTCTTTTATCTTCTTTTGTTTATGAGTTTGCATGTAATAAATTTATTTCAAGATCATTTATTTTTATTTGATTTGATTTAACTTTTCTTTTTTTTTTTGTTAAACCGATTTTTATTAAAATAAAATTTGAAAGACCCATAGTGCCGTAACACTTGCAAAAGGTGAATATTTCTGCCACCAGAACATTATGTTATAGAAAAACGAAGGAAAATCTTTAAAAAAATCTTTTGGCTTAAAAAATACATTAAATTTATACTTTAAGAAAGTTTGACTTTTTATCTGAAAATCAAAAAACTTATGCACACACCCAATAATAATAATAATAATAATAAATGCATACACTAGCAATATTTCTGCAATAACTCACTATTTCCCAAATTAAAAATTTAAATAGTTATATTTATATGACAATAACGAAATCATCTTGCCTTGGGTTGTTGAAGACTGATGTCATCCTTGTGTTTCACTCTTTTGTGATCCTCAAGATTCGAAATGGATGAAAACGTTCTTAAACAAAGGGCACAAGTTACCAAAGGATCGCCCTTGTGACATGTGCTCACATGACCCCACAAATGCTTGGCCATGGAATACGATTTGCTGCAGAGATCACATCGGTAAAGTCTGAAATTATATTGTTATTTTTTTATTTATTTTTTTTTTTTTTAATTTGTGAAGGAAACTTAAAAATTACCTGATCTGAGCAGGGCTGGGCCTGTTTGACATAGAAAGCGATGGAGAGCTCGTCTCACCAATGTGGACGCGGGAATGAAGCGCCAAATGGCCCTTACTCGAGAAAACCTTTTCACAGACGAAACATGAGTAACTTTCTTTATCTGAATCTTTGCTTTTATCTTGATGAAATCTACAAAAGCATTTTATTATTATTTTTATTTGACTTAATACACAGTAATAAATACAAATATAAATCTAAATACTTTGCATGAATTGTAAGAGAACTTTTGGAATTGAATAATCTCCCGCATATTTTACAACTGAATGGCCCTTCTTCTTCATCTTGTGGTTTGCCATGGTTGTCTTGAGGAGACTCTCCCTATAATATATTAAATACAATGTAAAAATAACATTCTGTAATTCTGAAAAAATTATTGGCATAAAAAAAATACTCACACTAACAAGGCATGCTTCCAAAAAATCAGCAGGATTTGGAGTCTCGTATTCTCCATCAGTACACTCTTCGTTTGAATTCTATTTAAAGAAAGCAATATGTAAGATAAACTGATCTATTTTTTATATCATTTTGTAAATCTAATTATTTATATCATGGACCAATCATAAGACCATATAGGTTCATGAATCAATATGATTTATATACATTTGGTAAATCTAGGCAAGGATTCTAAGAAATTTAAACTGTATTTATTGAAGTTTGTCAATAGGGATTGGACTAGGTTTGGATTGGATTTATATAGGCTCAAATACACACATGTACGTACACACAAACATGTGCGCAGTTGGGCCAATTGGCTTCTCGTAGCTATTTACAGTAAATTGCCGACAGGGTCGAGAAGCACCCACCCTGGGTGATGTCAACAGCTAGGTCAATTCAGCACCCAACATATGCAGTCCCAAACCCGTTCGTACTCATGTTCATTCTTAAATACATTCACTCCTATTTGCATACTATTCATTCAATTAGAGTGAAGGTCACACATTCACGCTAATAAATACATTCACTCTCAACCCTTTACACATAATATACAACTAAAGTACTTGAGGCTCGATGGGAGTCCTCATTCCACTATTGACCCTCTCACATCACACATTTACACTAATAAATACATTCTCTCGTCAAACTAGGTATACATAGCTATTATTACTATATACAATAGAACAGCCCTGTTTCCTCCAAGAATTTGAACAGGTGACCCAGATGGCAGGGCAAAGGAACCCACACTATCAATGAGTACCTCAGACAGGAGAAAAAGAAAATGAAGGAACAATGGAATTCACTCATTGGACACAAACAATCCGAGAACCTCTTAACAAATTTCAGAAGGAAAGAAGTACAGAATGAATCAAAGGAAGCAGGGAAAAAAACTGCGAATAGTAACAGGATTCTTAACAGGACACTGCAAACTAAATGGACATTTAAAGAAAATTGGTATAATTCAAGACGGCACATGCAGATCCTCAAAGAGGGCAGAGGAGACACCGACGCATCTATTAACAAACTGTGGCGCCACACTTGCTCGCAGGATTAAGTGCTCTAGGCCGTAGAAGAAATTCAACCACTGAAACTGGGCCTACTAATCAAGTTCCTGCAGAAGAGTGATACGACTACTAACCGGTCACTGGTATTTGATAAAACATCAACAAGGGCATAAACAATGATGATAACATCTGCAGATTATAAAATGAGGATGAGAAAACAGCCACCCGTATCATCGAATGCGAAGCAACAGCTCAATGGATATTTAACCTAACATACAGAAAAAAACCTAGGGAATGAAATTGCAGCAGCAACAAATGACCTAATACTTCTGAGAGGAAGGGTTGAGTCAATTGCACTGAAGTAGGGACTTAAGAAGGTACAATAAGCCAGAAGGCACTTCCTGAGAAGCACAAACCCCGCTTCCTAGTGTCATCACAATCACCTTCACTATGGTTTTGATGAAAAAGCAAATTCAATTGTTACTCTCAAACTTTCGACATATTTCATGTCATCATCAGAGGAAGCAATCTTAAATATATTGTTGTAACCGCAGTATGAAGTGCTTTGGGCCGTAGAAGAAATTCAACCACTGAAACCGGGCCTACTAATCAAGTTCCTGCAGAAGAGTGATACGACTACTAACAGGTCACTGGTATTTGAGAAAATATCAACATGGGCATAAACAACGATGATACCATCTGCAGATTATAAAATGAGGATGAGGAAACAGCCACCCGTATCATTGAATGCGAAGCAACAGCTCAATGGAGATTTAATCTAACACAAAAAAAATTTAGGAAATGAAATTGTAGCAGTGACAGTCAATGACCTGATACTTCTAAGAAGAATTGAGTTTATTGCACTGAACTAGGGAACTAGGGAAGGCAGAAGGCTGTCTGGGGAGCAAATCCCGCTTCCTAGTATCCTCATTACCATCCAAAGTTCCATGATGAAATAGTGCTCACCGAAGTGAAACAGGCACAGAACGGGGGATACAATCTTACAGGGTGCAGTATATTACACCCCGACTAATACATCTACATGTTTGCCCTTATTTTACCAAAATTCGATTTAGTTTTTGTTCTGAGGGTGCAGATTAAATCTATTTGTAGATAGAATAAAGGGTTTTTTTTTTACCTTGACATCACTGTGCTGAAAATATTCTCCTTCACCGGTGTCATCCTGAAAATGTGGAGTGAATGGGATAGAATTTTCCTCGAGATAAATTGATTTTTTTTTTTTTTAAACCTAGTTTGTACCTTATCTCCTCGTGACCTTTTAATAACTGACTCGAGCCTCGCCTTCGCGTCAATACACCCTCTCCTGAAGTCGTAGAAATTCTCCAAATTGTAAATACACCGGAAGCACAAAGATTTTGGATAAAGGTCGTCTTCTGAAACCTGAAAATCGGAAAACGTCCATCACCCTTTGGATAAATGTCAACCCGTGTTACAAGAAAAGCCGGCAGATCCGTAAATCCGACGAAAAATCGTCGATAATAAAAGGGTGTCGCGTAATATAATTACGAGACGGAGAAAATATAATTATAAATAAAGAAACGTGTTATGAAGTAGTCCCGGTCCTTACCTCGAAAGGTAGACAAGTCGTTATTTTATCAACGAGTTTCCTCTCCCTTCCACTTTCACTGAATATGTCCATTTTAATCGCATCGTAGGATGCACATAACCTACACAAATCCTCGTAGTTTTCCATACCTCGGTTCGACATTGCTATTTTCTCAGCCCTGTTCGCGAGTCGGGTTCCTGGAGTCGGGTGTCCGAGTTCCCCGAGGGTGTGACAATCGAATATCGCCTGCCTTGTCGAGGTTAACAACCATCCGATTTATTATAATCAAAATAACAACCAATTTGTTAATAAATAAACCAGATGGGAATTTACGGAGAAAATGTCCCGAGTCGTGCGGGCCTTCGGCGAGTGCACCCAGGAAAACGCCATGTTGGTTGGGACCGAGGCAGGGAGCAGGCGGACGGCGGAACGGGCCGATTTCCACTTCACATGTTGCTATAGCTACAATTAGCGCGACCCGGGGACGATATCGCGATGGGACGGGAGCGACGGAGACGCCGCCCGACGAGAAAAGCGATTTCCCAGACGAGGACGGACCCGGAAACCGTTTTGACTCAGAATCTAGGACGAGCACCGCCTACGTTGCACAACGAACGCCTTGACGAGAGGTTGGCGTCCGACTGGGAGGACGGGGGCTTGGGCCGGGTTTGGGGGTATCCCCTAGTGGCTCGGCTGCACTCCAAACCAGCCCAGGAAGTTGAAAATGGCGTCGCCGTCGCCGTCCTCGTCGATAGCTACCTACCGGCACGTCCCCACTGATCTTCGTCCCATAATCTCGGAACGGCCGACTGCCGCATCCGGCCCCGCCGCGCCCCTAACCGCCCGGCAGACCGGCCGTTCGAGCCCCAGACCGCTTTTCCGCTTTCCTCCGGCCCTCCGACACCCGAATTACGCCTTTCCAGGTACCGGGGGCAGTTTCCCGCCTCCGGCCGGCCTCACTCCAGGAAAGAAATACCAAAAGGCCTCACAGCCCTGTCTCAATTTTTCTACAATAACAAAAAAAATAGTTTGTCTCTTGTCTATCAGACCTGACGAAAAGATAACTATTGTTACAATATCAATTTGTGATTAGGGTAATTTTTTCTCAACTATTAAAGATCCAATTTAGTGTAAAATCGGTTCGAACGCCCCTTACTCGTTTCAAATTTTACAAAAATCCGACCAAAGTTTTTCTCTTCAGTTAAAGTAAAAGAATAGAGAAAAATCGGTGAATTTCACTCGACCGATCAATTAAAATTTGGCCGATTTTCTTTCCCGGGTATATCGATATGCTGTCTTGACCACACCAACACCTGACCAAAAAAAATCTCAGACGTAAACATTAAAAATTAGTTTTAAAGACGAGCTAATATCAATTATTGCGATGTAAACTCGTTCATAAATCATTTCAAATTAGATTGGGATAAATGATCATATGTTTTCGTTGAATACTGCAGGATAAAAAAGTTGAAACATTTAAGTTTAATAAGACTACACAGACACCGGTCCAAAATAACACAAATTTTCATTGGACAATTTATACATAAAAAAGTCATCAATAATGCGCTAGGTCATCAATTTTTACGAAGTAAACTCATTCATAAATCAGTATAAATCGAGTACTCAACATATGTTTAAATTCGACGCTTTCATTGAAGACTGCAGAATTAAAAAAAAGTTTAAAAATTTAAGTTTAAGAACGACTACACAGACACCCGTCCAAATTAACACAAATTCTCATTAGACAATTTATATATAAAAAAAGTCGGTATCTCTAGGTTAGTTGAACTAATATGAATTATTATGATGTAAACTCGTTCATAAATCGTTTCAAATTAGAGTGGGATAGATCGAGTATACAACACGTTTTCGTTGAGGCTGCAGGATAAAAAAAGTTTTAAAAGACTACACAGACACCGGTCCAAATTAACACAAATTCTCATTAGACAATTTATACATAAAAAAGTCGGTCTCTAGGTTTACAGTAGCTAATATCAATTATTATGATGTTAACTCGGTCATAAATCGTTTCTAATTAGATTGGGATAGATCGAGTACACAACACGTTTTCTTTGAGGACTGCATGATAAAAAAAGTTTAAAAACATTAAACAGACATCCTTCCAAATTAACACAAATTCTCATTAGACAATTTATACATAAAAAATCGGTCTCTCTAGGTTTACAGTCGAGCTAATATCTTTCATTACGATGTAAACTCGTTCATGAATCGTTTCAAATTAGACGTTGAGACTGCAGAATAAAAAAAGTTTAAAAAGCCTACACAGACACCGTCCAAATTAACACAAATTTTCATTAGACAATTTACACATAAAAAGAAGGTATCTCTAGGTTTACAGTCTAGCTAATATCAATTATTATGATGTAAACTCGGTCATAAATCGTTTCTAATTAGATTGGGATCGATCGAGTACTCAACAAGTTTTCGTTGAGGACTGCAGGATAAAAAAGTTTAAAAAATACTACACAGACACCCGTCCAAATTAACACAAATTCTCATCAGACAATTTATACCTAAATATGTCGGTCTCTCTAGGTGAACTGTCGAGCTAATATAAATTATTATGTTGTAAACTCGTTCATAAATCGTTTCCAAGTGTGGCACGCTTTCGTTGAGGATTGGAATGTAAAAAAAAGTTTAAAAATTCAGCTAAAACACAAAGTCCAATTCAAAAAATTTGTAATAGGTACATAGAATTTCAATAGAAATAGAAAAATAAAGGTAGGATGAGTATGTAGATTCACATTTTGTAAATGATGGTTCTACACACAGCATTTGTTATTTACAAATAACCGGATTTCGAGCATTAAAACGCTCATCATCAGGTTGAACGAGTTAAAAACACGTCCATCGAAACGAATTGTCACAATTTTGTTCAATTGTCTCACAATTGCCAATAACTTTCCACATCTTATTTTTTTATATTCTTCTTTTTCTTCATTATACAGTCAAATTCGCAGACATGTTAAATCTTGAATTATTTTGTACATTTTAAGTTAAATTACCTTTCATAATTTTTATAAGAATAAAATGTTGTTAAATTATGTATAATTACAAATTTTAACAATATAATTCAATTAATTATGCACAAAATACTCTTTTACTTTACATATTGTTTAATACTCAAGTAACGTTTCCCTTGTTTTGTTAGTTTTGCTTTTTATATTGTTATATTTTACATATTGCTTTATTTTATTTATTGTATATTTAAACACTTTTGTAAATTGAATTAATTCCGTAAATTATTATTATTATTATTATTATTATTGTGGGGTGGCGTTTGTAACTCCTTCAATCTGATGATGGGCTTTTAATGCTCGAAATCCGGTTAGTTTTAAATTACAAATTCTATGAGTAGAACTATCATTTATAAAAAGTTAATTAGAAATATTAAAAATGTCTGTGACCATGATATGACCTTTGATCCACCATTCATTGTTATGGAGAAATCCTATCTGCCTATGATTAGGCCTAGTGTGATTTTATTTATTAATTTTTTTGTATTACTCATTTATCGTGAAACCATCCATTTGGTTCAGATAACATTCAGTTGCCACAAAATCCCATCCAAAGTTAATTTTTGCCAAAAACAACCCGTACCTTCACCTCCATTTAATTCTGTTTTTAAAAATCTACAAAAAGATAAGTAGATTGGTCGACCGAATTGTTCAATTTAACCTGATCGATCGGTTAAATTCTGATCAACATGACCTGAAAACCAAAAATTTTCCATTCGACCTGACATAACTTACTTATGTCTATGTAGAAGGGATACAATTATCATAGAAGCTATGTACATACAAGATCTGCAAGAAAACGCCCTTCTTTTTCGCTTTTCTTTAAAAGACATTTTTAAAATAAATTTTTAAAAAATTATAGGATAGCAGATAATTTCCATATGTTGAAATTCTTTGTTTAAAAATTCTGGAATTTCCTTCCTGTAAAAGCCTAATCACCATGGCCAAATCTCTATCTCAATTTCCCATAATAAAGTTTGTACGTGATTAATTCATACGACTAGTCGAATATAAATAAAAACATTTATAAACCCGAAAATATACATCAAATTCTGTCAAATCTTTACTGAGCTGTTTCCAACGAGTCCAACGTGAAGTCTTTTCGGTTTTCAACACACTCTGATTTAATTTTAAACTATATAAAACGATGATGCGATGATTTAAAACGATGAGAAAAACAAGAAGGGAAGTCAACCGCGATAACGAACGCAATCTCTGACCATTCGCCAAGTTCTGTCGCTTTTATGCTTGCTATGAGCATCCGCTTATTTCTGTTTTGTAAACACCTCTCCGATTCGTAACAAATCGTAAAGTAATTCTTTTACATAATCCCTTTCAGGAAGAATCACACTTGAGGACTATGGACGATTTATGTTATTGATGTTTTTGGTGGGTGGTAGCATGTTTCTACCAGACGTGACCAGGAGCAACTACAAAAATGATCACCCCTGATCTTACCTAATAGGAAAATTGCCCTCCTTTCAGTACCTATATCTCCGTAACCCCTTGGCTAAATTGAATTAAATGTACTTGTGTAATCTTTAATGATAATTTCGAATGGTTATATTTTAAAATATACCTTTAAAAAAGAATATAACGGATTTTTTCAGCCGAGCATCCAACCCATTCGTATGATACTGTGAGAAAAACAAAATTCTGAATTATTAAATTCTCTAATTTCGTGGTCCGCTTGACCAATTAATATATTATGATTAATTAAGGTTTTTAGTTGAGATAAAAAAGTCAATGGCACGAGCGGGATTCGAACCCACGATCTTCGGCTAGATTCTGAATTATGTTCATTATATCCAGAGAAAAATGGATCTTTGAGTACTTTGAGTTCAGGAAGAGTTTATTTATTTGGGTACAAATAACTGCAGAAAAATTAGGTCTTTGTTAAATCTGGTCCTCCGGGAAGGATGGCCAGACTCCTTCGAGACAGAACACCGTTGGTACTGCTTGTCATTTTTCTAGTTGATAAACTAAATTTATTTTGATCCAATGAATGTTTTAGCATTCAAGTAAAGATTTTCGTTCAAGTCATGACTTTCCTGTCAAGTTGAAACATGACATTTTGAAGTAAACTTATCGTGTAATGATATAAGGTTAGTAGAATTTTATCGTAAACGTTCTTTGGAATTTGCCAGGTTTATTAGTGCAAAATTAAGATTTTTGCCTCGGATTACGCATTGCTATGTGCTGTGGTACAAAAGTGGCCGATATTATGATTTATGATTTATAAACCCCGTAGCCTAATATCTTGACGAGTATAAATAAGTGCGAAAAAAAATGCGTTGACTTATATGAAGTAAATGAAATGTAAATTTGCTGATTTGAAGAATGAAATTAACACAACATGAAAGAACAATGGTTTGCAAATAAGTTGATAAATTTTTATCGAAAAACTAAAGTTGTATCGCGAGAACGCGCCTTTACTTTTATCGGGATTCGTTAAAGTCAATCACCAGTCCTTTCAGATGATTTTTGGTCATCCGGCCCGGATCTTCATTACTCGATGATATACGCTAAGAAGAAAGCGCGGTGTATAAAATAACAACAAATAAACGTGTACAATGGAGTTGAAATAAAGCCTGCTGAACCAATCCCGAAAAAAGCAAAAATATTCATGATCCCAGTAGCAGATCTCGACGTTTACGCGTTTTATTCTTACAGTACGCCTGTATTCCTTTATCGTCCGAAAAATTCCATTTTGGTGATTCTACTTAGCATGAAAGTAAAAGAAAACTTGAATGCTCGACATAAATAATGGGAAAACTCGTGTGAAAGAGGAGAGGAGACGTGTTTTGTGAAGCGTGGAGAGCGAGTCGGCACGACGGGTGACCTAGGCTTAGCCACGTGCTCTCCGCAACAAAATCAATAAAAGTTTTTAAAAACAACAATTCTGAGGTAAAGAGGGCCGTGGCGGCGAGTGATGAGGGTGTCCGGTTTATATTTATGCTAATAGTCCTGGGTTCGAATCCCGGCAAAGCTCATGGGTTTTTAATTGAGAATAATTTCAAAAAGTAGTATAAAGTTATTTGACCCCTCCTCCACCTGAGAGACCTGCACCCACGCACGGAGACAGAGGCAAGTACAAGAGAAATTAGAAGCATATCAACATCATATTTCGCCTACATGCTCTCTGAACAAGACGATCAGTAACCTCATCGAAAGCATCAGAGGTATTACATTTCGGCCCCGCTGTTAGACGAGGGCTATGGAGGTGGAAAGTGTGGTGGAGTAAGTTCCAGAACCGGCCTTACTTATCTACTGACGAAGTAAGGAATATTGACAATTTGTTTAAAGACATTTGATGATAGGATTGGATGAGTTAGATATTGGGTGGCTTGACGGAAAGCCACAGTTCCAATAAGGTTAGTTGAGTTTGGCGGTCAATATATATTTCGATCCTAAAAACCTTTGTAGTTGTCTAAGTATATTAAGTTGTCTTTTAATCATAAGTGGGGAGTATGCTGTCTAGGTATAATCCTAAGTGCCTACTTTGAGAGGAAATCGGTAGCTCCTTGTTGATATATCGGTGGAGAGCAAAATTATTTTTTCAATGTAAATATACACAGTGTACATTTTCCCTCATTTAGTTTTGTCCATCACATTTGGTACCAGTCAAAAAGTTCAACTTTACATCTGCAGTAACATGAACTGACTATCTTATCTGGCTCCAAAGGCTCCAGAATGACAAGCTGAACATAAGTGATGGCATAATATTACAACTACTAATGCGGGCTGACGAAATTAAAAACAAGGAAAGATAGCACAGTAGTATGGTTAAAGGCAAATACTGGCATGTGCTACAATTTTTGGTAAATTTCTGGTACTGTGGCAATTTCGGTTATGCGGTCGATATTTCGTCAACTGGCAAAACGGGTACCTCACAAATGAAAAGAAATAACAACCCTTTCCATTCACGCTAATAAATTACAATCATTTCAATAAATTAACATAAACACAACACCCGAAACAAACAGAAGTCTGGTCACATTCACCGCCAAGAGAACTCGAAACTCTTCTGGGCTGGGTTATATAACCCCTTCCTTTCACGCTAATAAATTACATTCATTCAAATAAATTAACATAAACACAACAGTCGAAACGAAGAATCTGGTAACATTCACTCCTCCAGAGTACTTGATATTCCTAAGGCGGGATTGAATTCACTCCATTCTCGCTAATAAGTTACTTTTACCCTTCAATATCACACACTCATCCTAGGTACTCGATATACCTCGGGACAGGGTTAGCCCTTTTCTTTCACGTTTATAAATTACAGCCATTCCAGTAAATTTACAAAACTCATTACACAAAATAAACATAGAGGTCAGGACAAATTCCATCCTCAGAGTACTCCATATTCCTCGGTACTGAGTTAAACAACCCGTTCCTTTCACGCTAATAAATTACATTCATTTCAATAAATTAATATAAACACAACACCCGAACCAAACATAGTAGTCTGGTCAAATTCACTCCTCCAGAGTATTCCATCTTCCTCAGGACTGGGTTGAACTCTCCATTCTCGCTAATAAATTACATTCAGTCCAGAAAATTAACATAAGCACAACACTCGATACAAACATAGAAGCCTGGACAAATTCATACACTCTCAGTACTCCTTATTCCTCGGTACCGGGTTATAAACAACCCCATCCTTTCACGCTAATAAATTACGTTCATTTCAATAAATTAACATAAACACAACACCCGAAACAAACATAGTAGTTGGGTAAAGTTCACTCCTCCAGAGTACACCTCATTCCTCGGTACCGGGTTAAACAACCCCTTCCTTTCACGCTAATAAATTACATTCATTTCAATAAATAAATATAAACACAACACCCGAACTAAACTTAGTAGTCGGGTAAAATTCACTCCTACTTATTACTCTTTATTCCTCGGTACCGGGTTAAACAACCCATTCCTTTCACGCTAATAAATTGCATTCATAAATTTGCGTAAAACCTTCACAGACCCACGGAAACATGTAAATAGAAATCAATTATTAATTTCTTTAAAATATTATGAGTAATTAATTATAAATATGGTATATGCTAGTAATTTATTATGCATCAATATTTTGATATGGCTGTACATTTATTTTGAGCATAAGTTACAGGATAAAGTTGGTGTTTCCTGCCTCTTAAAGAAATTAAATTTAAAATTTAATTTTAAAAAATGTTTCAATTGGAGTAATGCATATTTTTCAAATGTGTTTTTTCAATTAAGATGAACGGTTTCATTCCACTAATGGATCACCTTTGAAAGTCTCTTTTGGAAAGGTTGTCGGATTGCGGCCCATTTCTGACATAAGACGAGTCGTCATCCTTCGTCGATGAAAACCACTTGTCGAAAATGGGACCAGGCCCGGTCGAGCACCACCTACCCAGTGACCGGAGCGAAGGTGGATGGCAAATGGATGGGACGAAGCAGATGTGCCCTTGGGAAACACGTCAGACGAACGGGGTTCGGGGGGAGGACGTTCAACGGTGTTCGGGCTGGGTCCGTCCTGTTCTTCCCTACCCAGGCCCCAGCACCGACTCGGGGATCCTCCCTGACCCTCAACGTTATCGATCTCTCAACTCGCCACGTCTCGGAAAGGGGGCTCACTTGTACATTATGTAAGCCTGTACCAATCAACGTCAAATGTTGATTATTTTGTATGCATTTGGAAACCGCATAAACAAAAATCATACTTTCATTTTTTTAATATGACATTTTCACTGTACGAGCCATGTAGTCATCGAAAGGATTTTCTCAAATGGAACACGTGCCGAACAACAACCTTGGGATTTCCCCTATTCCGCGACTATCGTGATGATCTCATGTTTTGGAGTCCATGTGTCTTTCTTAAAATGGTTTCATCCTAATCTAACAGGAGCTATTAAATTATCATATTTAGTCTCCAAAAAATAATTTTGCCCCTTCTTGACTTACTCAAGGCTCACTTCTTGGTCCTTTCTTCTTTAAACTTAGTAAATGATTTTTCCTCCTGTTTTCCATATATTGATTTTACACCCAGCTCACGATATCAAAATCTAATCCATAGAATCCATTAATAATATCCCAATATTAATAATATATCAATATAATAATAATATAATTCGTGTTGAACCGGTAAAGCTTCATGTATGAAAAAGCAAATGTAATTATTACTGACAATCTTTCGGCCTATTTTAAGGTCATCATCAGGGCAAAACAATCTTAAATATGTCAATTTGTAGATATATTTAAGATTGTGAAATTTCCTCCTGATCCTGAGTTACGTATGATTCTAATCTGCCTATCCTCATTATAAACCAACAAAATTCAACGAGGATAAGCAGTCCAGATTATAAACTATCAAACAATTAAGATTGTTTCTTCTGATGATGACCTTACAATAAGTCGAAAGCTTGGGAATGACAATTGAATTTGCTTTTTCATCAAAAACTGATGAAGATACTAGGAAGTGGGGTTTGTGCTCCCTAGGTTCTTGCTTATTGTACCTTGTTAATTCCCTAGTCCAGTGCTAGGTTAAGTCTCCATTGAGCTGTTGCTTCGCATTCGAATATGATACATGATTGTTTCTTCCTCCTCATGACATAATCTGCAAATGGAAACATCGTTATATATGCCCATGTTATGTAGATGTTCTCTCAGATGCCAGTGACCGGTTAATACTCCTATCACTTCTCTGAGTCTGGCACTCTCCAACTGCCGTGAGTTTGCCAGTTTTAGTGAGAGTTGTTTTAGCATAGGTTTTACTATGTCTAGCGCCCCTAGAGTTTATCTACTTCTCCTTTTGTTTTATTTCGATCCATTCTGTGATGGAGGATTCTGTATTAATTTTCGTTATCCCAAGTTTTTCTTCTTCTTCTTTGGGACTTCTCCCCAAGTCCCAAGTTCGGGGTATATTTATGCTCTTGCAGATCCTCCTTGGCAGTGTGTCTGCTTTCTCGTTACCCAAAATTCCTTGTGCCCTGGCACCTAAGATATAATCAGGTTGTTGGGTTTCCCCAGGTTTTGAAGATTTTGGATGCATTCACTGACTAATTTTGATGTCATTTTTTCATACGCTAATGCTTTAATAGCTGCATGGCTATCTGAAAATCACAAAATCACACTGTGATGAGTTTTCGTGAGTACAAAATGGTCATCTAACACTTAAAACTAACTACATATTACTTGTATTTAGTATTAATAGGTATATTGTAAAAGATCTTGGCGGTTCTGTTCAACATTTTGTTGTACGTATTAGAAATATGATCACAATGCGTTTTTTCACAGTAACAGAAAAGGCACTAATTCTAGAACAACTCGTAGGCACATGCCATGAGAAACCATCCAATGCTGGCACTGATATCTTAATGAACAAAGCGGTTGGGATGGTTAGCGAGTTTTGAGGATAAGAATGTGTAAAAAGGGCTTGAGCAGTAGGTTTAGGTTTAGGATGGATCGATTGGATCCCCGTAAAGAGCCAAGGCGTGATACTCTTCTGCTAAGCGTGACCTGAACCTTCCTCTATAAGCTGGACGCCAGCGGGGTTTGCTCCAAAAGCTCGGTATGTCCGGCGTGGCCTATCCTCAAACGGGTTCACGATCTCTTCCTCGCGTGTCAGAAAAGCTCAGTCGCGCCCTTGTCACGCAAGTACTCAGACCCCCTGATGTTAACGATCATTGTAAATAGTCATATGTACATACCTGAACTATGTTTGATTTAACATGTAAAACGGAAAAATGACATTGAAAGCTTATTTTATAACAGGCGTAATCAAAAATATTGTTTAATTTTACATTTAAAGTAAAAAAGAGCAGTTAGACATTTTCGGTTTTGGATAAAACACCGCGTATCCGGCAAAAGTGAAAGAGTGATAAACCATTAAACTTTAACTATCGATTAATAATTATGATGTAAATTATTTACTTAGAAAATATTGTTGAAGCAGCAGTAAAGATGGGTTAGAGGTGAGCAGAGTTCAAAGTTAAACTTTAGTCTTTAGTTCGATTGAACTTTGAGTGAACTAAAGCCATTATTTGTATGGATTTTTGTTTCATCGATATCCTTTTTTTAAAGAATCGTTTTGAAAGGAAAATATATCGATATTTATCTGTATCACTGGGATATCGGTATCGGTGCGTTGTGAATTGTGATTAATAACAAATCGCCTGAAGATGTCTGCACACGGTTGAGATATTTCAACAGTTCTCAGTAGGATGTCTGGCTACCGTAGAGTCAGTTTTTACGAGCTGTGCCGCCTCTGCACGACGAACGAAGGTGTCAAAGTGCCGATATTCGACGGCGAAGGGCGCAGAAGGCAGATCGAGACGAAGCTGCAGATCTGTTTACGACTCCAGGTCCTTTGTTTACAATCGTTTACGATTCCGACGTGCGTCCAGGACTCGTCAAAGACTAAAACGGCCAACGTTTCCAGGTATCGGAGGTCGACTCGTTGCCAAAACACATCTGCGAACCTTGTTTGGAGAGGCTGGAGGGTTATTTCGACTTCAGGGCGAACTGTGTCAGCGCGGAGATGATGCTGCAGAGCTACGCGTCCGCTCTCCAGCATAACGAAGATTTCAAGAGAGATGGAACGGTATGCATTTTAGGACTATATTTGCATCAAATCCTGATGGACAGAACCGTAAAGATTCTTTCACGATCATTCACTTGTTTTCGTATGCAAGATGCATCTCGTCACCTTCAGTGGTGGGTTTTGGTTGCCATGCTGTCAGTGGTCTCCATGCCATACAGTAAGACATCTTTTTGAGGTCTGCGAGGTGATGAACCTGTAGTTTGGCTATTTCAAACGATTTTTGTCTGATTGTCTATTTTGCCAGTCGAGTCCATGTCATAAAATGTTCATGTATCTTATTGAGGTTGTGATCTTCGACGTTCAAGAAAAAAATAGGATAGGTAGACCTTTGTAGGTCGAATGATGGAACATGACCAAACGACATGTTCAATTAATTTGTATTTATTTATTTTTTTATTTTATTGATTTCAGCTCTACTGTGAAACATGTTAATTTTTGAACATGAGATTGATATAAAAAAGTTACTGTCAAGGATGGGTTTCAAACCCACCAATCTGAAGACCGTGTGTTCAAATCCCATCCATGACATTAATTTTGAACTAACTGTAACTTTCATAGAAAAAGTAATATGTAGTTTCAAAGAAACAACTACTGTAAAATAATTTGGTCATTACTGATAATTTTGATCTGCTTATCACCACTGTGTTGGTTTGTCAGATATACAGCCCAATACTCAAGATGGCAAAATACCGAAACACATGTGACAAAGCAACACAGTAAGTATATGCAGACAGTATGCATTCTAAGACCACGACGTTAATATTAAGTCCTGATGGACAGTACAGTAAAGATTCTTTCGTGATCATTCACTTGTTTTTGTATGCCAGATACATCTCGTCATCTTCAGTGGTGGGTTTGCCATGCTGTCAGTTATCTCCACGTCATACAATCGTAAGACATCTTGTTGAGGTCTGCAAGATGATAAACCTGCAGTTTGGCTATTTCAAATGATTTTGGTCTGATTGTCTATTTTGCCAGTCGAGTCCATATCATAAAATGTGTGGTGATTAGTGACCGTTAGTCAATGATTATTCGGAAATCGTGAGATGCAGTCTGCCAGACCACATCTCACGATTTCCGAATAATCATATCATAAAATGTTCATGTATCTTGTTGAAGTTGTGATCTTCGAGATTCATCACCTGCACATGACAATTACTGAAGGTAACAAGATGCAGAAACACATCTGTCAGAAGAAAAAAATACGATAGGTAGACCTCGATAGGTAGAATGATGGAATATGACCAAATGACATCTTTAATTAATTTTTTTAATTTTATTATTTTATTGATGAACATGCTGCTCCACTGTGAAACATGTTAATTTTGAACGTAAGATTGGTATAAAAAAAGTTAATGTCAAGATGGGTTTCGAACCCACCATTCTGAAGATCATGGCGTCAAATCATATCCGTGGCATTAATTATTTGGAAATCGTAAGATGTGATCTAGTGTGATGTAGGTTTCAGAATAACATTTTCTTTATCGTGCCAACGTTTCGCTCTTTATTGAGATCATCTTCAGGGTTTCGGATTTATAAACATTGTTTAAATTTAAAAAATACATGTAGGATGTGGAAAAAAGTGAATTTATATAATGCAAAAAATATTTTTTATATTCAATAAAAGTATTTCTGCTCTACTGAAATCTACATCATACCAGACCGCATCTCACGATTTCCAAATAATCATTGACTAACTGTCACTAATCAAGACACGTGGCATTAACTTTGAACTAACTTGTAACTTTAACTAGCTGTAACTTTCGTAGAAACAACTACTGAAAAATAATTTGGTCCTTGCTGATCACATCTGATAAACCAACCGAGCAAGTATAGGCAGACCAAAACGATCAGCAACGACCAAATTACAGGTTCATCGCCTGTAGGCCAAATAGAGAAAGGGTTAAATTTAATAAAGCTAAAATTAGAAATTTAGTTTAAAATTATAATTGTGGTGTTGGTATCGGTGGTGATGGGAATATCGGTCAATCGGTTTAGCCGATATTCCCATCACCACCGATACCAACACCACAATTATAGTCAATGGTCATCACAAGTTACATTTAAAATTATCTACAGATTGTAGAATATAATCTAAATTTAATAATTCCCATCACAACTTGAAATTTGTACACTTCAGGGAATTCCAACCAAACAAAAATCCGACGGTTGTTTTTATGCTTTAAGGTTTATGTGAAGGACAACGTCGAATTACCAAATTTGCAGATGGCATTGCAAAACCAAGAGCTTTGTACATTCAACTTCAAGAGCGATATGAACCAGGCTTCTCTTATAGAAGGAATTGTGTCTACTGAGGAGGCGACAAACGCTGCAGAAATTGCTGAGGTGAGGAAACCAGAATATTAAAAATACTGTTTATCTTCATATATGTTGATTTTGTGTTTAGTTATTTGTAATTTTACTTTCCTTTTTTCTTTTCTTTTTTTTTTTCATTCTTTTATCGTTTTTCTTCTGTCAGGTGTCAAACTTTGACAAAATATCCTTTGAGCACAGCTACTCAAACAAGAGAAAAATACAGTCGCATGCGTCAAAAACCGAATCGAAAGTCAACCCAGACCTCTATACCAGAATGGTTGGTATTCGTGGATTTTGAGGTTGGAGAAATGTACTAACTGTAAATGTTGTCATTAATCAACCACAATTCAGATTGAATTACCACTGTCTCAAGTTGACAGTGGTGTATGAAAGCTTAAATAACATAAAAAAGCATTAAATCTTACAAGGTTAACTCCAAATGTTGACATTGGAGTGTAGAACGTATCATAATCACACTGGCATAATTTTTAAAAGTTGACCAATAAAATTCTAGTGAAGTAGTTTATAAACAATCCTTAAATAATTGTAATTAAATATAGCATATTTATAATCAATAGCTGATAATTTTTAATGTTAGGCAGGAAAATTGTAAGTTTATCAAACAGTATTGACTTCCAGACTTTTTGAATTCCATACACAACATTTAATAAAATTATTGTGATGATCAAATATGTTTAAAAATTGTTGTCAGTTGTTGCAAATTTAATCACCAGAATTTTTTTTTTGGGGGGGGGGGAGTCACCGCAGCGTTTTAGGTGTTGTCGTAGTGCTCATCACTAAACCAAGGAACCATGTCTGAATCCAACAGCTTTGTAAATGGGTTCACAATTCAAACCCAACAAATGGGCTTTTTTTGGAAACACCACTACTCAAGGGTTCATATAATATAGTTGAATCAAAGACTTAGTAGAAGAGAAGAACGCAAATAAAATACTTTCTTAATTATAACATAATTTGACCGACATACTCACAGCCCTAGCAGAAAAATTAATAGAAGACAAGTAAAAGTAACTCAACATTACAAATATGATAATTTGAAGATCATGGGATGCAGACTAATGTGACATAGGTTTTAGAAAAAATTGTCTTTATCGTGCCAACACATCTGCCAACATTTCAATCTATTGAGACCATCTTCAGGATCTGGGATTTATAAACATTGTTTAAATTATACAAATACAAGTAGGATGTGAAAAATAAAATAAAAAATTTAATTTATACAATGCTTTTTTCATATCCTACAGTATTTGTATAATTTAAACAATGCTTATAAATCCCAGGCCATGAAGATGAAAATATATATACAAACTGGGGGATTTATGTAAATACTATTTTACGACAAATAAAAATTATAATTTAGTGTGAATTAAAAAAAAAATTCTACAAGTTGTGTAAGAGGATTTACATAAATAATTTCATCTTGAAAATTGAATTCCGTAATCAAATTATATCTACAATTCCAGGCCGCTTTAGAATATTTCCCTAAAGAGAATATCTTTTCCATTCAAATAGTCACAAAATTCTTGAAACATTAATATAACCTTATTAAATTCACATCCTCGTCCACATTGCTATTACATAGCAGAAAAAATTTTAAACCAGGCAATATTTGTTTAAATAAATTAGCTCCCCTCTAACATTTGTGAGTCAACTTTCAAAGCTTGTTTCGCATTTAATTTTCATTGATGGATTAATGCTATTTAGCTGTTTATAAACGAGGATGACGTACACTATTACGCCCTTTGCCACGACTTATTATTTATTACGGTTAATATTCGTTTATTAAATTTGCTACCAACATTTTCTCTCGTAAAACATCATTTATAACAAAATTTACTTTTTCACAGAAACATACCAGAATAACTTACGATTGATTACTTGACTGGTTAGAATATTGGGGTATCTGCTGGCGTCCAGGTTTAAACATTTATTTATGTAATTTAAAAATAACTTCTTAAAAAAAATAATTTTTTTCGGTTTCACTCTGGACTCAGATACTTTTTGCACTGCAATGGTTATTTATTATTGTTATACTATAACAAAAATATTTTTTATTTATAAAATTATAAATAATTATTAAATATTTAAATGAGTTGACCAAGCTATTTGAAATTTTAAAATCCTGTAGGATGACATGCTGTTGGGGCTTTTTTTCTTACTAATTCACTTTATTTTCAGTTTTTATTATGTTATTTTTTATAAATTTAATTATGTATGGCTTTTGGCTTTGTAATTGTTTATTACTTTGATTGAATGCTCTTCACTATCACTTGTAATTCATAATTTTGCATTCTGTTAAATCACTTTTTTTTTTAATGAAATTGTTAATAAATGTGTGCACATACGTGTGATGTAAATAAGGTGGAAGGCTAAGGATTTTTTTTGAGACCGTAGAAGAAAAAAAGACTAAAATTCTCTTAAATATTACAGAAATTTGTATATTGATGTACACAACCTATTTTTCTTTTCATTTTTTATATATATATTTATATATATATATATATTTTTTACCATTTATGACAAACATTACATTAAAGATTATTATATTTAAAAATTTCATACACATGTTTCCATGCACACTGTCGAATTTGTACACCACGGCTAAATTAATAAAAGCAGCTTGACTTTAGCGCCTCGTACTAGAAACCAAATTTGCGAATATATACTAAACATCAACAATTTTACGATAGTAAAATATAGTTTTCTGTATAGATCGTTGATGATTCATTAAGGGAACAAAAAATGATTGTTGGAAGGATGAATTCAGTACAGGACACATTAGAAGATGATATCTCTGTCAAAACGGAGGAACATAAAACCAACAACTCTGAACATTTGTAAGTATGTCAGATCAAATTAATTTTCTCTCAAATATAACATTATTTAAATTATATAGATTTTATATTATCACATTTACTTTTTTATTAAATAAAGAAAGTAATATTTTAATTTGTTTTTTAAATAATTTCTAAAGTATATTATGTAAGTATATAAGTAGAATGTTGTCCTCTGTTGACCCTCTCTTAGCTTTTGGAAGAATACTCTGAACTGGGTAGTATTGGCAAAATAGTGGTGATCGTTGAGTCCCCAGTACAGGTCTAGATGGAAAAAAAATATTTGGGTGAGGTGGACATCCCATCCTCCAGACCTGACCACCATGATCCAGCCTTCTGATGCTTAAAAAAAATAATGATAATAAAATAAAAATAACAGCATCGGCAAAGATGCTCTCACACATCAACAGCACTATCAATAGGTCGGAGATGAGGGACCTTTTTTGAAAACAGAAGTTGACACACAAACACTTACTTTAGTCCAAAGCCCCTCAGACAAAAGTTATACTTAACACATTCAGTGCAGCCTGGTTTTTCAATTTTCCCTCTCAGACATCAAAAATTTCCTATTCCTTGCATGCAGTACATCTGTTCAGCAGGTTGGGCCAGAGTGGCCTTTATGCAAGCACTGAATGTATTAATTGAAGATTGTCTTGGCTCTTTATAGAGATCCTGTAGGAATGCCACCTGATACGAGAACTGTAATGAACAGTGAGCATTTGGGCCCCCTGTTCTGATTTTTTTTAGAAGAAACAGTTGTTTTATGGTATATAGTACTGATAGATATCTCCTCTTGTGTATATTGATAGTGAATGTATTTATTAGCATTAATGTGTGGTGTGAGAAGGCAGATGGTGGAATGTTGAGTACTCTTGCCAGCCTATTTGAGTGAATAATAGAAAAGATTTTATTTAACAACAAATGAGAGTTTAAGTTTGCATAACTTTAAAATTGCTTGCGTTGGGATCTGAAATAACATAAAATAAAAACAGCCCCTGGAGCCTAAAGCCCCTGTCACACTGGATGCTAATGGCTTTTTAATTGATCATAATATAAAAAAAAATTATTATTCAGGAATCGTGAGATGATGTAGGTTTCAGAAAAACATTTTCTTTATCGTGCCGTTTCTTCTTTATTGAGATCATCTTCAGGGCTCAAAGTGTTTGTCTTCTGTGTAATTGTGCCATTCTTGCGTGTCGTGTTGAGGGTATTAGTGAGATGTTAATGTTTTTTGTTTATATATGTTTGATTTTGAAGGAGTGGTGAAGGAAGTTGGGATAGAAATTCATTTTTCCATGAAGAGTTGGCTTCTTTGAGATGAAAGGAACAATGGAAAAAAGGTAATGGCTTGTCGTCCGGCCCTGGTTAGCCTTTCAGGATTATTATAGACAGGATTATTAGGGAAAGAAGAGACAAATTGTTGAAACTTTAGACTAAGTAATTTTTTTTTTAACGAGGGTTCACAACAGCAGAGGTCGTATAAACTCTCAGGGTGCCGGTGTTATTGAAAAAGAGCCCATTTGTAAGTACATCAAGTACATCGGGTTTGAATGCAGTGTGACTGGATTCGAACCCAGGACCTTTACCTTACAGTGATGGGTGCAGTTATTGATATTGAAATTAGCTTAGCTGTGGCTGAGTTTACATGTGACTGGCCTGTGATCGATGCTGTGTTTATCTCTGTTGGTGTAAACCATTTCTAAAAAGTTACATTTATGTTTTGTTCGTAATATTTTTGGATTGTTGAAGTCAAAATTGTATTGGTGTTCAAAATGGTGGGTAGCCAGTGCTGTAGGATTTTTGTTTGGGGTTTTTGTGCAATCATAGATATGTTGTTTTACCCTCTTATCAAATATAGGGGATGTAATTCCGATATAAGTTGCCGGACAATTGATACAATTGATTTTGTAAATTACATCAGATTTATTTGTTACCGGTGTGGAATCTTTAATCCACAATTACATACGTACAATATACTGATACAAAGATACTGAAATAACTGACAGATGACAGTCAGATAAGAAAAGTTGTACAATTTGAAAGAGGATGACACCACGATTAAATATCACTGACAAACATTGCGTGAAACACTGACATTGACAGCAGAGTGGATATGACCAAGTCATATCATTCCCCCAAAGTAGGTGCTTCTCATTTCTGTATATATTTACATGTATGTACCGATTGGAGCTTATATAAATCAATCAATCCAGTAAAATGTCACTGTTTACATAAGAATTTTCAGTTAATTTTATTTTCTGTATTTATTTTATAATGACATGAAATGGTCAGTGATGATATTTAGCCAAATCAGAACATTTGGTATAACTTACTTTGAGTGTATTGAAGAAAATAGAAGAACGAGAGCGATTTTATTTTCTCTGAGACCATGACATAAAAGCCAATTTTAAAGGAGTGTGTGTCATATTCAAATCAATATCTCAGTTGTTTTGTTTATTTTAATTTTAGAACTGGAGAATTAATAGACCATGCTGAAGAAGAATGTTTGGAAATGATTGGATTAAATGAAAAGGAAGAAGAGAGAAGAATTTGCAGACTTGAGCCATGCAGCAGTGACGGTATCGAATTGGGCATAGTGGCTTCGTCTGAATTTGTCTGCAGGACTTGCACGAAGTGTTTCAAGAGGAAAGAACATCTAAATCAACACGTTAAATCCCATTCCGGTAATTTTAACTGTTTGGATTAAAAAACAAAAATTGTTTTATTTTTGTCTCCCCTTGCAGTTGATAGGCCGTTTAAATGCCGGAGTTGCTCTAGGTCATTCAACAGGAAAGAACACATGATGAGACACGAGCTATGTCACACGGGCCAAAAAGAATACATTTGCGACATATGCCTTAAAACATTCAGTCGAAAAGACAATGTGAGAAAGCACCGTAGGACGCACGAACCGTCCGGTCCGTACACGTGCGAGTATTGCGGTAAGGAGTTTGTCATCAAACCTTACTACATCATGCACCGAAACGCCCACATCACGAATGGCGAGACCCCTTTAGAACTCCAGTTCCAATGTAATATATGCCAGAAACAATTTGCAAAAAAAGATCTATTGACGCAACACCTGAAAAAGCATAAAATGACCAAAACGGAAACTTATTCGGAAAGTGATAAATCTGAATGCAAATCTCAGATGATGGACATCTTTGGTAGTGATGCAAAAATCATGGTCATCAAACCTATCAGCTCAGGTTCAAAATCTATCATAGAACAAGCATTAAAACAGGCTGGCTAGTCTTAGATGTTAGATTACCTGTTAATTTGTTTTTTATTTTTTTATTTAAAAGAAATATTTTATTTTTAGCATTTGTTTTTTACTGTATTAGATATTGAAGTGAATATTAAGTTTAGTGTTTTATGTCTTTTATTTTATTTTTTGAAAAACAAAGAGTTAGTATGTTGCAAAAGCTTTGTGCTGATTTCACATGATCTGCATTGTCACACAAACTCTCCGGAAAGAGTTAATAAGTTCTTCCATTGTGTGCCTCTTATTTTTTTTTCACATTATGTTCTGAATATTTAAATTTCTGCTACAGGTAACGATATTATTAAAATCCACATAATTGTTGATTTATAAAGTAGGTCGTTGGCTAAACAAGAAAACAGCTATTTGGTTGAGTTATAACTGTGATATTCTTTTTTAGAAGAATCTCTTTAGTTCATAATAATCCACGTAAGCGACATATTTTCAATATGACAGTTGCAAAACCAAATAAAAACTTGTATCAAGACTGTGAGTAAAATTGTAAATTTACTCCTGCATTACCAAAAAAAAAAAAATTATTAATACCAATTTGGAGTATTGAGAAATGGATCCAAAACTCAATATTTTTAACAGATTGCTATAACTGCTTCTTTTACGATCTATATATTTCTTTGTATTTAATTTGGTCACCTATTGCTAAGAAAGATATCTAATAATTTAAGTAACGATTTTTCAAAAATAAATTTTTTTATTAATACCAATTTGGAGTGTTGAGAAATACTCAATTTTTTTTTTAATTTTGTAAAAAAAGTTTTAAATTTATTTTTGAAAAATCATTACTTAAATTAATATATTTTTCTTAGCAATAGGTGATTAAATTGAATGCAAAGAAATATATAATTCGTGAAAGAAGCAGTTATAACAATCTGTTAAAAATATTGAGTTTTGGATACATTTCAGCAGTTCTAGTTTTTGTGCCATAAAATGTACAAAAGTGAAAATTGTTAGATAAAACCGAATCAAAATTAAGTTGTATTCATATTTACAAGGGGAGAGGCCATGTGGTCACTGATTCAATGATTTTTTTTTACGTGATAGTAGGTAAAAAAAAATTAGATGTAAAAATAACTGAAAATTGCTTTTACAAAGCTACCATTGCCCACAGCACTCAAATAATTTTTGAATGAAATTTTAAGGGATGTTACTATATTGAAAATATTAGACGCACGTGTCTAACGATTTGGCGAAATTGACCCCAGCAAGGTCTTAATAAAATGTTACAATATTGTGGTATATTCTGGTTCTACAAAAAGTGAAAAAAGTTCAAAATTTGTAATCGATAAAAAAAAAATACAAATTTACAACATTCTCTCTTTAAGATTTTTTTTCTTTTTGGCATTCTTGTATTACTTTCATATTTGTTTTATCTATGCATTTACATCACAGCAATAAACCAAACAGCTAGAACAAACACATGTCTAATATTTTTCAATGTACTAACATCCCTTAAAATTTTATTCAAATTGAGAGAGCTGTGAGCATCTTAGTTAACACAATTTTTCGTCTTTATTTTTTTTTTCTGAAGCACATTGGACAGAACCCTCAGACATGTGTGATGTCCAATAATTTTCAACCTAGTATCACTAAAAAAAGTTTCAAACTTTAGCCCCCCTTATTAGTCAATAATTTGTGCCAAGTTAACAATTTCAAGTTACGCTTGTATGATAATAATATTTACCATTGTTTCAAGTTATTAACTTGACAATATACTCTGTTTGTCAAAAAGTTCTAATTGCAAAATTCAAATTTGATTATAATAATTTTTAAAACTTAAAGCGCATTTTTATATTAATTATAACCATTTTGGTGCTAGATGCATCGTGGTTAGCCTTGTTGAAATGATAAATTTCTTTTTAAAAAAATTAAATTTCAGAAAAAAATATTAATTTTGTTTGAAAAATTATTAAAATTATGTTGAAGCCAAGTTACTAAATTGTGGATGTTTCATATCAAGTTAATTATCTTTAATCCAAGTTTTTTCTTCAAATAAAATGAACTATTTTTGTATATCAGTTTTTTGTTGGTTAAAAAAACTATTAATTTGTTAAAAAACAAAATAGTTGAATTTCAACTTGGCCCTAGCTTCAATGATTGAAAAATATTTATCGTATTATTACAAACTGTGTTAGGCATATTTTCTGAATGGTTTTATCCCATATGGTCAAAAAGTACCAAAGAAAAATAAAGACAAAATATAGCATATAAATATATTTTAAAATGGAAAGTATAGACATAGAAAATGTGATAATTCATTATTTTAACTAGAGGTAGAAAATTTAAAATAGTATTTGTTATTAACCAAATCGATTTCAATGTTTTTGGCTTCAATGCCAAATAATTGATGCTGTTAGAATACATTTTTACCAATACAACAAAACTAATGTTAACAATTATTACTTAATACTTTTTTATTTATAGTTTAATTTCATTATAGTCTTACCATTATTCTTTACCATTAGAATACCATTATTCTTTAATGGTATTCTTTTATTTATTAATTTGAGAATTTTTTTTCTTTCTACAAATATTGTACACGTTGATCTCAGCAATGTAAAAAAAGGTTTACCAAGTTAATTGTAGTTTATGACCTAGTCTATTGAAAAATGTTTAGTCTAGTCATCGTTTTCCCAAAAATATTGCAATTGTAAGTCTGAATATACTGGGAAGTATAGAATATTTTCATACCAGTCTTATATTATACAATGTGCTTTAGATTAACCTGTGGTTAGTGTTGAATATTTAAAATGTTATTCAAAAAAAGTTTGTGAAATAAATTTTATTTTATTTTAAATTGAAGTGTGTATTTTATTTTATTTTTTGAGGGGGGGTTTATAATAGAAGAAATATTTTTGTTTTCATTACAGAACAGTTTAAATCTATAAATTTAAAAAAAAATTAAAATATATAAATTGTTTAAAGATGTTTGTAATATAAACAGTATTATACACTACTGTAAATAATTTGTTACATATTTTTATATTGATTAATATTTATATATGCATATATGTTTTTATTTATTTTGTCAAATTTGTCAAAAAGAAAATTTTACTTTGATTTTATATAAAGGCTGTACAAGTTGTTTCTGTATTTTTTTTATTTTTTTTTATTTTTTTTATCAACTATCTCATCCTTAAATCCTACTGGCCAACAATTATTTAAGAGTATGGGTCATAAACTCACATTCCTTTGTACAAGATGGACGCGGGAGTCTCTCAGGGTAGCATCCTCAGTCTGCTACTTACTCATTTTATAATATTACTTTCCATCCTTCTTATGTTGATGACACAACCATTCCATCCTCTAACACCGACCTCGTCTTAGCTCACCAAACCTATTACACACCTATATTCCACTGAACAACGATTAAAAAAATGGTGAATCAAATTAAACACCACAAAGCCCCAAAACATAACCTTCACCCTCCATCGCATTTCTCTACTCCACCCCCTTCTCTCATACTTAAACACTTCACTACCTAGAGCTGTAACTAGACAAATGACTCACCTGGAATCCCCATACACGACTTACGAACTGACAACTGATGATACGGATTACTTAAAAGACTACTATACAAAAGTCTCTCCCTTGACAACAAAATACTTATACACAACTCAATACTGAAACAGATATGGCATAGAACTATGAGGTTTAACCAAACCTTCCAATCTCCCCAGAAACTGGATTACCTAAATGAATCCTTATATATGTTCCCAACCGCAGCATCCAAAACAACTTAAATGTTCCCTTTTTTTTCATGTGTCGTTTCTGAGTCTTCTTATGCCTCAACTAAACGACTGTTGCCTTCCGATTCACCTAATAGGAGATTCGTTATCTTGTTTGTTGTTACCCTCCCATACGTGATAAACTAAAAATACATAGATATAATATTTATACACATTTTCATAATTCACGTTCATACTAATTTACTAACCTACACTACAACTAAATTGGAGGTTGGAAGATTATTGCGATCGTGCGGCCTCCTTTCTTTCACACTAATAAATACATTCAAACGGTATTTATAAATTCCACTCATACACTAAACAATCCTAATCTAAATTGCTTGCCAGGCCTGTGGAGTACTCGATATTCCTCGACAGCCACGTCTTTTCACGCATTACCTCTCATGCTAATAAATACATTCATTCTGGACAAGCCACTACACTTCGGAAGTATAGTACCAACGAAATGCCAATGACCCGTCCCTCACATCATACTACAAATATATAACGTACCTATACTAATTTGGTGGGACTGTGAGTACTTGATATTCCGTCACAGCCACACCCATGCATACTTCAACATTCATGCAAATAAGTACATTCATACAAATAGGGGGGATATACCACGTGTGGTGGGTTATGTATAGCCATACGCATTGATTAATTTTAGGTAATCAATGACCTTCCGTTATCACTGTTGTGCTTAAGTACTTTTGTTATGTCATTGGGAAGGCCACACCGTGCTCTGTGCGGTGCTAGTTGTTCGCATTCTTCTAAAATATGTCTTACTGGTACAATTGCACCACACATGGGGCATTTCCTCGGTCTCTTGCCGATGAGATGTCCATGTGTTAGGCGGGTATGGCCTATCCTTAATCGTGTAAGTACAATTCTTTCTTTCTGTCTGAAAATTTCAGGGACTCAAGGTTTGACTGTCGGTTTTAACACCTTTAGTTTTTCATCACTTTCATTGTTAACCTCCATTTGGAGATTAAGAAGAAGGTTTAAATGAAGATGAAGGATCCAGATGTCTACATCGTCAGGAAAAGAGAAATATTGTTAGGAAGAACAGGAATGTAAAACGTATATTGAGAATAAGAAGGGCTTTAGGATGCTGCCCAGGGACACCTGTTTAATGTGAATATAAGAAGAAAACACAGATATCTACGAGATGTGGCCTTGTTAGGAATTGGACATTAAAATTTGAAAGGAAGTAGCCATTGAGCTTCCACAGCAAACCAGAGTGCCTGATTGAACAGTTGAGTCATACCGAGGATGACATTGGAGATTTATTTCTGCTCAAGAGATGGATGATATATCCACAATGCAAGTTGAAATGAAATTTTTTCCAAATATCCTCCGTTTATTTTTTATTGTATTGAAATGTTAATTTATAAATAAAAAATCAATACAAACAAAATATGATTTGTACTGTCATGTATATCAATATTAGCCATTCTTTTTGTAATTGAGTTCTTAGATCTTATTTCCCAATAAGTGACCCTATCCCGGTTCAGCCAATCATAAGTATAACTGTAGGTTCAAATACTACACGCAAACAACTTTTATACAATTAAATTCACTAATTTCATGGTCCGCTTGACCAATTAATATATTACAAATTAATTAAGGTTTTTTGGTTGAGATAAAAAAGTCAATGGCACGAGCGAAGAGAAAATTTAAAAAAAACGTGGGGTTGAGATGGGAAGTTAGCGTCCGACTGGATCAAGGTCACGATAGCTCAAGTGATAGAGCAGCGGCATATCTAGCCGAAGATCGTGGGTTCGAATCCTGCTCGTGCCATTGACTTTTTTATCTCAACCATAAAACCTTAATTAATTGTTTTATACAATTGCGAATTTCCAAAATTACATTCATATGCCATATGGGCGACTCATACTGACAGCTCGAAGAATTCAATTGGTGTGGTAGCTGCCTTTATAATCGACTCCAGAAGGTGTTTACTCTTCCTGCGCTAAGCACATAAACTTATCATTTGAACAGATTATTTGGCTTTTGGTCTTTTAGAATCAATTTTCCCTTAATCCAGTAAATCCTTCTACCTCTAACGGAAATTAGAGCAAAGAATGCCTCAGTCATATTCATGTGGTTGCCAGGATTGTGACATTCATCGAAATCTTGACGACAAGGAGGCTTAATTACCCTTCACTGAAGACATTCAGAATGCTCAGCTTCCCCACTGGGAAAACACGATGTGAAGTTAGTAAAGGAAAATAAGAGAAATTAAACAATGGCTTTCTGTTGTTAGAATATCACATAAAGAAGAAACAAGCCTGAGAATAGGGCAATGTAGACTTACGCCAAGGTTGCGTTCAAACCCCAGACAGTGGTTGCTGGCAGACAACACATCATCTGGTATGATTTTTTTTTCCAAGTTTAAATACTTAAATTGCTCGAGAGTGTATGTGATGTCTGATGGTATTCCCTGTGACGGTCATCGGTTTTTTTTTTTTTTTTTCCATTATAACCATTCCATTATATTATTTTGCTTAACTTAAAAAAAATGTACAATTTATTTAAAAAAATAAATCTCTCAAATATTTATAAGTTTTTTATTAGACATAAATAAACACAAAAATGCAATTTTTTTGTAAAAAAAAAAAATTATGTACAAAACCAAGAATCACAGAGTTCAAAATTTTCAATACTTTCGACTTTACTTTTAAAATATTTTCCACAGCTTTCACTCTCTTTATAAATCAGTTTGGCTATGGAGAAGTCATTTTTAATATTACAGTCCATTTTTATGTTCAAGTGTTCAACCAGGCAGTTAGTGACCTCTGGGATTGTGGTGAACTTATTGAAACTTCTCCTTATCTCTTTGGGTAGTACTTTCTCTAGCATAAACACGAGGTGGTGGTGGAAGTTTTGAAACTGCAAATCCGAATGCAAAGCTATGTCCACCCAGTCTTGTACACACGAAATAGGCGTTACAGATTCGCCGGAAAATAAGGACGGATTCTGGAGGATCCCTTGGGCAGCCATTACACCTGTAAATTAAATTAAATTATAATGACAAAAATATGTCAAAAGCGAAGAACTCACCGTTACAATTTGTCTCGATTTTCATTTTACTAACGTCTTCCATATTTTTGATACCACCGTTTCCGATAACTGGTACATGCACGCTATCGACGATATCTTTTATCGCACTTGTATTGACGGTCTCGCCTCTTTGTTTAACAGTCCGTCCATGAACTGTAAGAAAAGATACACCTGCCGCTTCAAAATCTCTACACATCTCAACACTTTTCCTGTAAAGATCAATTGAAAATAAAGCATAATTGCATTAATCCAAAATTCCGCAAGAACTCTTTCATACCTAATGTCATCCATTATCCTAATTTTCACAGAGACAGAAAATGGTTTAGATATTTTGTTCCTAATGCCCATGATCATTTCTTTTATCAATTGAGGCTTTGAAAGAAGGTGTGCACCGTATCCATCACTCATAGCCCATCTCTGAGGACATCCACAGTTGAGGTCAACACCATCTGCAAACCTTTGTTACAAGGAAGAAGTAAATTTTTTAGTATAACTCAAATTTTATTTTTCAAACAAGCTTAATAAGAAATTATGGATCCGGAACTTTCTGCCCAAGTTATAACTTAATTAGTATTAGATAAGAGATGATCTTTCCTTAAGCCATGCCAGTAGTAAACCTAAATCCTTGGACTTTTTTTTAAATCTGAGAATGACTGCCCAAGGATGAAAGCCATTAAAAACAGTAGCATGATCATTTCTGATCATATTTCTATGCTTATCCTCACTGTTTTTGCCTGACACTTTTATGGCCCAAGTATTGTTCCATTTATGCAACTATTATTTTAAAGATAAACCATCTTTTTCCATTCTTGACGGCCTAATCTGGTGGTTTAACTTCTGCCAAAAAATAGTCCTCTTGGGGTTCACAATCGCAGAGGTCATATCAACCCTCGGGGTGCCAGTGTTTAGTGCACATTCAGAGCCACTGGATTTGAACCCAGGACTTTTACCTAACAGTGATGAATCGCTGTATCAACATCTAAACCGTTGCAGCAACCGACAGTTTGGAAAGTAGCTTTATTCGCTTTCTTTAATATTTTCTCTTATTATTTCTTTAAAAATAAGATCAAGACCTTGATCCTGTGTTTTTTAACCCTTCTTGGCACAGAAGTTAAGTCAAAAATCTTTTGACCTGTTTTGTGTTGTCAGACATGTTTGATAGTTGTCCATCATTTTTACCAGTCTTGTTCATTGTTGAGTATCGAATTGACCAAGAAAATAGAATTAGGTCGATCGGGTCCTGGACAATTGAATAAAGCAATAGCCACTTTTGACGAGCTTTTGGAGATCTCCGAAAGCTTGGCAAAAGTGCCTATTGTTTTATTCAGTTGACCAGCACCCGATCTACTATGTAACAGCCTTGATCATATCTCTTCCTTATACTGAAGATGGCGAATAGAATTGTTCTGAATATAAAGGATAGGTAGGCCAAATTCATTGAAAATGACCATATGTCATCACCCCATATACCGCAAAAAGTAAATTTAACCAGATTTGTTGCTTGCAATTTTTTGTCCTATAATAAAGGGTACTTGTATTTTATAAAGAACCAACTTACGGGCAGACAAGCTCTGCTGCTGACACAAAGTCATCGACATTCTTCGCAGCAAACTGTACCACGAGAGGAGTGTCATCTACCTTGAAAAGAAATCGCTCAAATTAAAAGAAACCAACTTAAACCTTATTCAAACGGGTTTACCGTCGTTCGTCGTAAATTCATTTTGTCTCGCTTTGTCCGACTGTACGAAGGAATCCGCGATGATCATGGGCGTGAAGCAGAGGTCACAACCGTACTTCCTCACCAAGGCCCTGAATTCCAGCCTGCAATTTTTCAACAAGGGACGTGTAAAAAGGTAAAACACAAAGTCGAAACGGACTTACTTGCTGTATCTGACCATCGGGGCGCAAACATTGACGAGGGGCTTTTCTCTAAAGAGATCCACCACGTCAATACCCCGGCGTTCCAACATACCAGCTTCCTTCTCAGGACATACCACGGTTGACGGTCTACAGGGACAATTGACCAATTGGTGTTGGTCGAGCTTACGTGAACCACTGGGAAGTGGGAATTGTCTGGTCTGGTGCAGCGATTACGACATTGAACATAGTTTTTTCGATACCTTTTTCCGATACTACATGGCATCGATTGGTCCTAGCTTATCCATTGCATAACGCATTCAACATGTACCGCTAGCAATGAACAAGTATTTTTAAATATCCAATCATAATCAGTGATGGACAGTTAATGAACTGTGTAAAAAAAAGAACCTAGCTTAATTTCGATAGATAGGTGAAGGTCATCTCTTCGACTAAGTAGTGCCAGTTTTTTTGACACGTGAGTTCGTGCAACACCAATTGGTCAATTGTGCACGGCGAGCTGAGAGGGAAGTCAGTATGCTGGAGCTGGAACGCATGAGTATAGAGTCTACTAGTCAATGTGAGAGACTATATTGCAATTCTACATCACAAACTTTTAGCAGTTCAAACTGCTTCGTACATAGTTTCAAAATTGCATATAGTAATTCAAGCCTAGTCTAGTTTATGACATTTTTGTCAGCCCAACGTGTGTTCAAACACTCCAGCAGATGAACAGATTTTTGTCAAAGCTTGGACTCTTCTTCAGTTTCATTCGTTGTTCTCTACTGATATTTTAATACGGTCTACTAAGTCTAATACTTTCAACCTGTACCTTTGATAAGTTGCTTGAAGATACATGAACATCTCTGGCCATCGCTTCACCAAGAGTCTACCTGTGGCACCGTTTTGGCATTACCATCATAATCATCAAGCTGCAACTTAACGATTCATTCTAAGCAGGAAGGCCAGTAGCTCTTGGCTTTTGTTCAATATGGGTTTGATCACTCCAACAGACGAACAGATTCTTCTCAAAGTCCTTCTACAGCTTCATTCGTTGTTCTCAACTGAATTGTAGTACGGTCCAAAACTGTGCATAATCTTTTACTTTCCGCCTGTGCTGTTTTTGATGGGTAGCTTGTCGTTAATCCGTGTTCGAACAACCTCTTTTCTAATGATCCGAAGATACATGAACATCATTTGCCAAGATACCTGTGGCATATTAAACCATCAGGAGGAATACGGTGTTCGAGATCGTTTTGGCATTATCATCATAGTCATCAAGGTGCATCATAACGATTCATTCTAAGTCACAACGTCAGCAGCTTCTTCCTAATAGTACAGCTTAGTGGCTTTGTTTCAACGTGATGAACAGATTCTTCTCAAAGCCCTTCTTCAGCTTCATTCGTCGTTCTCAACGGACATTTTAGTACGGCCCAAAAGTGAGCACAATCTTTTACTTTCAACCGGTACTAGTAGTTTTTCATAAGTTGCTTGCAGATACATGAACATCTTTGGCCATCGATTTACCAAGAGTCTACTTGTGGCATAATAAATCATCAGGAAGAATGCGCTGTTCGACATTGTTTTGGCAATAATCAGTGTCGTCAATCAGTGTTCGAACAACCTTTGTTCGTATGATCCAAAAGAAACATGAACATTATTTGCCAAGAGTGTACCTGTGGCATATTAAACCATCAGCAAGAATACGCTATTCAACAACGTTTTGGCATTATCATCATAATCATCAAGCTGCATAATAACGATTCTAAGTAGCAACGTCAGTAGCTCTTGGCTTTTGTTCAACGTAGATTTGATCACTCCAGTAGACGAACAGATACTTCTCAAAGCTTGTACCCATCTTCAGCTTCATTCGTTGTTCTCAATTGACATTTTAGTATAGTCCAAAACTGAGCACAATCTTTTACTTTCAACTTGTGCTGTGCTTGATGGGTAGCTTGCGTTAATCAGTGTTTAAACAACCTCTTTTCATGAACATTATTTGCCAAGAGTTTACCTATAGCATAGTTTCGGGGTATAGTATACTGCGCCCTTTAAGAGCTATGTATACCTATACGATGTACCTGCATTAAACCATCAGGAAAAATACGCTATTCAACATCGTTTTGGCATTATCATCATAATCATCAAGCTACAACATAATGATTTATACTCATTCGCAACGTCAGTAGCTTCTTCCTGATAGTACAGCCGATGGATTTTGTTCAACCTGGGTTTAATCACTTCAGCAGATGAACAGGTTCTTTTCAAAGCTTGTACCCTTCATCAGCTTCATTCGTTGTTCTCAACTGACATTTTAGTACGGTCCAAAATTGAACATAATCTTACTTTCAACCTGTGCTGTTTTTGATGGATAGCTTGCGTTAATCAGTGTTCGAACAATCTCTTTGCGTATGATCCAATACAATGAATATCATTTGCCAAGAGTGTAACTCTGGCATATTAAACCATCAAGAAGAATACGCTGTTCGACATCGTTTTGGCATTATCATCATAATCATCAAGCTGCATCGTTACAACTGATTCTAAGTAGCAACGTCAGTAGCTCTTGTTTTTGTTCAACGAGGATTCGATCACTCCAGCAGATGCCCAGAGTTTTTCCAAAGCTTGGGCCCTTCTTCATTCATTCGTTGATCTCAAATCATATTAAATAACCTAGGAATGTGGTGCACCAGAAACTCTAAGATCCTGAAGCAATGAAGCACTAAGTTTAAATGTATAGTTTGTTATCATCTTGGACAGTCTGTCCTCGCTGATTTTGTCAGTCATACGCTTTTTCGCATTCCGTCTTCTTCAGTGTTGAGTTTGGGTGATTTCTTGTTAATAACTTAACCTGACTAGCTATGTTAAATTGCGAAATTCTCACATGTGGTTTATGGGGTGATAAAACTATAGCTTGACAGATATCTTGGTCTGCCTATCTGATAAATTTTATATATACCTATATTATAGGTTCATCACTGCGCAGACCACAGGAGGAAATATCACAATTAAACATAAATATACCTTAACCTAGACGTATTCAATCTCCAAAACTACACTGAATAAATGTTTAATGTTAAAAAAAAAAACTTCTGTACAGCTCTATCAAGTTTGAATCTTTTTAAATACGTTGTGTCCATAATTGTTTATTTAAGGGGATTTTAAGTCCCAGAATAATGTTATTTTTTAGTTTTAAACATGATGCCCAAACAGTCATCATATGCCCCAGATTTTTGGTTTAAACTGCGATAATTGGGTTGATAAAAAAAAACTCATTAATGATACAGATTGACATCAAACCGGGGTCACAAATTGATGACATTATTTAATTATGAAATAAAAATAAAATAATGAAAAATCTCCTGGTAACCAGACATACTCATTTTTGGCGATCGTGCTCGTCGCCTCCGTGGCGCAATCGGCTAGCGCGTTCGGCTGTTAACCGAAAGGTTGGTGGTTCGAGCCCACCCGGGGGCGAATATTTTTTTTAACATAACCAAATTTTTTTTGGCCTGTTTTGGTTTTATTTTATACATTATATTCTACTTTTCTTTCTACACGTTTGTTGAGCTTTCAGGCCTATTTTTTTTCTCAAGAACAAAACGACCTTGCGACGTATCATTTTATTTATTTAAAACAAAAACAGTTCAGGTTTATACTTTTTATTTTGACATTTTGTAAGTAATATTACGTAATAATAAATTTAAAAACCCTCCAGTTATTATTGATTTAATTATTATTATTACTCTCTAAGAGGGATTTTAGAGACGGGTCACTACCTCGACCTTATCAAATAGGAAAAATGGGTTGCCATTTTCTTCAAAGTCCCTTTGACCAAAATTTAATGACATTTTGTAAACGTTTTTAAATTTTTTTACGTACGATTTTGTCAATTTGAATTTTAGAAATAATATAATACTACTTTGCATAAAAATAATTGACATTAGCTTCCATTTTCCTTTTCTTTGCATCTCTAGGCCAGGTTCCCACATAAATTCTTTAATTTCCTCATTTCAATTATATCCCCGATACTCCTTTTCTTCATCCTTGTCAACTCGATTATCCTTTTGGTCCATATTTTTCCACCCCTCAATGCCCTGAATTTTGGTCCAAGACAGACTAAGAAAAAAAGCTCTTCGTCTTAAGGCCGATTCACACACATCAGTGACGTGACAGTTTCGTGACCGGCATTTTGTTCCACCGGCGTATTTGAAAATATTCTTCTTGGAAAGTGAATGGATTTGTTCACACTCGCCCTATATCGTATTTTCTTAATGAATTAAGAAGTTTAAGTTTGAAGCCTTAGGTTAGCAAAATTTTGTTACATCATCCACTAATTCTTTGTAGCAAATTCTCCTTCTGTCCCTCTCTTGATCCATGCTTGATGGACTCACTTCCGTTTTCCCGCTTGTCGTTGCTCTTTTTCATCCAAAATCAGTGCGATAATCAAAAGTTCATCATCTGAAAGCATTGCCATTTTGGCCACTCAAGTCCACTGCAAAGGCACGGATGAAACACTGACCAGTGCGAGGGCCATCACGACACTGTCACGTCACTGATGAAGGCCTTAGTATCTTTCCCAAATATTCCCCATCATTAAATTTATTAATATTAATTTGCAAAGTGACTGACAAAAAGTTAAAACATTGCCAAATGTCCTTCCTTCTGGATAGCACTCTGGTAAATGGAATGAATGTTCTTAAACGGAATTGACTCCTTTCCAGTGCTTCCTAGTGAAATCTCCATGTAGCACGAGTCGCACCTCATAATTTTATGTCAAATTTCATACAAAATTATATAAATATAAATGATATTCTAAAAAAAGCCTATGACGAAATCTGCGATTTACACAATTTAGATATGTTTGGATTATCCTTCATTGTGTTTACTAGATACTTATCATTGTGAATTGTAAATAGATAATAATTATTAATATTATATTCCATCTTTTTACGCCACAAATGGACATCCCTGTTAATGACATTTTCTTCTGTAAACTCATCCGAAACCCCCTTTCACCCTCTCGGATAATTCAAATAAGACGCCTATTCATGGCGCAATAATTTTTACAAAAATATCAGTATTGTTGATAATTTTTCAAAAATATTATTATTTGTCAATTAATTAAGGTTTTTAGTTGAAATGAAAAAAAGTTAATGGCACGAGAGGGATTCGAACCCACTTCGGCCTTGGGGTTGAGATGGGGAGTTGATGTCCGAGTGGTTCGAGGTCACGATAGCTCAGGTGGTAGAGCAGCGGCGTATCTAGCCGAAGGTCGTGGGTTCGAATCCCTCTCGTGCCATTAACTTTTTTTCATCTCAACTAAAAACCTTAATTAATTGTAAAGTATTAATTGGTCAAGCGGACCACGAAATTAGTGAATTTAATGAATTATTATTTGTATATTTTGCCCAATATACTTAAAACTGCCCGATAGGAAAAAATAAAATTCTTCTTCCGGTAGTTTCTGCAATTGTGTTTTGAAGAATTTTTCGCTTATCTGTGTCTTGGAAACAATCCCATTGAACCGAGGACTAATTCTTAATCTGTTGTCTTTTGGATCTACGTTTTTGGAAATTTGGTATGCCGCAAAAGGGTTCAGGGTTCTCACTACTGGGAGAAAAAAACATATATGCACATATATTTTTTACTCTTCTTTTCGGTTGTTGACTTTTCATATTTCTTGAGTTTCTTTTCAGGAACTAGACAACCATCAAAAAAATAAAATGAGTTTGATGGTCGTTTAGTTCCTGAAAAGAAACCGAAGAAATATAGATACTGGATATATCTACAGTCTATAAATAAATTATTTAAAAAAATATATATATTAAGAAGTGTCCGAAAAAATATTGGTTTGTTAATAAAAATCGATTTTTTTTTAAATTTGTAAGTGCCTTCTAAAATCCCTAACTAGTCCTAAATATCGCATGTAATCGTCTTATTCGACGAGAGTGTATTTTTTCCCGTGGTGCACAGGAAATAAAATTGAGTGAGTCTTTGAGAATTAAATTGGTGTGAACAGCGAAGGGTGAAGGGCAGCGAAGGGTTGTCGGGTGAAGGGTTGGTGAAGCGAAGCTGAACGCGTTGGGCCTTGTGGGTTCGAGTTTCGACGTTGAGGTTGAGGTCCGGCCCGGATTGGAGAGGGATTGAATTGAAAAGATTGCGCCTGCGCGCCCTCCTCGACCGCTTCACCGCCGCCAGTCCGCCACTACCACTTCATTCCGCTCCTTGCCGCCAAACGACTCGTCGCCGTTCATCCGACCCAGAGACGTCACCTCTACAACCCGCCCGATTTTATTGTGAGTAGACGGAATTTTTCCAAGATCTCTTGATTTTCCCCGGCCCCGAGGCGGGCCTGGAGGATTTTTCTCCGTTTTTTCCTCCCGCCGCCGGGGCCGGCAACGACTGGAAGTAAATATCTAAATGGGGGATATGGCGTCAGGCGAAGGACGCCGCTCCGGTCTACACCTCGACGCGACTCGGCCCGACCCTTTTTCAATTTATTTACGGACAGTACAAACTCGGAAACGGCGTGGAAAATTTTATAAAATTACGATAAATTTATTAAAGTAGGGGCGCCCTTTTTTGAACCACGCAGGACGCGTACTTCTATCGGATTTTCAACATTCTTCCAGCCGGATTAATTGGAGTTATATTTTATTTATTATTTTGAAAATGGCGGGACTGGGGGTTCAACGTGCGATTTTCATCTCTTACACGAAGAGTTTTCCTTTCGCCGAGTATTATTTTCTTTAAAAAAAAGTCCATACTTAATCCTCTAAAAAAACACGAATCGGAAAATCCATGGTTCAAGCCAAAGCGCAGAGCTTTCGGACCTTCGCGCCTTAACGGCTATTGGGACAGCTTCCCTGTCATCTTTCCCCATTCGCTTTTTACTATTTATTTTCATTTTTTAAAATTATTTTTAAACACTCAAGGCCAAAAAAAATATAGAACTATAAAAATTGCTTCCGAACAAGCATCAGTATAATTAATAAAATCCAATGTTGAGACAAATCCAACCCGATCCATCTTAGATCGTTTACATTCTCGGATGAAAATTTAATTAACGCGTAATTAATTTAACCTAAACAACTGGACAGATTCGAGTTGTCCTGATCAAATCTGATCAATTGACTGCTGATTTTTGAAAAAATTCAGCGATAATAGACGGACCCGGTAAAGTGATCGGTTCGACGCGAGCCCATCCGCCGGAACCATCAAATACTTCGCGCTTTGCCAAGATTTAAGTTCGCGGCGTAAGCCCCAGCCTAAGTATTTTGGACGAACTCAAAGATCGCGCTGGACCACGCCGTTGTTTGCTTCCGTAGATTGGCCAGCATTAAATGACAACATGGCCCCCTGATGGCGGGAATTACTTATAAAAAAATTCCATTTTGGGATTGCTTGTTTTTATTTTTTTTATTTATTTTTTTTATTTTTTTTTTTACTTCTGTTCTTTCTACCCGTTTTTTCTAATTGATACTGAAAACTTTCCACAATTGACTGCTTGTTTAATAAACAAGCAGTTTTAGACGGACCCCGTAAAATGATCGGTTCTACGTAAGCCCATCCACCGACACACACATACACAATCAGGTACTTGGCGCATTATCAGCTTAACTTTAAGTTCGGCGTAAGTCTGCCTAAGTTCTATGCACGAATATTAAGTTTATATATATTGATTATCTAAATCGCGTTGTTTCGCTTCCGTAAATTGGCCGGCTCAAAACTACAATTCGGCCGTTTTATGGCGGGAATTTAAAAACTTTACATTTAGAGATTAGTTAAGGTTTTTTATTACCATTTTTTTTCTATTTTTCTCTAATTGACACTGATTACTTTTCACAGTTGACTGATTGTTTAATAGCGGTATTAGACGGACCCAATAAAGTGATCGGTTCTACGTGAGCCTATCCACTCGTGTCAAATCGACTTCGCGGTCTGTCAAGTTTTCCATAAGTCCCGACCTAAGACTAACGTCTCTAAATCATGGACTACCCGGATCATCGTTAACTGCTTCCGGCTTCCGTAGATTGGTCATTTTTAAACTACAACCCTGAAGCCCGGTATCATTTTATTTACATTTTATCAAAAACAATTTTCGATTTAGGGAAATTTTTTTTACAACCTTTCTTTTTGTCCATGTCTCCATATTTTTTTTCTTATTCAGAAATCTAGATCATATTTAAGTATAAAATATACTGTAAAAATTATTTTTATTTGTAGTCGCGTTTCCGATCAATTCCGTCCAAAATGATCTGACACTACGAACCTGTTCACCTACCCGCAGACCCCACGAGATCTCAACTATTTGGATTTAGTTAAATATTTTATTGAACTTTTCCAACCATAAAGTGTTTTTTAATGGCCAAAAAGTTCTAAGGAGGGGGTAACAGCCGAGTCCGCGAAAAAAATTAATTAGTTGGAAAAGTTCAATTTTTAGCCTGTAAGATTCATTCTTTTCAATCATTTTGGATCCAAACCATGTTTGTTGTTTAGGCAAACATTTCAAAACAAACGGAACATAGTGGAAAATAATTTTATAAGTAATAAAACACTTTATTTATTTATTTATTTTTTTTTTAAAGGAAAATGTCTGACGACGGAACAGCAGTGGAAAAGAAAAGGGGCAGGAAATCCGCCGCAAGCGAGGTGATAAAAATAATACTGGCTATATTTTCACGATAATTTATAGGAATTTTGTAAATTTTAAAAACTTCAGTGGTTTTTTTTAATATAAATACAATAATAGCTGAGTCAATAATTGACGTAGTATTTACTCATGTCGTACAACATTCCTTTGGCTGTTTTTTTCCTTAGCTAAATCTTTTGAAAATAAATAATAAAACTGTTTTGACTATTTTTATTTTTTATTGGCAGGAGTCTCCTAAAGAAGCGAAGAAGCGCGGCAGGCAGCCGGTCGACAAGAAGGACAAGTCCGACGGCGAAGCACCAGCGAAGAGGGGCCGAGGAAGGCCGAAAGGCTCCGTAAAGAAAGGCGGCAAAGCGAAAGCAAAGGTAAAAAAAAAGTTGTGTATCGGCGGGAAACGCAGACCCGCCCACTTCTCTGTTTCATTTTCCCGCCAAACGCTCCCTCCAGCCGTTTAACCCTCTCCTACCGAGACTTTTTCTTCTTTTTTTTATTTTTTATGACCTAATCGAATTTGTATTAACGCCTTGGAAGAAAAACCCAAGCTGAATATTTTTTTCTCCACTTGTCTTTTTTTGTGGACACACTGGTTTTAAACTAACGCGGCCTAGGAGATAAATGCCCCGGCTAAAAATAACCGGCGGAGTAATACATATACTTACATCAACTCAAATCGAATCTCATCATTAGAGGCCGGATTTTTGTGTAGTAAACTTGCGATAAAAACCACAAAATGTGGGGGGGGGAGTAAAAAACTCAAAATATGAAAATATCCGAAGGGAAAAAATATCAAAATCGTGTATTAAAAAAACTTGCAGTAAAAAACCTTCAAATCTGCAAAATTCTATAGCAAAAAAAACTTGGAGTAAGAAATCTCAAAATCTGCAAAATCGTGTATTAAAAAAACTTGCACTAAAAAATTTAAAATGCCCAACATCGTGACAAAAAAACTTGGTCTAAATTCAAATTGGTAAAATTGTGTAGTAAAAACAATCAAAATGTACAAAATCCTAAAGCAAAAAAAAGTCATGTGAGTAAAACATCTCAAAATGTACAAAATCGTATAGTAAAAAAACTCAACAAGTGCAAAATTCTATTAAAAAAAAAAAAAAAAAAAAAAAAAACGGAGTAAAACTTAAAATCTGAAAAATCGTGCAGTAAAAAAACCCTTCAAAATCTGAAAAATCCTATAGAAAAAAAACTTGTAGTAAAAAATCTCCATATCTGCAAAATAATGTATTTTTGCTTAAAAAAACTTGAAATAAAAAAATTCAAAACGTGCAAAAGCGTGACAGAAAAAACTTGTAGTCAAAACTCAAATTGGTAAAATTGTGTAGTAAAAACACTCAAAATCCTATAGGAAAAAAAGGAAATAAATTCAAAACGCACAATCGTGTATTAAAAAAAGCTCAAAACGTGCAAAATTCTATATAAAAAAAATTGTAGTAAAAAAAATCTCAAAATATTCAAAATCATGTGCAAAAATAATCAACTCAAATTGATAATAAAATTCTGTAGTGAAAAAACTCAAAATGTGCAAAATCCTATTGCAAAAAAAAATTAAAAATGTGCAAAATCATGTAGTAAAAAATCTCAAAATTTGTAAAATCCCGTAGGGGGAAAACACGGAGTAAAACAATTTTAAAATGTTTAGTAAAAAAACAAAAAGCTTCAAGTGAAAAGAAAAAAAACTTCCTGTAAAAACCTTGAAATGTGCAAAATCATTTAGTAAAAACTTCAAAATGTGCAAAATTAAAAAAACAACTAAAACTTGCAATAATCCTATTGTTGTCCTATGGCTGTTCGGATTATTGAATTGTTGGGATACCTACAGCTTTTTATTCATACGACAATTATGTATTGCGTATTTTATTGATACATAAAAATTATAATTATGTACATACATAATAAGCATCTTTTTGAAGAGATTAATCAATCACCCTACCTTTTTCATTTGTACGGGCATTTTATGATTTTAACATAATTAACAACACTACCTTAATTTACTTAAAATGAGCCATAAAAAAGGACTTTTAAAATATTATTATAAATTAGGACTTCATGCTTGAAAATGAACAAATCAATCTGGTTCAATTCCCAATGTTAAACCATTTTTCGTTGTCATTTGTTTTAACAGAATACAGTCAACTTTCTCTCTCAAACCGTGAGCCAAAAAAAATTTCTATAAAAAATATTATTCCATATTACTAGGGCCAAGGTAAATTTGCCTCTCAGTGAGGGTGTGCAGTGGGGTCCAACCAATCTACTGCTGTCTATTGTTCCCCTCTTTGAAAGGCATTTTAAGTCCATGTAGTTTCTGGAGTGAACAATTTGGCAAAAAATTATTCTCTTTTCAAAACACAAGTTTTTCAATTTCACAAGAGTTAGGAGTTTTTATTATTTATTAAATAAAATTACAGACATCACAAGAGGTGTAGATATATCAATGCTTTCCTCGAATTGGAAACGAAGAAAAACTACTATTAACATAAAGTACACCCAGAGATAGACCAAAATCTTTTATTGCTAAGTAGGTAACTTTATGAATTCCTTCTTATTAGCACTTTGTCTGCGGTTGATGATGCGTCGTCTTCTTGCCTGGTACCTTTGTCGACTTGGCAGTTTGTACCAACCTTTGAATTAAATTGGCCCGGTTATCTCAAGCCTACAGTTAAATGTGTTTCCAAACACGCCTCAGTCACACAAGAAAACGAAATGTTTGTAGAAAGTCTCACATTATCTACTTATCTACTATCAAAGTATCTACTTCATATTTTGTTAAAATAATGATTTTAAATGTATGATAACAGACTTTCATGTTTCGTAAGGAAATGTTTAATGTGACTTTCTAAAATAAATCAATAAAAAAAATCTTTTAGCCTATTAATTTATCAATTTATTTTAATGGAGGAGCCAACTGTGGCATTTACTTTTAAAAACTCCATAGTTTTTCTCATTGAATATATCAATTTAAAGATGACAAATTGTTCGTTTTTATATTAAAATGTAAAAACTGTAATTTATTTTATATAGCCTAAAACTACCGGGGGTACTGGAAGAGGCCGAGGTCGCCCAAAGAAGGACGAAAAGAAAGCCGACTCCGCGGATGATGATGAAGAGGAAGAAGACGAAGGAGACGACAACTAAAATTCTAATCAACCACCTGAGGAGGAGTACAATGTTTTGTGTACTAATTTTAAAGTGTTAAATCAGCATAGGTTTTTACTGTTAGTGTCACATGACTGCCTAATTTTATTGTATCATTTTTTATTTTGTAATTAGAATTAGGATATATATTTATTTTATAAACCTAGTTTCAAGGTGTAAGTATACAAGTGCAGTAATTTTTATCTGGAACTGGACAAATTAAGTGGAATTTGTTCGATCGCTGTTTTAAATTGGACAGCGAGGTGCAATTTACCTCTGGTTTTAATAAATACCACATCATTTATTTAAATTTCAAATTTACAAATGGACTTACCGCTCTGCTATTAAGAGACATTTTTGTAATGTAATTGTTTCATGAAAAAACAATCGAACTGAGCCTGTTGTTCAGGCAAAGGGAGGGCCAAAATTTTTTGTAAATGTTCTAAATATATCTGAATGGAATATAGTAAAGGAAAAAAAACACATTTCAAGTTTTTATTAAACCTATTTTTGAAAAATTACATGAAATATAACTGCCAAGATGTGAAATTTTGAAACATTTGTATAAACAAAAAATATTTATATTCAGGGAAAAATTGACAATAGGATAATTTATAACGAACAAGTCAATTTTCTTTTTTTTTTATTGATTAATAAATAGTAGACCATATCACATTTTCAGAATGTAGCAACACTTGAATAATAAAATTAAATTAAATACAGAATTTTTTTAAAAATATCATTCCCCTCTAAAAATGGCAGAATTTGTTTTTTTAATAAAATAATAATAATTAGAATAATAAAACAATAATAAATATAAATACACAAATAATATACTTGTAAGGTGGAAGGAAGAGATTTAGTTTTGAACAGTTTATGAAAAAAGATGCATTGGACATCACGTTTTAGATCTTTGTACATTTTATGCTGCTCGGATGCTCCATTGAAATTATGTATGGGCTGAAGTAATATTGTCTTTTTCCATTTATGTTCATTTTAAATGTATTTTGAGCCACGGCGTACTTAGTACATTAAAAAATTGAATGTTTTGTAAAAATGCATTTTAAAATAAATGGAAGAAGGCTGATAACTTCAGTAAACCCTACATAACATTTCATGTTTAGCTGAGATTTCTTTCCTATTTAATTTATGAACTGAACGTTCTGATATATTAACAAAAAAAAATTGTCGTATGTGAAAAAATGAGTGTAATTTAGAGAATGTAAATTTGAATTGAATCAAGATTTTTTTAAATACCTCCAAGGCACTTTTAAAATAGATAAATACAAAAATTGTTTCACATATTACAAATACAATATGCAATGACTAGTTTGTGTTATACTTTGAGGAATTGGCCTTTTTTTATCCTAGCAAATTATTTCTAGGTAACAAATCTACTTTTTAATCAAAAATAAAGCTAAAAAAGACCGAATTAACAACACAAATGATTATCACAGGTTGTCAGAGAAGGCCACAATCAAACAATTGTCACAAACTACTCTATGATAAATATATTACAGCTAGCTACATTTGATTGATGGTGGTTAAATACTTAACATTTGACCGGACGATCCAGATAATTTAAATATATTGAATTGTAGTCCTGAAATCAAACAAATTCGATAACGATTATATCAACTCGTACTTACAAGTATTTAAAAACCATCACCCATGTAACTACATGTTTTAGTCGTGAGGAAAACCAGAAAAAAAATTCTTACAAAAACTAGTTCAGACTATTTTCAGTCTCTAGTTATTTAGGAATTTGTGATCCACTATGATATGATAGAATCTAATTCTTGCAGGTACACGGACTTTCAAACTACGTTAAAAAGCTTGTAAGCTGTGCTTTTATTATTTCAAAAATATTCGTGCTGCAATCTTTGGTTTTAAATCCGATAAGATTTTATTCGATTGTGGACGATGGAAGAATACAAGAATAAGAAAAAAAAGAAGACTAATAACAAAATTATTGAAAGATATGATTGATATTGAATAATTTACACTAAATGTTAACAAGTTGATAATTTACTAGATTTTACTAAATTTGTACAAATTTTTATTTCAACGTCCCTGTAATTATTACTCAGGATTCGTGACTATTTAAGTTTACTAATTTTGACTTTATGCGTGCACCGAGTTTATTATAAGCTGTTAAATTTTATCAATCTAAGTTCATAAATTGTGTCAATTGAACATTACACAAATTATCCGTTTCACTAGAAAAAAAAGTCATTTTGCATGAAGTATTTGTAATGCAAAACTTCAAATAACCAATGCAACCAATTACAAATAATTATATGATTGGTATGTGTGAAAGTCAATTTTTGGGACCTTTTTTTACACGATCTAATGATTTTTTTTCTTCTAAAAACTAATTTATTTACAATAATAAACAGAAATTGTATAAAGTGATTATAAGTAGAAATTAACGCAAAGTAGTAAAAATGACAAACACCACCCACTCACTGCATGCATAAAATAGATAGTGTATATTTTATTTTTGTCAATTTTGAGTTCAAGAAAGTGAATGGTATCACAGTAGATAATACTATCAAATATTCAAATGTCGTGTCGAGTCATTCGGTAGGAAGGGTAAAATAATCCGTCAGTATTTAATGTAAGTAGTAAACACTTGGAAAAAAAATCTGTTTATACCCTTCGAGACTGTCCCTCCTTGTCGTCAGCATCGAGAAGCTCCGTCTCCCAGTCTTCCTCCTCGCCAGGCGCAAAGTTGTAAAACGGCATCAAGTTATGTCGGAGCCTGTCGATCTTCTTCTTCCTCCGCATAAGAACGATCACCTGGACAGATTTTACCCTGTACTTCCGTCATTTCCAACATACCGGGCCTACTTACTACGACTGTCAGGATCATGATGGAAAAGAGAGAGTAAAAAGTCACAAGCAAATAATTAAAACCGTCGCTCGTTTCTTCGTCATCATCATGGATGAACAACGGGTCTTCTGTCGTGCTCCTGTTATTATTAGACATGATTATTCAAAAATCCTCTGTTCTTCACTCGCCAAGCTCTGAAAATACACTGTTTCATTAGAAATTTACTCTTATTTGACAGGATAAACTGGGTTACCTAAACAAAACAGCTTCCATATCACTATGTCACTATGATCAGAGATGTGGGCACTGTTTGAAATATGACAATTGAGCGATAAATGATATGTACACAGGCCGATTTCTCCGATAACTTCAGAGTATGTTTGTACTTTCGAAGATTGCCACAATCAAACAAAAACTTCAAGCTTTCAACTGCGAGGTTTTGGTTTAGTTAGGTCATTGGACAACTCCGCGCTACAGTCTCAGGCATGCAGCACAACAATCAGCATGCAGCAGTTCTCAGCATCTCAATTTTTGATTTTGTGTTCTCCTCCGAGACCAGAAAACCCTTAATATCCAACAATAATCTACAATTATTGTTAATAATTAAAGACAAATTGTTTACAAATTTGAAAAATATAATATTGTGCAATAATACCCAAACACAGATGCCTAAATTTTGTCAATATTGAACAATAAATTATATTGTGAGATTGCCTCTCACAAACTCACCACTGAAGATAAAAGAATTTGAAATATGTCTAATACACAAATAGTGACGATAAGGCAGACCAAAATGATCAGAATCAACTAAACTACAAATAAAATATTTATTTATAAATGATTCATATTCATAACTACAATATACATTGCATCACCAGCCCTCTCATTCTTTGCTGTTCTTTTCTATTCATTCTCAGATTTTCTTCCTATTCCAATTGTCAAACAAGAAGATCAATATTCAAAATTAAATACAATAAATGCAGGTGTGCCACAAGGTAGCATATTAGGTCCACTGCTTTACTTGTTATACACCAGTGATTTTCCGAAAATAGATGAAGTAAAAATTGCAACGTTTGCAGATGACACAGCGGTAATATCACTAGGACCGACTATCACCCATTCAACCAAAATCCTCCAAAATGCATGTAATAAGATAAACAAAGGACAAAAAAAAGGAAAATCAAGCTAAATCAGTATAAATCAGTTCATCTAACCTTTACAAACATAAAAGTGGACCATGTTCCGTCGCTCACAGTCGATGGAAATCCCATACAGCGATACAGCTAAATATCTGGGAATGACCTTAGATGCCAAGCTGAGATGGAAAGAGCACGTGAAGAAAAAAGCGGTTTAGTGCCATTCTTGCGTGTCGTGTCAAGAGTGCCAGTGAGATTTTGCTATTTTGTGTTTATATACGTTGGATTTGAAGGGGTGGGGAAGGATGTCGGTATAGACAAGACATTTTTGTATAAGGCTCCTTCAAAATCCAACGTATATAAACACAAAACAGCAAAATGTCACTGGCACTCTTGACACGACACACAAAAATGGCACAATTACACAGAAGAAAAACACTTTGAGTGAGTAGAAATACTTTGATTGAATATATAAAAAATATGTTTTGCATTGTATAAATTCACTTTTCCACATCCAAAATGTAATTGTTATATGTAAACAAGTAAACAATGTTTGTAAATCCCAGGCCCTGAAGATGATCTCAATAAAGATCGAAACGTTGGCACGATAAAGAAAATGTTTTTCTGAAACCTACATCACACCAGTCCGCATCTCACGATTTCTAAATAAATATCGATTAACGGTCACTAATCACCACACATAATAATAAACATAATAAAATACTTTATACTAGTCTGGTTGGGATACATAATGCCCCAGAGTAGTCAATATAAAAGGAAAAGAAGTGCCCCCATTCACACTAATAAATTGCAGACTTTATTAGCCCTGCCCCAGATTACTCGATATTAATCGGAGTGATTGAGGAAGTAGCCCCTTTTTCACGGAAATAAATTATATTTTCAGACTTCATTCGTGCTACCTCAGAGCATATCATATTCCTCAGGGTAGTATGGGAAGAATTACATTCATGCTAATAAATTACATTCCCACTGCACCAAAGTATTCGATATTCCTTGGCGTGATAGGTAAAGAAGCCCCTACCTTCACACTGATAAATTACATTCCCACATCAGACTTCATTCATACATTCACACAGCCTCAGAATACTCGATATTGCTTGTGGTTATATAGGAGAAAGCCGTTGCATTCATGCTAACAAAATTACATTCATCCGACACACTTCATTCATACTGCCTTAGAGTACTTGATATTTTTCAGTGTAATAGGGAAAGAAGCCCCTGCAACCATGCTAATAAATTACACTCACATACCAGACTTCATTCACACATTCACACTGCCATAGAGTACTCGACATTCCTCAGGGTGGAAGGGGAGGAAACACTAGCTTTCGTGTTAATAAATTATACTCACACATCCAACTTCATTCACACATTCACACTCTCCAAAATAATAAATATTCATTAGTGTAATAGGGGAAAAAGCACCTGCGTTTACACTAATAAATTACATTCACACGTTTTCACATTAGACTTCATTCATACATTCACGCTGCCCCAGAGTATTTGATATTCCTTGGGGTTATTGGGAAGAAGACCCTCATCCAAGAAAATAAATTACATTCACACACTAGACTTCATTCACACTGCTCCAGAGTATTTGATATTTCTTGGGCTAATTGGGGATAAGCCCCTACATTCATGCTAATAAATTACACTTACATATCAAACTTCATTCACACATTTAAGCTGCTCCAGAGCACTCGATATTTCTCTGGGTAACTAAAGAAGAGTCCTTCCATTCACGCTAATAAATTACATTCATGCACCATACTTCATTAACACGTTGAATCTGCCCCAGAGTACTCGATTTTCCTCGAAGTAATAGTGGAAGAAGCTCATGCATTCACAATAAAAAAATTCATTCACTCTGTCCCAGAGTACTTTTATTATTTTTTACAAAATTACATTTAATCCGTACTGATAAAAATACAAACTGTTTTTCACTTAAGTTAATACAGTGACACAACTAATATCTCATTCGCCTGAGCACTTTGTATTTTACAGGCATCATTCTCACTAATAAATACATTCTTTCCAACGTACAAACATAAACATACGAAGATCTGAATATAGTTGAAAATTAATTTTGCTTTTTATCTAAGGTCTTGGCTGAGATGGAAAACCTAATGTCACGAATGAGATTCGAACCCACAATCTTCGGCTCTCTACTCAGACACTTACTCCACTTTTACTATATTTTCATTTCAACTCAGACAAGACCTTAGATCAAAAGTATAATTAATTTAAATAAATATGATCAATTATGGCTCCTAAATGAACATATGGATTAATAGTTTAAAATATTTATCGCTTTGAGCCATTGGATCATCAATATGTGCCAGAATGTCAAAGTTCTTTTTTTGCTCTCTTAATTCCCTGCAATCTGTTATTATTTTATTAGCAGATTTTACCCTGTTATGTGCTCTGCAGTGACAATTTCCTTGTGGTCCACTCCTGTTAGGAACTGCTCTGTGTGATCTCGGTATGACCTGTGCGCAACTTGGTGTGTATGACCTTTGCCTTTCTAGACCCAGATTCTCTGAGCCGAGGTCTTTTTGAACTTTAAATATTCAATGTATTTATTTCAATCCGGTGATTTCTCCATGCATTGTTTTATTGCATTGTAACTGCTCTTTTTATATTTTCTGGATATACAGCATGGGTTGGGTCGAGTGGTCTAGTAGCTAATTTTGCCATCATATACTATTTCATTTTTTTTTCTAGTTTCATTCATTTGATTTAAAAGTCCTATAACATTGTGTTATTTTCTTGATTTTTAGGTTATGGCTTACAGGAAAACTTTAATGTCTGAAAAGTCACCACTTCATCTTCGTCTACTGGATTAGCAGATCTTACCCTAATGTACATAATTTTTAGCCATTAACTTTAGTCTGAAACAGCCAGTTAGTATGTTGTTTAATAAGCTGCATAATAATTATTTTGATTTCTTACTTTTGTGCCATGTTTTTTTGTAGCTTTAGCATAATCAAATTTATTACCATTAAGCAAATTTTATGGATTTTGGAGCAAAAAGAAAAAAAAGACCCATTATGATACTTTAATTTAAAAAAGTGAAATATTATAATTCATTTTCTAAAATCTATAAAAATATGAGTTTTGTATGGTTGATAATATGGATAAATTTTTAGAATATAAGATTTGTATCGCTGTGCAGGGCTAAGTCGGACATGAGATTAGCAATGACATTTGTCATTATGGCATGACCGATTAGGCTGAAAATTGAAATCATATAGCTTTCCAGTGTTAATACAATCTCATCTATATAACCATTCTCATCATTATCTTTTTTGTTGGAACATTGTAAATTCCTGGAAAGAGAACAAGTGATACAGATGTGTACAAAAAATGGGAGAAAAAGAAGCTTACTGTTCATTGACTGTGACAGCATTCATCTCGAGTGACTTCACCACACCGGCTACAGCGTCGAGGTTAAAGCTAAATGAAAACGTATTTGAGCGATCGCTGATGTTCCCCTTTACAGAGAGGAGTGGGCCAATATTGAGTAAAGCATAAGCGAGTTCTTTGGTAGCCTGGAAACATAGTTAATGCCTCTTTTTAACATGGATATGTTTTTCGCTAGATACACAAGTTTTTTTTGCTTTACTGGATTTGGTTAGGTTAAGTTAGGACTAGGTTACATATCCATAATTCAAAGTTTTTCCTTGAAGCGGAAAAAATATGAGAATTTATTATAAATCTATATATAAAAAAATCCTCCTCTTCAATCTGATTCAACCAGAAGATATTATTGAAAATGTGACGAAAAACTTTTTACAATATAATAACTAATAAATTGAACTGTTTAATTGAACATGCACATGAAAAATATAACTAAAACATTGTATTAATTCAATATGTAATATAATTATTTAATTATTTATAGAATATTTTTTTGTTCACAAATAACCCAATTCATTAAGGGTTTAATCTTGAAAATTCCCCTCCTCATTAAACTTGGCTATTTTCAACTATTACATTGCACTTTTTCAATATATGTCAAATGTTTTATTAAAACATGAAATAATAATAACTGATAATTATTTTAAATTATGAATCTACTACTGGGTTTTGTAATAATTGTAAATTTTTAATTTTTAAGTTCAACATGTATGGAAAATAAAGTAAAAAACCATACGTTTACAGAATCAGCGATGTTTGGGTCAATAATCGCATCAACTTTGTTTATGAGGTTTCCAATAAGAAGCTCCGAATGATCATCCAGATCAATTTCAGCTACAATAAAAATAAAATTATATACAAGGGAAAAATTATATAAGAGAATTTTTTTAAACCTTGGATGATGACGGCTGAAGCAAAGCGAGGAATCAGGATCGCATACAGAGCCGACAGTCCGAGAAGGCATTCTGCCAGATGCATTTAAGCAAGTGGTGAAACCGCTGTAAGCAACTAATCTAAATTGCCAAATTAAGCTTATCTGATTAAATCCACAAGGCACCCAAGTTTTGCTAACAATAGGGTTTGTAAATTTTCCTAGACAGGTAGTTGATAAAGAGACCTAGATAAAAACGCAAGCGGCCTTGAATTTTCATGAATATGGACCCGGTATAAAATTGCTTACTCAGCTAATAAAACCCCATCTTCAACTTGGATTGTTTTAATATTAAATCTTGCTCATTTTCGTCTGGTTTATTCTATCCATCACTTGGCATTTATCAATTTTAAGCAAATATAAATAACTATAGGCCTTTAACTAAATCTTCCTGAAATCTACAAGATTTGAAATAATCCCACAGTAATATTACAATTTTTGCCAAATTCAAAAATGTTAATTTATTAACAATCAAAAACATTTTTTAAATAATAAAAATAATGGAATAAAGTGATTAAATTTATTTATTGTGGTGTTTTGCAGGGTCATGAAACTATAGTTTTGTAATTTTCGATTAGCTTGGTCTACGTATTTTCATTCTTTTGAACAGACATAATTTTGCCATATTCAGTGGTTTGTCTAAGACAGAAACGTCAACCTTCACAATTATTATTTATTTAATTTAAGTAATTATTTTTTGTTTTTGCAACTGTCATATCAACTTCTTGTCTTTTTGAATAAGAGTCCATTTGTAAGTACTCTTGGCTCAAACAGTGATGAAGATAATGATGAATGTCAAAGTTGTAACATCAAGCATAAAAATATTAAATATTTTTTTTGGAATGAAGGCAGAAGCTTAGTATTTAGTAATTTTACAATCCAATACCAACTACTAAAATTGACAAAATTTTCCTGACAGAGGGGGAAGCAGACCAAGGTGGCTAGAATTTTTTTTTTAAATAATTAAAACAGGTCTTTCTTTAATTTGTCATTGATGTATAAACCCATTGGTACCATAAAATGTACACTTCATTAATGAACAAATGGTTGTGTAGGAGTTTTGATGCTTTCACGTTCTCATGTAGGCAGGGGCAAGACTGGTGCTTGACGGTAAATCTAAGCCCTTTGTCAATGGTGCATTGACCATGTTACAAAGAATTGTATTTTACAGTGTTTGTATACTTTTTGTATTATTCTTTTGGTATAACCCATAATTTGAATTCCATAGGTCCATAGGTTGACTTGACTGTTTATTAGAAAAAAATGTTATTCCTGTCATAGAAGACTACTGTTGGGTATTGGGGTGTTATAGTCATATTTAAAAATCCATGGGCTATGCTGGGATTCAAACCCAGGACCCTTAGCATGGCAAATATGAAACGGACGCCCTAACCAGTCGGCCACCATGGCCCTCCTTTGTTTAATTATTATTTATTAATATTTTATTATAAGTATTCTGTATAGGGGAAGGAGTATTCGGTTCTGACACCAACTACTCAGAGCACATGGGAAAATACACCAGTGTCTTCCAAGCTGAGGTCCATGCAATTGAAAGATGTACCAAAATCAATATGAACAAAGGGTAAAAATGTATGATTTATTGCGTTATTGTTTGGTCCTTCCCCGAGGGAGTGGATATTTTTCTTGTTTAGATAAATGAATGAATAATAAACAAAATAATATTAAAAAAGAAACAATTCTTATATTGAGAAATTAACAAAATTTGAAATTAAGGTCGTCGGTTTGGAATTGTCAATTTGAGATTTTTTTTTAAAGGAAACTGACTGATTATTATTATCTTCTTTTAAATTAAAAAACAGAAACAGTTCTTATATTGACTAAATATTACTACTACTATTATTTTTTTTAAATTAAAAAACGGAAACAATTCTTATGTTGAAATATTAACAAAACTTGAAATTAAGGTCTCAGTTTGGAATTAACAATTTTTTAAAGGAAACTGACTGGACATTATTATTTTTTTATATTAAAATACAGAAACAATTCTTACATGACTAATTATTATTATTATTATTAATAAAATAAAATAAACAAACTGCAAGACAGACTTTGTGTTGATTAAACAAACGAAAAATTGACTCTTTCTTGTAAACTATAAGATAAAATATCCTTTTCCAACGAAAAACAAATTAAAATGGAAAAACTTCCATGTTGATTCTCGCTAGATGAAAATAGGTTGATCTTTGCTGCTTTCTCGCCAGAAAAATCAAACATGTCGCCTCTAGTCCAGCGCAAACCCAACAGGCTTCTTCCAGTGGAAGTCTCCTTCCTCCTCCTTTTAGTGGTTTGTGGAAGGGCTTTGGGCGGCCCTTATAAATTGCACTGTGATAGATTCAAAGGAAACAGGGAAAACTGTCCTAGCAGGATTCTTAACAGGACACTAAATGGACATCTGAAGAAGATTGGCATAACCGAACGTGTCATGTGCAGATTCTGCAAAGTAGCAGAGGAGACACCAATATACCTACAACAAACTGTGATACTATACTTGTCTGCAGGAGGAAGTGTTTTAGGACGTACAACATAACTGTAGAAGAGATACAATCATTGAAAAACGGCCTATTAATCAAGTTCCTTGATGAACTAGGACTTACTGATGTGCTTTAAGCACAGAACGGAGGGTACAATAGCTCTTAAAGGACGCAGTATAATATGCACCCCAACTAATACAGCTATCTGTTAATATTCTAAAGTGGTCATTGTGGAAATTGTAAACTTTTCTAAATTTGTATATTTCTACCGATTTGAACCGACAGACCATGATTATAGATTTTTGGGTCTATTTATGTTTTTAACACTGATTTTGGGAAAATAGTTGATGCTCGATCTCATCGATATTACTGCTGAATCATGTTTCAATTTTTACCCAGTTTAAGAAAATCGCTAGTAACAAGTAACCTAGTATGTTCCCTTGGGGCACTCCTGGATTTATTTGTCTTAGTTCTGAATATTGATCTTGTTTGACTCTAAAATGTTGGCCAGTTTAAGTTGTTTCTAGATACTGCTTAAGGAGCATTCCTGTTCAATAATAAATCTTTCATGCCAGACCTTGTCAAAAGCCTGTGAAACATCAAGGAAGAAGCAGGGCAAATTAGTTTTTCTTCGAATGATTTTTCTATTACATCAGAATTACTCAGTGAATTTGGTTAATTGTTGTTAATCGGATTCCAAATTGGTGGTCTGGGATAATTTTTTTTTGCCAATAATGTTTTCAATTTGAAAATTTTGGGAAATTCGACTCGCGAGTACTTTGCCTTTTTCTGCTGTTTCTCGCCATGTCTTCCATAGGGAGTAGTCAATTTCTGGGGTAATGATCTTCTAGGTAATGCTGATCGAGTCTTCCATATTTTTTAGTACTATTTTAATATGCTGTTTAATATGTTAATGAGCCATATTGTTAAGGAAGTTTTCATCTGCAGAGTCTCTTGATGTGTGGAAATGACCATAAAAATAAAGGTTTTTAGTTAAGATAAAAAGTCAGTGCGGGATTCGAACCCACTATCTTCGGTTATCTCAACTAAAAACCTTAATTAATTGTAAGATATTAATTGGTCAAGCGGACACGAAACTAGTGAATTACATGAAAATAAATTTATAACTTTTTCTAAGCTTTTTAATTAATGTGTGGTGTTTTGTGTTATTCAATGATTATTCGGAGATCGTGAGATGCGGTTTGGTGTTTTTTAATTTTCTTTTTTTAATTAATCCTAACTCTTTAAACTTTAGTGCAAGTTGTACTGTTCAACTGAGGCTTTTGTATTAAAATAAAATGAATTTCAACTTAATAATGTACTGAAACAAAATCAACTTAACTTTAAAAGTTGTATTTTGATAGAAAATGAATGAAAACTGTTAAAAAAAGATGACACACTGAAAACTAAACGTAATGACACAAACTGAGATTATTTTATGAGTACAAAAATCCAAGAGCAAATAAATTGTTTACTGTATTTGTTAAGCGTCAATAAAAAAGCAAGATAAACTGTTAAAATACAGATTAGCGATTCTCAGATAAGCTTTGAGTGTTAATGTTTTCTCACAAAATTTCTATTAACAAAATAATAATATATACAAATTTTTTTTGGTTGTTTATATAATAAAATGAATTATCTTAGGGTGCTGAGCATTTTATAACATTGTAAAATCGTTTTAACTTAATGGATGTATTGGTTGTTTTTAGTGAAAAATCAAATCTTTAGCATTGAATACTATAACAATAATTGTTATTCAAGCTTAAAAAAAAAATATTTGGTCAAGGTGCGACCCAGCGAGTATAGACATTGGATGCCAAATGGGTCAAACCATTTTATAAGACTTTTTTTATTTAAATTATTCTCTATTAAAATGACATGGGCTACACTGGGATTCAAAGCCAGCACCTCTAATGCAATGAACATGCGTGGTCGTCCCAAGCTGAGGCAAGTTGGTTTTTTCCAATCAGCCATGTCTTCTGACATACTAATGTGCATGGTGATCAATCCTGTTGCCCCATTTGTCAAGATCTCCCTGGGGAACATCTACCTTTGTACCTCCCTATACCTCACAGGAACTCCCGGTACCAATCTAGCACCTTGCACGTGCTAAGGATCACAGCTTTCTGCATTTGCTGGTTATGCCAGGATGCAACCCCAGCTTTTCCAGTCCTCTGCTAAAGGTGATAAGGATAACTCATCATTGAAAGGATAATAGGGACAATCACCCCACCAGTTATTTGTCACGAATAATTTGTATTGCGGTTTGTTCTATCTACATAGATCTTATAAAACAATCTTAAATATAGTTATACTGATTTCAGCCGTACAAATGTATATACATAGTGTAATTAATATAGGCCTTGATGATGACCTTAAAATAGGTTGAAAGCTTGGCAGTAACGATTGAATTTATTTTTTCATCAAACCGTAATATTAATAGGAATTCACTAGTTTTCGTGGTTTTAGTGGATCGAGGTCATAATAGTTCAAGTGGTAGAGCAGCGGCGTATCTAGCTGAAGATCGTGGGTTCAAATCCTGCTCAGGGCACTGACTTTTTTTATCTCAACTAAAAACTTTAATTAATTGAAAGATATTAATTAGTCAAGTGGACCATGAAAATTAGTGAATTTAATAAGTAAAAATGAAGTATACCTTCACTAAAGCTCTCCGTGGTCATTTCATTTGTCGCCGAGAATCAAATAGATTACACGACATTTGAAAAATGGCAAAAAGGAGGGAAAATTCAAAAGGTGGGTTTGAGATGGGAAGTTAGTGTCTGAGTAGTGAGTTGATCGAGATCACGATAGTTCAAGTGGTAGAGCAGCGGCGTATCAAGCCGAAGATCGTGGGTTCGATGCCATTGATTTTTTTATCTCATCTGAAAACCTTAATTAACTGAAAGATATTAATAGGAATATTCGAAGGTTATTAAAAAAAAAAAAAAAAAAAAAAAAAAAAAAAAAAAAAAAAAAAAAATACTGTTTTAATAGAATCTAAATTTAATGCACATTTTAAAAAGGAAATTATAAAAAATCCTAAAAAAGTACAAATCATTACAAATTGACTTTAACAACATTGGAATATAACAACAGTAATATATTTATCATTATTAATGAAGTCTTGCTTTTCGTTACATGCTAACAGCAAAACGCCCTTGCACGAACAAATTTTTTAAATCTCGTCAAAAAATGTGTACAAGGCGGTGACAAACATTCAGATATTTATAAAAACTCAAATTTCAAGCGTTACAAGCTATGGCACACATACAACAATTAGCGATAAAATCTATAACAATAAATGCGTATCTTTGCTTTTTGATCTTTTACAATAATAAGTAAAACTATAATAAAAAAAGAAAAAAAAAAAGAAAGAAAAAGAAGCTATGTCTAGCACTGAGATCTTATGAGTTAATATGCTAATAAAATTCAGTACAAATTTTAGTCTTAATTTGTTAGCCTTCTGTCAATGTTTTCCCTTCCTGTATATATGGGCAACCAATATTTCTGTATCGACTGTCCAAAATTAGACAAGGCCTTTTTAATCGAAGACAAATAACCAGGCCTTTTAATGCCATTTTCATTCTGTACATTTTGAGTGACCTAAAAAAAAAAATTATAAGTAGATAAATTTGTCAAAATATTAAGATTTGCCATTTTAATTTTTCTCACATCAACTGAGCTCGAAGAAGTTAGTTTATTTCTCTTCCAAGGGCTGTGGAAGGGCAAACTGATATCATCGATATCCTCCTACAAAATTTCATTAAAAAAAAACATCGTTTTAATCAATTATTAAAAATAAAAAGTGAATCTCATTTAATTTTTCATTTACCTGTCTTTGTTTTCGTTTTCTAGGTGTCAGCGTATCAGTCATTATATTCAATTCTTTCTTGCGCAAGACTTGCCTGGCACTTACCCTTTTTGACAGTGTCTGCCTATCTTGCTGCTCCTGAAAATTATCGACACTACATGAGACAGAACAATTTTCATTTCAACTGTTTAAAGTTTATTTAAATAAGGTTTTTAGTTGAGATAAAAAAGTTAATGGCACGAGCTGGATTCGAACCCACGATCTTCAGTTGCTGCTGCTCTACCACTTGAGCTATCGTGACCTCGATCCACTCGGACACCAACTTCCCATCTTAACCCCACCTTTTGAATTTTACCTCCTTTTTGCCATTAACTTTTTATCTCAACTAAAAACCTTAATTAATTGTAAGATATTACTTGGTCAAGCGGACCACGAAACTAGTGAATTTATTTAAATAGTACAAAACGATATCATGTTTCAATATTTCAAATAAATTTACCTGCTGAATAGCCTGCTGGATTGAAGTGACCCAAGCTTCAGAAGCGTACGGCTCGTCAGAATAAAGTACCAAAGAAAACGTGTGACATGTGATATTGAAAACTTTGTCACTTAGAACATGCTGAACGACGCATTTTCTCAGTGGAAGCACACAAGAGCATCTCAACGAATTCGGTTCTCCTAGAGGAGCACCAGTCATTTTGCTGTACATTATAACATCGCTCATCAGGACAAAGTATCTTTTTTGTGCCTTCCTTCCTTTCTTTGAAACCTTAAAATTTTTTTAATGTATATTTAACAAAAGGGGACATTTAATCAACAGTACCTTCATAAGAATGCCTTCTTTGAGCAATTTTCTTCCTGGGTAAACTAAAGTAGGACGGCCTCCGCATAAACTCTTCTGCAGTTCAATAATGCGCTGCATGTTTTCATGTTCATAAACCAGACTGTTTATATGTTCTGTAGATGTTTCTACATTTTTAATGGCCTCTGTACAAAAGTCTTTAGTTATTATCGTTTTCTCGAACAATTTTTCTTATGTTTTTACCTATAATAACATTATATTGAGGATTTGTATTCGGTGTGTGACTTAAAAGTTCTTTCAAAAGTAGTCTGTAGCGAGGTATCCTTTGAATAGGCGCAATCAACAGTGAAGCGAGTTTCATCGAGACTTCAGGCCTTTCTTCTTGTCTTTTAATAAAAGCGTCCAGCTTTGGATTGACTTTTGGAAGTTCCTGAAAAACAAAAATCCATCATTAAAATTATAAAACTAAACACATTGTATACATTACTTGTAATGTCGCCAAACTCTGCCTATAGTCGTAAGCGTAAACTGAGTACAGTTTGAAAAATGGTGCGACTGTAATGAACGCTTGGGAAACATTTTCTCCGTGCTTTTTCAGTTCGTTCAGCAATTCACCGTTCACGTTGTACAACGATTCTAGATTGTCGAACATGTTCTTCAAAGTTTCTGGCATTTTCAGGTTCGATTCCAGCAGGGGTCTTTTAAAATACTAAAAATAAAATAAATGCATATTATTCATTCGAAAACAAGAAATTCCAATAAGTAATTTGTTGAAGATCACACGATACAAAGACAGTAAGCTGGGGTAAAGAAAAACGTTGGAATTGGAGGGGTCTACAAGGATGGAGTGGCTAACCAAACTGTTAAAAAAGTTCACACTTTTTGTAGCATCAGCTTGCCAATATCATCGGAAAACTGCCCTTCAGTAGTCAAATTTTAAATGTTTACATTTAATTAATTAGTTAAATGAAAACATTCTTAAAAAAATCTTTTATTCAGCCATTTGAAGCAGCTTATTTTTTTGTTCCTCCATAGTTGAAGAAGCTACCAAAATTGAGCAGTTTCTCCATGAAAGCTGAAGGGAGATGAACCTAGTTTTGACTAGGATGTATAGTGACCAAAATGACGAAAATTTTTTCATGGGGTCTGCAGGGTGAGCTAGTTTTGCAGCATCACTTCCACAATTTCTTAGGAAAATTGCCCTCTTAATTAAATGAAAACGTTCTTAATATTTAGCCATTTGAAGTCATTTTTTTCTGTTCCTCTTTAGCTAAAGCAGCTATTGAGCAGTTTCTCCATGGAGGCTGAAAGGAGATGAACCTAGTTTTGACTAGGATGTATAGTGACCAAAATGATTGAAAATGATGAAAATTTTTTCATGGGGTCTACAGGGTGAGCCAGTTTAGTTTGCTGTTAGGTTGGAGAGCCCCAAAAAAACTGATAAAAAATATATAAAAAAAAGGAGACAGACTGCTTAAAATGCAAACTTTTTTTCACATAGGTCTCACACTTTTTGCATCACCTCCACCAATTTCTTAGGAAAATTGCCCTCTTAATTAAATGAAAACTTTCTTAAAAAAATCTTTTATTTAGCCATTTGAAGCAATTTTTTTCTGTTCCTCTATAGCCGAAGCAGCTATTGAGCAGTTTCTCCATGGAGGCTGAAAGGAGATGAACCTAGTTTTGACCACTAGGTTATATAAAGTGACCAAAACGATCGAAAATGACAAAATTTTTTTCATGGGGTCTGCAGGGTGAGCCAGTTTGGTCTGTTAAAACTGCTTAAAGTGCCAACTTTTTTTACCTATGCCTTGCACTTTTTGCAGCATCACCTCCCCAATTTTTTTTAGAAAAACTGACCTCTTAGTTAAATGAAAACATTCTATATAAAATATTCTTTTTTAGACTTTTGAAGCAGCTTTTTATTTGCTTTTAATTTTTTGGTTCATCCATAATTGAAGCTCTACCAACAGGTAAAAACTGAGCAGTTTCTTCATGGAGGTTGTAGGATGACGAACCTAGTTTTCACCACTAGGATGTACTTGGCAACTAAAATGATTGAAAATGACCAAACTAAAAGGCAAAATCCAACTTCTTTTTTCCCACAGTTCACTTTACTGCAGCATCAGCTTACGAGCATCATGGGAAAACTGACCTGTTAGTAAAAATTTAAAAAATCCATTAAAAATTGTCTTTTTTTGCTTTCTATTTTGTATTTCTCTAGAGTTGAAGCAGCAATCAAAAGGCAAAATTGTTTTTTAACTTTTTTCATGGGGTCTGCAGGGTGAGCCATAGTCCGGGATGAAGAGCCCAACAAGTCTGATAAAAAAAGATACAAACTGCTAAAATGCAAAATTTTTTTCACCTATGCCTCACCCTTTTTGTAGCACACCTCCTCAATTTCTTAGGAAAACTGACCCTTAGTTAAATGAAAACTTTCTATTAAAAAAAATCTTTTTTCAGACTTTTGAAGCAGCTTTTTGTTCACTTTTAATTTTTCTGTTCACTCATAGTTGAACCTCTACCAAAAGGCAAAATTGAGCAGTTTCTCCATGGAGGCTGAAGAGTGATGAACCAAGTTTTGACCAAACTAAAAGGCACTGACTTCATAGGAAACCTGACCTGTTTGTAAAATAGGGAGGAAAAAAAAAGAAGAAAAAATTTAAAAATCTTTTTGCTGTCTACTATTTCTCTATTTTTGCAGAATTGAAACAGCTATCAAAAGGCAAAATCGTGACATTAATTCACGCGGTCTGTATGGTGAGACGTAGTTAGGTCGGCTAGAACAGAGCCCCCCCCCCCAAAAAAAAAGAGTCAAACTGCTTAAAATGCAAACTTTTTGTTACCTATGCCTCACACTTTTTGCTGCATCACCTCCTCAATTTCTTAGGAAAATTGACCCTTAGTTGAATGAAAACTTTCTATTAAAAAAAAATCTTTTTTTTCAGACTTTTAAAGCAGCTTTTTGTTTGCTTTTAATTTTTCTGTTCACTCATAGTTGAACCTCTACCAAAAGGCAAAATTGAGCAGTTTTTCCATGGAGGCTGAAGAGTGATGAACCTAGTTTTGACCAAACTAAAAGGCACCATCTTCATAGGAAAGTGTGTGGTGTTTAATGACCGTTAGTTAATGATTATTTGGAGATTGTGAGATGCGGTCTGGTGTGACATAGGTTTAGAAAAACATTTTCTTTATCTCAATAAAGATCTAAATGTTGGCACAATAAAGAAAATGTTTTTCTAAACTACATCACACCAGACCTCATATCACTATCTTCAAATAAAAACTTCATAGGAAACCTGACCTGCTAGAGAAATATGGGGTGGGAAAGAAGAGAAAAATCTTTTTCGCTGCCTTCAATTTCTCTATTTCTGCAGTATTGAAGCAGCTACCAAAAGGCAAAATTGTGTCTGGCAAAATAATTCACGCGGTCTGTACGGTGAGACGTAGTTTGGTTGGCTAGAATGGAGCCGAACAAAATTAATAAAAAAAACACAAACTGCTTAAATTGCAAACTTTTTTTTTATCCGTTTCACACTTTTTACAGAATCAGCTCACCATCACTACAAAATCGGCATACCAATGTGTAAAATAGGAAAAAGTGACCTGTGACATGCTAAGTTCAGTTTATTTTGATCAGGATTTAGACAATCTGACAGGCTATGTACATAGTTATTATGTATATTTTTTTAATACGAAAAACGTTATTGTTTGATGATTTTTTTTACCTTCATCGCCGTTTCCAGTTGGTTTAAGTAAGAAACTTCCGACGTGAAGATTTCCTCGACTGCTTTTGCTTTCAATCCAGCCTGCTTGTTTTCATATTCCTGCTGGATCTGCTTGTTCAGATCGTTAATCACTGAAATTTCGTATAGGGTTTGTTTTTAAATTATTTAAAATATTTTTTTGTTTTCAAACAAATCTACCTCTGGATTTTGTACGGCCAGTGAGAACGTTTCTCTGTTCGATTAAAGCCTTGAGCTCCGAGCTGAGGCTCGGTGTCGAAGGTGGGTTCATCTCGGTCTCAAAGATCACAACACCGTCCCATAATTTTCAAACCGGGCGTCCCAAAAATGGTTTCAAAGTGTAATTAACCGAAAAAATCAAAACAACCCGACGAATCCGTTATTTCCGCGGCTCCCCGCAAGGACTCAACAAAAGGGGATTAACATTAAAAAAAAAAACATTCGATCATATTTATCACGACGGGTGATTGAAGGGAAAAAAATAAGTGAACTTTTTCCACCCTTGTCGTGATTATAGGGCGGAGGGATTTGCTAAAATTCGTCACGTTGGGAAAAACTTTGCAGACGGACTTTTATTTTGTTATCAAGTTATTCGAAAATTCGAAGTCCTAGTGGTTAGTTCTCGGTTCAGCCGGCGAACGCTGAATGTGACTTCGTCCGGTGCGCGTCACGCCGCTCGACTTATTTTATACGCCTTTTCTTGACCAATTTTGGTGAATTTAACTTTGGCGTCAACGGCGTCGTTTGATTTCGTAGTGCAGGCGGTTTTCTTAAAGAAAAGTGAGTATTTTTCCGTATATTTACTCATTTTCCATCCATCGCCACCGGGCTCGCTCGTTCCGGCGTAAATTCCCCCTATAAATGGCCAATCCGGATTATATAACCAATTTTCAACAATCCAATTTTTTGTGTTTCAGATCATATTCTACTATGAGCTACTACAAAGGGTAAGATATTTTTCACTTTTCTAGATTATTGCTTAGGTTAAATTGAGTACTTCAGGGACCCTTTTCTGAAGAGACGAAATGCTGGCAAATCATGTTAGGAAGTTTTTTTTTTTACTGTATTGGTTTTGGATTTATACACTCTGAAACCCGCACATGTTCAACATATACATATAACATGTGCTGTCTGGAGCCTATTTGCGTTTTCTAGTCCTTCGACAATTCTTGGCACACTTTTGGCATTTACAGTAAATTGCGGGTAGACTCGAGAATCACCCACCCCAGGTGTTTGCAGTACGGGGTCAGACCTCGGTCTTACCCTTCCGGCCAACGAGGGATGGGAGCTGCGGTCAACAGCTAGGTCAATTCAACACTCAATGCTTGCAGTTCCAAACCCATTCATACAATTAGAGCACTTGTAAACCTCTTCTTTTTTCTTTTTTTCATCGGACAACGGACCCACAACAAATGGATATCTTTGTAGACATATAAGATTTCCTACCAGTTGGACTGTAGGTTCGACTTCTCCCTGGCTAAGTTTTGAGTTGGTAGTCAAGAAGATTACATATGTGTGTATAATGTATGGGTAAATTCTTTATTATTGGAAAGTGAAGAATGTGTGGTGATTAGTGACCGTTAGTCGATATTTATTTAGAAATCGTGACCGCATCTCACGATTTCTAAAAAAAGTGAAGGATGTTACACGTTTTATTCTCTTTTGGGAGAAGTTAGAAAAAGATGAAATAAAATTTTATGAAAAAAGGGAGGAACACATCTGATGCAACGCGATGTGATCCGATGCTACTCAATGCGTCTCGTTTTGGTAGGGTGTGCACATCTGTTCGACGTCATGCGTGTGCCACATTCTCGAATGTATCACAACCACCTCTTTCTTCATGCATTATTTTGAGCAAATCAATAGTTAAATTTTATGAGCAAAACGTGTAATAAATCATTAGTTAAATTTTAGGAGCAAAACAGTGCACTAAATCGTTAGTTAAATTTTATTTGCTAAACCGCATAATAAATCATTAGTTAAATTTTTATGAGTAAAACATGTAATAAATCATTAGTTAAATTTTATGAGCAAAACTGTATAGACCGTTAATTAAATTTTATGAACAAAACCATGTAATAAATTGTTAATTCAATTTTATGATCAAAACCGTGTATAAATCTTAAGTTAAATTTTATGAGCAAACCATGTAATAAATCGTTAATTAAATTTTATGAGCAAAACCATGTAATAAATTGTTAATTCAATTTTATGATCAAAACCGCATAATAAATCATTAGATAAATTTTATGAGCAAAACCGTGTAATAAATCATTAGTTAAATTTTATGAGCAAAACATGTAATAAATCATTAGTTAAATTTTATGAGCAAAACGGTGTAATAAATTGTTAGTTAAATTTTATGATCAAAACCACGTAATAAATCGTTAATTAAATTTTATGAGCAAAACTGTGTAATGAATCGTTAGTTAAATTTTATGAGCAAAACCACGTAATAAATCGTTGATTAAATTTTATGAGCAAAACATGTATAATAAATTGTTAATTCAATTTTGTTATCAAAACTGTATATTAAATCATTAGTTAATTATGAGCAAAACCATGTAATAAATCGTTAATTAAATTTTATGAGCAAAACATGTAATAAATTGTTAATTCAATTTTATTATCAAAACCGTATATTAAATCATTAGTTAATTATGAGCAAAACCGTGTAATAAATCATTGGTTAAATTTTATGAGAAAAATCATGTAATAAATTGTTAGTTAAATTTTATGTGCAAAACCGTGTAATAAATCATTAGTTAAATTTTAGGAACCAAACGGTGTAATTAATCGTTAGTTAAATGTTATGTGCAAACCCATGTAATAAATTATTAGTTAAATTCATTATATGAATAAATGGTATTCCAGTGTTTTGATAATTCTGTCAAACCATCATAATTAAATAATTTTTATAAAAACTCATGAATTTTTGATCCCATTTAATCGGGTTTACATTGTAATTAATATAATGACAAAAGTACATAAAGTTTGAAATAAAAATATGAGTGTCCAATTCTTTTGTCTTCAACTGTCTGCTATGAGTGGTAATCTGGAATGTGGGGAACTCGGGTAGCATAGAGCAGGCAGCGTTGCGTGGTGACGGGTAGATGTGCACAAGGGTAATACAATTGTATGAAAAAATTGGCCATTGAATTTGCGTTGGGTGGCTCCAGGTTACATCGTGTTGTGTTATGTTAGGTGTGTTCCACACTTGACTTTCGGATGCAGAAAAAAAAACCATGTAAACTTTTAGTTATGATGATATATGATCATTTAAAAAACAGGGAGGCAAGCAATTTGCAGAAGATGTGTGACACGTCCGGTAGCGTATATACACAACAATACAGTTGATCATACTATCTTAATGCCTGATTGGTGTCTGTCACACCAAGGGAGGCCCGACGAAACCCAGCAGTAAATAATTGCCTGATCGATGTACACACTACCATTACAGCTATACAACTTTGTAAGTCCAGTAAAACACATGGCCCGCTGTCTGATGAAAAAATGGACATCTACAAGCGCTCTTATGATGGTGGAGTACTTGATATCCTTCCAACACCCTTTGCTCATATTATACAGCTAACCTAATTGATGGTTGATGAGGTATTTGATATTCCGCTATCGACCTGCTCACACATTCGCGCTAATAAGTACAATCATGCTAATAAATAATTCACTCACATCCCTTTTTTACTCTATTAACTTGCCAGTCATTTATTATTTATACTATGTTTCAATTGGTCTTATTGGCGGGTTCACTTTTGCAATTCATGTCGAGAGACTGGTTGTAGAACTCCTTCAACCTGATGTTGAGCTAAAAGCTTGAAATCTGGATCTTTAAAAAAAAAAAAATACTGTGAGTAGGAACTATCTTTTTAAAAGGATTGAACACCGCACTCACTTCACCATTCATCATTTCTATCTATTAGAGAATGTTTTATCTGCACTGTCTTACTCTGAGGTGAGACTTTTCTACAGTTACTCAAGTTAATTGAACAGACAGGATATCACACATGGAAAACTAACAACTGAGCGTTTATGTGTAACTCCCTCTCTCTCTCTTTAAAAAAAAAAAAAAAAAAAAAATGTGATTGATTTGATTTTTGCTTAAATTTCTTTTCAGGTCAGGGTTTGGAGGCCGAGGTGCATCTGGTGGCGGTTACCGAGGTGGAAGTTCCAGTTACAGGGGAAACCGTGGAAATGAAGGAACCGGGTGGAGAGGAGGAAATCGTTCTTACGGCAGTCCGGGTGGGCGAGGAGGTGGTACCGGAGGGGCAAAATATTACGACTCTATGCCATCGTCGTTTGACTCAAGATCGAAATCCTATATAAGTAAATAGATTAAAATTATTGAAACGTTCATTTAACCCGATGCTTATTAATTTTATCAATCGTCAGGCCCGGGATCTGTCGATCGGTATTCTGGCAGGGCGAGGGATGACTACCGTTATTCAAATCAAACTGTCGAGAACATAGGGTACGGGGGACGTTTCTCTCGCGGCTCGCCAGAGCCTCCAAGGAAGAGGATGAGGACAGACAGCACCTCAGGTTCTTACGGATTGGTACGTACAATAAAAAAATAACATTTTCAATGTTTCAAGTATTTATCAAATTGAGATTTAACTGGCGATATTCAGCATTGAAAGTTGTTATTCGGTTTATAGTCACTTTTATGATTAAAGTAGATGTCTTAGAGGTTTTTAGATTCAAAAAATCCAAAATTACAAGCTGAAGTTTTCATTTTATCCTCAGTTGTAGAATACAGTCGAACTTCCCAAAATGGACACTGCTAATCACCAGACTTCCCTTGTGACCGGACAATTTTATTTTTCCCAGCATTATTTATTTACTTTACTAAGAATGCTTCTAATAAACGGACATGTTTAAAGATTTTTCAGTTAAAAAGTTTCTTGTAAGTGGACAGATAAATGAAAAATAACTTAAGATTTCACAAATGTCCTGCACAACTCTCTTGAATGCGTAAGTTTAACAAAAAAGTCAAAGAAGATCAAAGTCATACAAGACCGTGAGAAAGAGAAAATTAGTGTCATGTACAAACACACATCGTTTAAGTACAATATTTTTTATTTTCACTTAGGACTACCGCACAGTACTGATTGAACTACCAGTTGATTAGCTGACTATTTAGTCTGATTGGGTTGACTGAACTGTTACGCGGCCCATAGACGATCAATATTATTGCACAATATTTTGGGTTGTGCAATTTAATTGATCATGTGTAGACAATATTGAAAGTTTGTGCAATACATTGCATGATTGATGAAAAGTTGAAAATATATTGTACAACCTGGAAAATATTGCATCGTCTGTTGGCATTATTGTGCAATATCAGTCAGTTTGTGAAGTGTCAACAAGTGCTCAAAATATTGCACAAACTTCAATATCGCCTTCAAACTATTCAAGTTCATTGCACAAACAAAATTTTGTACAATATTATTGAACGTTAAGGGGCAACTGTCAAATTATTGTGCAATCTATATTGTACAATAATATTGACTGTCTATGGGCCGCTTTAGGTTGGCTACTTGTGTGCACACCATCCAAAAAGCAAAATAAATTAATTCCTGTCATAAAGGAGGGTATGGCTAAAGTCCAACCACCCATTGGGTTTTGTGGGCGATGGGGATAAAACCACCACAATACTTTTTTCAAACTATTCTCAATTAACTCTTCCTTACGGGATTAAACCCTTCCCCTTCTAAGGACGTTCTAGAATGTTGTACCTCTGATAAAACCCCCTTCGTTGAAAGCTTGTAGGGTGTGGGGGGTATTTTTGGAATTGAATTGGTATCATAGCCCTTTATATAATGGGGAATATTTTTTGATTTGACCTTTTGGACATTTTTTTACGATTTTTTTAAAATAAAATTTTTTTTTGTATCTAGGGGAGGGTATTTACAAGTCAAGTAATGTAATAAATGTGTTAATAAAAAGTCATGGGCTGTACCGTGATTTGAACCCAGGAATATTATCGTGTCAAATAAGTGTCCCCTAACCACTCAACCACGTCCTGAGGAAGAACACAAATTCTTAATGCTCATTGCAGGTTAAAGCCACAGTAGACGTATACTTCTATTGTTGAATCTATTCACCATAAATTCCATTGTTTCGTACAGTTTAAAGTAATTATAAGTGTTGGATGACACCTCAACTTCATCTTTTCTATTTGAGCCAAAGTGTTATACAGCCAGTACTATACAATGTTTGGCGTTTTAACGATGGCCCCATCTAATAAATGGACAAAATCCCATTCCTGCTTGGTGTCTGCTTATAGAAGTTCGACTGTATAAGAAAAATCAATCCTGAATTATTTTTTAGTAGACTGAAAAAACTACTGTGCGTAATTTTATTAAACATTGTTCAACAAAAGTGATATTTAATGTATTAATGCAATTTTTTCTTCTTCAAATAATCTAAATCTTGGTTTTTTTAATTTGAATTAGTGAATAGTGAGGATAAACAAATATCTTATATACTTTTCACTTTACTTGATGGGGAAAAAAACAGTTAATTGAAAATAATTGGCCTTGTTTTTGACAAAAAATTGGCAGAGTATTTTAAGATGGTCAGCTAGATTATATTTTTTCGTCTAAAGTCAATTTCCTTTTTGTGTACACGGTCAGCAGTAATGTTTTTCTTTTTTTCTCAGCATTTGACACAGCAAGGTTTAGAACTTTTTAGTTTATATTTACTGAACTTTTGTATTAAGGACTACATGACTGAATTGAGAAATTTAAGTGTTCTTCTTTTTTTAAAATAAATTTTGAACATATTTGTTCGCTGAGATTTAATCATTGGAAATATATATAAAAAAAAGGCGTTATCTTTTAAAGCTGATTTAAAATGCTTTTGAAAATTATTGTAAGAATTAATTTACACGGATGGTAAGATTGGATTTACAACATGATGGAAATTTTTACCACCGTAATATAATTGGAGAAGAGCATAAAAAAAAATGACTTTGGATTAAAATACAAACAAAAACATACTTTGTGCACTTTGCATTCTTACGAAAAAGAATTTAAGAATGAATTTATAATAGTAGATAAAAGTTGGCTTTACCCGACAAGCGAAAGGAACATTTTTGAACTCATGGGTGAAAGATGTTTCAGTATTGTACTCAGAACTGTTGGAAAAAAAATTCATTTTGAAAATTGAGGAATATCGATGGTAAAAAGGGGCCTTGAGGTTGTGTCATATTGGCGTCGGAGGTGAGAAACTGACGAATTGATGAAATGAAAGAGGGAATGTATAGACAACGAGGTAATCTCATTACTTCAACTATAACAGATTTTACTTGAATTTTCAGAATTAACAACTAGGAAAAGAAGAATCAATCGATTGAAAAAAAGTATATCTTTTTATGTCGTCCATTTGTTTAAAAAATAAAATATTAACAAAAAGTAAAAATAGCATTTATTGTGAATGCTGAAAGCTGTAAACTGGTTAATTATTTATATTATGAGTAATGATGGTGGAACGTGGTGTTTATTCTCATCTTGTAATATACAATGATATATAAGTGAATAATAATTACTACTAAAATATTCTTATTTTTCAAGGTATCTGTTGGAAAACTATAAATTGACCAGATATATTTTGATTTGAAGGAAGTTGATTTGTGCATTGTTTGTTATTTTATGTTAAAAAAAAGAAACAGAAAATGACTTTAGATGATTAAATGCACGAATCATTGTATATTTGTGAAACAAAGATTTGACATTGAAGCGTGAAGTTTTTACTTCATAAAAAAAAAACTTTATAAACAACAATTTGTTGAACTTGACTGCCCCCAGGCCTCTCGGAGATCACATGAGAGGAGCTTCTCATCGAACGATTATTCTGGAAGAGGCTTCTATGATAAAGGAGCCCCTGGGGGTAGCTACCTGTCAGAAAAAGGGAGCTACCGTGAAGTAAGAGAAACAAGGCCTAATGACTACACTTTCCGAAAGCCCTCTCACACGGCCAGAGGATCTTTCAGAGGAAGATCCGTAAGAGGGGTTGTCCGCAGAGGATTCAGATCTGGCACAGGGTCGTTTTTGACTAGGAAGAAATTGGTGGAATCTTATGGCATACGGAAAAGGATTTCTTCTAGATCACGAGAATACTATCGCCGACTGAAGCACTACAGACTGAAGAGGTAATAAACCATATTAGCCACAAACCTTGAAAAGACCAGATATGCATATGATAATAAATATTCAAAAAATGATATGCTGTTTTATGGTGATCGAACAAAAAAGGTAGTTAGTGGCAATTCAGATAAGAATTATTTTTAATACTTCATTCGTCATAACATACTTCATCCCAGTCGCTAAAACAAAACTAAAGTGTAATAATCTATTCTAATTGATTGCACAACGAGGTATGATGAACTTTATTGTCCTCAGAATTTTATGAAACTTTAAACAACTGATTTATAAGCGAAGTATTTCCCTCTTCATAATTCATTGTGAACATTACGAAATTGAGATCTTCTGATATTGAGTTTAAAAAAAAAATTAAACAAAAAATTAAACTGGATATAAACAGACAAGAAAACAGCGGCTCCTTTCTTGGAGATTTGAGGTGAATTACCTCAAACATCCTTGCTTTTGGATAAAGTTAATGACCTGAATATGAATTTATCAACATTTTATGGATTTTGTTTATGGCTATTTAACAACTTTTGCTTTTCATAACGGGGCTAACGTGTAGGATTAACTGTAATTATCTGCTTTTAGAGCATCATTTTACCTAAATTTTAATGCTACATCTTTTCTATTAGTATACTTATAAGTAAGGAGCAGATTTGTATGTGTTTACAGATTTTATGTATATTATTATTATTAATGCTTTATGACATTTTGATGCAATTTAAAACATGTTAATGTTACACATTTTTACATATTTTGGGGTAAATTAAATTGTTTTTACAAATATAATTTTATCACAAATATATACAAAAAATACGCTTATCTACAATTTGGCATTTATTTGAGTATACTTTCTAATACCATTATATATTTGATTAAAAAAAGAGTTATTAAATCAACTTTCAAAAAACTAGAAACAGCTGGAGGATAATTAAGCAATAAAATGAGTAAGAGGGTGGAACATGTGCTGCTTAAAAGTCCTGGGTTCAAAGAGCTAAATAATATTTCTGACATCTTGAAAGGGAATCAAAGCATAAATTCAATGTCAGAAATTAATTTAAGCCCAAAATAAATTTTAAATTTTCTGTGATAAAATCCGATAGATGAATGGCTCCTTTAGCCGATCCAAATCCATTTTAAGCCCTGATTATTGCCGTTTCAATTTCGAAAATTTGAAATATATCATTCCCAATAATTTCAAAAAATGAAATAAGTTTCAATTTTGTTATTTTAAAATGTCTCTTTAAAGTGTTGGATGTATCGACTACTTTTCTACCACGATTAATCTGTTATTATATCCCCTTATGAATACATTTTAAATAAAAATGAGTAAATTTTTTGTCAAAAATTAGAACATTTATGCACATATATTGCTTTTTTAATACATAAAAATCCACTCCTTATTTATAACTGTAATTTACATATGTGATAATAGTCCAGAAACTGTTCTATGTATTAGGTCTGCAAATTGAAACAACTGGCAATCAAAGAATTAACATAAAACTAGCTTGAATTTGAAATTGTTTACTATATTACGTGTCTCACTAAATAATCGGAAATCGTGTTGCATTTTTTTCTTTAAAATATTACGTTTCACTATTAGGCCTATGTAATTTTTTTATTTTTTATTATGTGTTATATTTAAAAAAATGACCTTATCACAAGTTCAACTTCAGAAATTTATTTTTTAAAACAATTAGAATTAATTATTAGTTATTGAAAAGTAAATGTGGATCCAATCAACAAATTAATCGAAGTTTGTTTTATGATTTTCATATAGTTTTTAAAATATTTATCACAATAATCCCAGTCTGTATTTTTTTGTTTATCCATGCAGCCATGCTGTTAGTTTGTTAAAAAAGTCACAGAACTACAACATTTCTTCAATGGTAAAATTTCCCCCTGTTGTTTTTGTTCAGGAAAAAGGAATGACATTAAAAAAAAAAAGTTTAGATAAGGAAATCTTGTCTAAGACCCATGGTGTTATACGGATATCATAGAGAGGAAGACCAAATTGGAATGGGAAGTGGACGATAAAAAGAATCTGTTTATTAGCGCTACCAAAATCGCAGCAGTCCATTTGTCTACAGGAAACTTTGTAATCCCAGAGACTATTTGCTGTGTACTATGTAAATCGAATTTTCAAAAATGAAAAACAGCCATTTTTCGGTCTGCCAAATTGTAAAACGATGTTTCTGGGCCGAATTATTTCTGGGATGATATATTTTCATGCATGAAAAAAAAAATTAAAAAAATTAACCTCCGTGGTACCAATGGTACTACTATACAAGTGTTGAGAAGAATTCGAGATGAAAATACTCGAGGAATTGTAAAGCACATCGGTGGCTCTGTTATGGTATGAGGGTGTCTCCTAATGGAACCAGTAACTTAGTATTTATCGAAGGAATTATGGACAGTAAAATAAATATGTAGACATATTGAGGCTTAATTTATTATCAAGTGCTACGAAATTAACAGAATATTTAAATTTTGTCATTCCTTTTCCCATAGAAAAATAACATGGAGATGCTTTCCCATTGAAGAAACTTACTTTTGCAGTTTTTATTTTTTATTTTATTATTATTATTTCTTTAAAAAACAATAACTAAGATCATAGCCATACAGATAATTGAGAAATACAGAATGGGATTGCTGTGATGCATTAAAAAAAAAATTCCATAACTAATCTATTAATCCTTAATGTTTTAAAAATAATTTTTCCGAAGTTGAAGTCTATTTTTATTTTGTAGAAAACTTTTGGGTTTTAAATAGGCAAATTAAAGAAATAATAGAAACAGAATTTCAAATATTCACATAATCAGTCCTAAGATTTGTGATGATTTAATCAAAATACAAAATTTTGACCTAATTTTTTTAAAAAGATTATTTATTATCAAACCTCGATGCAGTTAGTTCTAAACGTCTAGCCCTTAGATATTTATTTTGGTTCAAATAGTTAACGAAAATTATGTGAAAACTTTTTTTTTTCACGATTGTTTCTAATGATTAGATCAGGATTGAAGGATGACGATGATAAGAAAAAAGAGAGTGATGACGAACACGAAGATGATGAAATTGAGAAGGTAGTATTTAATCGTGCCCGAAAAATCAATGAATTTCTAACGATTTTTTTCCCCATCCACAGGAAGACGACGAAGACGTCGAGGGAGAAGATGAGGAAGCAGACATGGAAGAATCCGGAGATGAAGAAGAAGAAGATGCTGAAAAACCCGAGGGAAGTGAAAAAGAGAAAGAAAGTAAAGACGGCGAAGAGGAAAAGAAAGAAAATGAAGAAGTAGAGGTTAATAAAGAAAGTGAATCCCCTTCAAAGAACGTCAAGAGGAAGAAAAAGGCCGTGAAAAAGAAAAAAGTTGAAAATAAAGACGGGAAAGAAAACGAGGTAGGATTTAATCCAGGTGGACTTGTGACTAATTCATTAACTTTTTTTTTTTAAATTGGTTCAGGAGGTCAAAGTTGAAGCAACAACAAAAGAAGGTGAAACCAGTGATAAACCGTTGGCAAACTTCGTCGGGCAGAGTTTTATCAATCTCAAATGTCCTCATTGCGGTTACAAAGGGTCAACTTTTAAAGACTATTCGAAACATTTGTCTACAAAGAAGCATACAAGCTCAATGCAGACTCTTTCGAGCAGACTCCGTGCCAAACTGACTGCAATGAGAATTGAACAAAGGGAGAAACAGCGTTCACTCGACAATGAGAGTAAATCGAAAAATTTACGCCTCACGACTTTCTTCTGTACTATTTGCAAATTGAATTACAGAACCCTAAAGTCAGCCCATCAAAATTCAGTTTCTCATAAGGCAAGTTTAAAACGACTAGATCTTAACCCCGTATTGTACCAACTGCAATAAATAATTAATTTACTATTTTAGAAAATGAAAGCGTTCGTTCTGCCTTATTGTAGAATTTGTCGAATGAACTTTAAATCTCCTTGGACTTACGAAATCCATCTGTGTGATCTTATTCATATTAAGGTAGGATGGGTACTGGTATGCTCAGAAAATATAAAATTGTTATGAAATTGTGATTATAGAGAAAGGCAAGAGCAGAAAAGTTGTCTCGCCCACCAATGGGTCAAGAAGACGAGGAAACACTCAATGATCTCGATACCAGCCATTTCATGGTTTTGGATGCTGTCGGATCTGGAGATGACGGTTTGGATTATTAACTGTCCACATATTTCAATTGTCATTGTATTATATATATTATTGTATAATTCCAGCTTCTTCAGGGGAGAAAACAGATGATGAAAATGCCGATGGGGAAGGAGCTGAGAAAACTGGCGAAAAGAAGAAGAAGAAGAAAGAAGAAATCAAATTGGGCGCTGAACACTGTAAACTCGTTGAAGTTTACTTTTGCGAACTTTGCAAGATTTATCTATCAAGATCTGAAGACAGGGAAAAGACCCTGACGTTGCACTGTCGCTCCAGGACTCATCTGCAGAGGTACATTAGACACCGTGATGATAAATCGCTTCGAAGGAGAGCTGTGAAATTACACAAGGAACATGAAAAAGAAAAAGAACAGTTAAAGGTAAAACAATTTAAAAAAAGTAAAAAGTATGTTTTTGATAAATGTATTTTTTTTCAGAAGAAGGAAGATGGTGGAGATTCCAAAACTGAAATGAAACCAGAAGAGAATGACGAAAAGAAAAAAGACGAAGATTCAGAAGATAAGATTTGGTCGGAAGTAGACAAAGATCTATCAGATCTTCTACAAGAAAACGAAGAACAGAATGAAGACGAGGATGATTCTAGACAAGAAGGAGAACGCTACGACCGTTTCAAACAGAGTGACACTTTGGACAAAACAGCCGTCGATTCTCCAACGAAATCAGGCACCGCCAACGGAGTCTTGTCCTCAAATGAAAAGAACGAAGTCGAAGTCGGAAAATAATTTTTATCCTTTTACGATTATTGTTCAGTCAAGCTATACTTTTTTTTAATCATTTGTAATCTATACATATAAATTGTTTTTTAGTAATGTGTGTTTTATCTGTGCTGTTTTATCACACAATCTGTACTTTATCTGTTATATGTATGTGAAAGTAATGTCATTTGCAAGAAGTTAGTATCACTACTTTTTATTTTAAGGAAATGTAGTTTTACTTTCAAATGACTATAACAAATATATTTAAATAAACAATTAGTATTACTGCTATCTTTATTTCATATTTCCGTAATTTAACAGTTCAGCACAGAGGACGCTCGGCCGTTCTTTACCTGTGGCGGACACTTATTCCCTCTTTGCAAAATAACTGTATAGCTGTCTCAACCTTTTTTTATTGGCATAGATATTTTCAGGTTTTACAGGATTTCTTGAAAAATTATTTATCTTCCACAGGACTTTTCTTTCAAGATTTTTGAATTAAACTATGATTTTCCTGAAATGAAAGGCTAGTATAAATATTTTACAAATTCATCGTATTCCTGCAACAAATTTTTATATTTTCACAAACAAAAATGACAAAAGTTTTGTAGTTTTATATAAATAATATATGAATAAAAACGTTGAATACATAGAGCTGCGTTTCCAGTGAAAAAAATCGCACAACTAAACGCGAGAATTACTTGTGAAACGCCATCTCGGGTTAACCATTTCCACGAGGCGAAACATTTTGCACCCTAGAGACGAAACAGTGAGCCGTCAGTTTGCGCGATTATAACTGCTGCACCAGCGTTTGCTATCATAGCGATAATTTATGTTAAAAAGAAAAACGGAGAATACGCGGATGGAGCAAATCAGTAGAACCCATCTATGAATTAGAAACTTTACCCAGAGGACTTCTGAAGACTGAATATCTGGTCACAGGTTTTTTATTTTTAGCATCCCACAAAAATCAGTAGCTTTGATATATTCGTATAAGTCGAATGCACTTCTGGTTCATTTTCATAATCGAGAAAAGTGCGTTTTCACAGAACGAAACACTGATGCACACTAAAAAACTTGACAGCTGGTCAGCTCACCCCGAAACGTCGTCATGCCATAAGTTTCTCAGTCCCGGCTAAGTCTCCACAACACAAGATAAGTTTAGCACAGTCTTTTATATGAAACGTAAATAAAAAAATACAAATCTCAAATAAATTTAAAGTTAAAGGGGGCTTCACACTCAAAGGACAGGACAGGGTCGACCTAGGACTACAGATGAGAGAGACTATAGATTCATCCATCTTCTTACCACAGCGCAGAAAATGGTGAGACTTCAATTCACACAGGGAACGTGAATTGGACGTTAAGATATCGGGCGAGTTTTCTTTATAGATGAGGTGATGGTTGTCCTCAAATGGGAAGTAGCTGCTTAGGAGAATGGTATGCTGTATGGTTTCTCAGGTGGCATTCCATGGTGGGTCCTTTCCTTGGATGCTCGCACCGAATTGGTTGTTGTGGGAGGAAGATCTCTCACAGAGATACTTATAAGACATAAATGAACATGTACCATTTGACTCCCATCAGGGATTCTTGCCAGTACAGGAGCCGTAGAACATGTATTCTAGATGACTACCTGATTGAGTGCTTGATCTGTTCCGCTCGAAGTCCAGATTTGAACCAAATTGAACACATTTAGGACCAACTTAAGTGACGCCAAAACCCAGATCCTATCACCCAAAAAGAATAGAAAAGAATTCGTCAGAATTTTATCAGAAATCTTTTCCAAGGATTGCAAAAGCGTTTAAATTGGTATGTAAAATATCAATAAAACTAAATAAATTAATATTTAAAGGCGGTGCGTAATTTTTTCCATTAATGTATATTTTAAATCCTCAAGTTCCACGTTATTTTGTAGGCAGAATTTGTGTCCTGGACAGCCGTAATTAGGTAAATATCCTAATTAATTTAAAATCTTACAATATTTGAGACACGTGAACCACTCTAATTACTTAAATTCACTAATTTTGTGGTTCGCTTGACCAATTAATATATTACAATTAATTAAGGTTTTTAGTTGAGATAAAAAAGTCAATGGCATGAGCGGGATTCGAACCCACGATCTTCGGCTAGATACGCCGCTGCTCTACCACTTGAGCTATCGTGACCTCGATCCACTCGGACACCAACTTCCCATCTCAACCACACCTTTTGAATATTCCCTATACTAAAAACCTTAATTAATTGTAATATATTAAATCGTTGCTAATAAATCAAATTGTGAATTTTGTAAAAGGGGAAAGAACGAGCAAAATACATTTTACAATTAATAAGTAAACAACTTTTAATTACTTCACAAACTTTTCCAATGTAAGAGGTATGCAAATATAAAATTTTCTTAAATTATTGTTTTTTTATTATATTATTATTATTAAGATTTGGGAGCCTTTTCTTTTTTTAATGCTGCTGCTTCAGCTTCGGACTTTTCAAAGGCTTCAATGAGCTTCTCGACTTCTGGAACTGGCAGTATTCTAGTTACACATTTCCCCTTAATACGCTGAAGTGTTGCTACCTCAACTGGAAAAAAATAAATTATTATGTAATATAGCTGAAGGTATAAACGAAGTTAATAATGACTCCGTACCCCGATCTACTGTTAATTTAGCCGTGTCCAATGTTTTACTTAGCACTTTAATGCCTAAAGCAAGTGCGTCATTGACTGTCATCTCGCCCTCTTTATAATCAGATTTCAAACTTGACACTGCAGCCTAAGACAAATTTAAATGAAAATTTAATCAATATTTTTTGACAATGTCAAAATTAAAATTAACAGAAAACTAACGCCGCTGTTGTGACCGATGCAGGTCGCTTTCCATCCGGAGTAGTTCCCGCTAGGGTCCGACTGGTACAATTGGTATCCGTAGTGTTTGTCCCATCCCATGTAAAGGACAGAGACGCCAAAAGGACGCTTTCCTCCGTACTGCGTGTATGCCTGTTTTATATCACACAGCCAAGAGACGAGCTGTTCGCAAGGGATCGTCTCACCGTACTGAATTAGGTATCTCTGGGAAATTAACCTTAGCTCGTTCGTGAGCACATTAGCATCTGCAGTTATCCCAGCTAGACTGCAAATCATGTTCCTAAAGAGAGGAAAAAAAAGATACAATTATTCAAATTTTTTTGTAAACGCGGAAACAAATCTTTTACTCGTTGAGTTTGTAAATTTTTTCTGAGTAGACCAGTTCATCAAGAAGTTTGTTTGGGTTTCTTTTTTCAGCAACAAGAATGATGCCGTCATTTGCTAGAATACCGAGACAAGTTCCAGCATGGCTAATGGCCTCCATGGCGTACTCCACTTGGTACAATCTCCCTGAATTTTGTATATGGTTAGCATAAAGAATTTAATGAAATTATTAACAAAAGTAAATTTTTTGATTTACTACCTTCTGGAGAGAAAATTGTGGTTCTTGAGTCATACCTTCGAGCCTGAAATAGATTTTTACAATCAACAATCGTTAACAGTTAGGAACATAACTACATAAATCACTTAGATATTTTGTTAAGTTTCATTTGATCATGTTAGATCTCTAATTTATTAGGGTTCAGTGGGTTTACTATTGATGTGCAGTTGAATTTATTTACAATATTTATTTTTGTTTAGTGTGGCCGTTTTCAATCATTCTGGCCTGCCTATCCTCACGCTTTTTGTTTGTCTGATGTTGCAGCCAATAAAAGTTGCAAAATTTTGCTACCATCTTTACTGCTGCATATTACATTTGTTCGTTTTGTCCAAACCAAGTCCCTATTAGCTTGACTAGTGGACTTCACTGCCTAAATGTACTTAGAAAACTGTAATTTGGTAATTGTAATCTTGGCTTGCCTATGTTTGAATTTTGGCCTGTCAGGAATGTTTCAGCTTTTCACCATCTTCACCAATACACAGACTAAAATGATCAAAAATACAAAATGCAGGTGCATTAAGCCTCAATCATCGAGAATAATATGTGCAAATATAATTTAGACTATATCTGAACCTTCATATATTCAAACAAATTTAAAAAAAAATTAATTCCAACATGGAAAAAAGGAGGGATAATGTAAAAAAGATGGTAAGGACATAATTTTATCCTTACAATAATTATAATTTATAACATTATGAGACGATCAATGAAGATGGCAAAATGCTGAATCCTGTCTGACACCAAAACAGCAAGGAGAGGAAAACCAAAATGATCAAGGGTTTATCAAGCAGACACCAAGGAGAAATCTTACAAAATACTTATTGTGGTATTTCTTCTTAAGATCTCAGCTGTCATTGGTGGTCACAATGGCATTGATAGGACATTAATAGGTAACGGACTCGGTTAGAACTCTGCAGCCCTACATTTCAAACCAACAAATTTATAAACGGACATTTAAAAAAAATCTCCATTAAAAAATAAATAATTTTAAAGAAAAAAAAAAATAAAACATGAAGTTTGGCCACTTCAGATCATTTTCGTCTGCCAATCCTCACTGTTTGGTCTGTCAGACGCTGCAAAATACTACACAACCACTGAAGATGGCAAATTTTTTAATAATGTCTTGATAGACCAGATTGTTCGGAAATGACCAAACAAGTTTATCAAGCAAAGACCCCAATAAGAAATCTTACAAAATGGTTTCTTCTTGAGGTCTGTTGTATTATAAACACATAATTTGGCGCTTTCAGATTATTTCCTGCCCCCACAGTTTTTGGTCTGCCAGATTCTGCATAATATCATAAAACCTCTGAAGATGGCAATATGCTAAAATATACCTGACATCAAAATTATCATTACAACCAAAATACAGGTTTATCAAGCACAGACCCAAATAAGAAATTGGTCAAAATACTTATTCTGGGATTCTTTCTCAAGTTCTGAGGTGTTATAAAAAGGTATTTCAGTCCACCTAGCCTCACTGTTTTAGTCTGTTGGATGCTGTACAACACCACAGATCATCCGAAGATGGAAAAACAAAAAAGGTGTATGAAATATCTAAAGATCATAAACGACCAAACTTTACCAAACTTATGTTCATTAAGCACAGACCCCAATAAGAAATCTTACCAAACAGGTATTGTAAGATTTCTCTTTGAAGTGTTATAAATATTATATACTTGAGATCTTTTTGGTTTGCCTGATCTCACAGTATTGGCCTGTCAGACTCTGCAAAATAACAAGAACCTCTGAAGATGGCAAAATGGTAAAACATGCTTGACAGACCAAAACGAGCAGACATGACCAAACTTCATGTTCATTAAGCATAGACCCCCCCCAACAAGAAATCTTTCAAATTATTTATGGTAAGGTTTCTCCTCGAGGTCTGAGGTGTAATAAACATTGGATACTTGAGATCGTTTTGGTTTGCCTGATCTCACAGTTTCGGCCTGTCAGACGTGCAAAATACCAAGAACCTCTGAAGATGGAAAAGTGCTAAAACATGGCTGACAGACAAAAATGAGTGTAAATGACCAAACTATGGATTTATTAAGCACAGACCCCAGTAAGAAATCTTTCAATATTTATCGTAAGATTTCTCCTTGAGGTTTGTTTTAGACACTTGAGGTCTTTTCTGGTTTGCCTGTCCTCTTTGTTTTGGTCTGTCAACGCTAGAAATACCAAGAACCTCTGAAGATGGCAAAACACTTAACTATATCATGGTTGACAGACAAAAATGAGTGAAAACGACCAAACTACATGTTAATTAAGCACAGACTCCAATAAGAAATCTTAAAATTCTTATTTTGACATTTCTCCTCGAGGTGTTATAAACAGTGGACACTTGAGGTCTTTATGGTTTGCCTATCCTCTCCGTTTTGATCTGTCAAACACTGGAAAATACCAAGAATGTCTGAAGATGGCAAAATACTAAATCATGGTTGACGGACAAAAATGAGCGAAAATGACTAAACTATGGGTTCATTAAGCACAGACCCCAATAAGAAATCTTTCAAAATATTTATTGTGAGATTTCTCCTTGAGGTCTTATAAACACTGGACATATGAGGTCTTTTTGGTTTGCCTGTCCTCTCCATTTTGGTCTGTCAAACACTACAAATATGGCGAAATGCTGAAACACAGAACAAACTAAAACCACCAAGAAATTACCATGCTGAAACTGATAAATATTTAGTTTTATCCGATGAAAGTAAAAGTGATTAAAACTGTATTGAACCTAGTATGGTTAGGGTTGTGAAAATAGTGATTAAACTTGGTTAAGATTTGAAACAAGAACATCACCCATGTTCAGAGTTATGTTAATACATTCATTTAGAAAAAAAAGGTAGTGATTTTTATGGGAAATTGATAAATGCGAAAAATGAACGATACAAGAAAAACCAGTTTTGTTTTTTCCATTAGCAATGTTAATGTAAACTCGATATATAAAGAGTAAATAATAAATATTTAAAATACACTTACCATGATTAATATAAATAAATTGTTATTTGGGGAACAAGAACCGGTAAACTCGACCTGGTACCTGTGGGGATGAGTTTCGGATTTAGTGTGGTTACAAAGCAAGTTTAGGCGACGGAGAGTCTTCACTCCACCGGTGACTGACCAATTCTCAGTTTTTTCCTCTTGTCACCTTTACGGAAAATTCCTTCTAAACTGTCTTTATCGGATATAACGAAAATGTCGTTTTTTCCGTACGACATTTCAAAATTGTCCGTTGGTTTTTTCTCTCGGAAGAAATTAAATTGCGGAAAGAGAAGTGCGATTTTTCGGATAACGGGGGCTTTGGGTTTATAACCAGCCGAAAGGGGGAATGAAATCTCCGGTGGACGAGGTCCGATTTTTCTGTCGTCAGTCGAATTTATCCCTATAAAAGAACCGTGAAATGTCGATTTTTTAAATTTTTCTTTCATTTTTTCTTTCTTTAATCTCCGGACAGGAGATTCGTTGAGTTATCCACCAAATTCGAAGAGGCCGAAATGGCGCACAGGCTCCTCTTGACCGCGAGGAAGTTGGAGAGGATGATCCTCGTCGGTCTCCAGAAAGGCTCTTTGGACTCTTTGACCGTAAGTCCCGACTTAATTAGGACAATATAAACAAAAATAAACATTACGGACTATTTTCAATTTAAATATTTATCCAAGTTGTGAAAAAAGTCAATTTTCGCTGGTTTTTCACTAAAAAAAATTGTCCTGAATACTATCTACTACATATCAAATCTGCTCTACTTCAGCATAGGCTTTTGAGACTGATTTTGTAATCTATTTTTTTACTAAGTATATTATTTTGGGCTTCATAAAATAAAAATGACAAGTATTTGTTTGTACAAATGAATTAAAATTAATTAAATCATCTTAAGGATACAACCTTATTACTGCATAAAGGACCAGTATGTAGTTTATGCATTACATAATATAATGCAAAGCATTTCAGAAGATTTTATTTACACAAATATCTTCATTTATTGACTCCCATGCCCTTATATCCCCTTTTCAATTTGGATCAGACCTTGAAAAAAGCCCATTTTAAGTTTGTCAGTTTGAATTCAGGGCTGCTGGATCCGAACCCTGGACAAAATCCCACAATGAGTATTTTGTAAGATTTCTTCTTGGATCTGAGTTGGATCAACCTAGTTTGGATGTTTCCAATCATTTTGGTCTGTCAGACATGATTACAAATTTGGTCATGTTCAGTGGTTGGTCTATGGCGACTTACAGCGTCTGACAGACTTAAAAAATTCAAGAAAGACAGATGAAAATTACGTGAAGTGTCCAAAATTCATGATTATGACAGTGTTAGATTGTTAGAGCAGAATAATTATAAATAGAAATGAAAACATTTATTTCTGAAATAAAACGTTACCTTCGCTGTTCACCATCTAGTTTGTTAAGATAAATAATTGTTGATACAAACTTCAAATAGATAAATATTGTAAAATATCTCAAATAAGTTCCTTTTTTGTTTTTAGTTGAACAAGAGCCTTTCACAAATTACAAAGATCCCTGGAGTCCCATCCATTGGATCAATATGGCAGGATTGGAAGACGTTTTGCGAGAATCCACCCAAAGGTTTTGAAAAATTCTTTAAGCCAAAAGAGACTAAAAGCGCCAAAGAGTTGAAGAAGGAGGGCGAAAAGGAAGACACTGAAGCTGCTGCTCTAAAAGAAAAGTCGCCCAAATCTCCGCCTCAACAACCTCCTCCTACTAAACAGCAGCAGCAACAGCAATGGTCTTTTGGAGTTTTTGGTAGCCCGAGGTATAAAAATTGGACTTTAAAAAGTTATTTAAGAGATAAAGACAATTTAATTTGTGTATTTTCTTCATTTTTGTTGTCCTTTTTTTCTATTTATAGATGGTTTACTTTACATTCATTAATTTCGTGGTCCGTTTGACCAATTACCAGATTTTACCTTACAATGATGGCAATTACAGCTTTTGCTATTTACAGTAAATTATCAGTAGGCCTCAAGAATTGTCCATTCCTGGTGTTGGCATTAGGCAGTTAGACTTCGGGTATTATCTGTCCTAGCAACAAAGATTGGCTCCTGGGATATCAATAGCTAGGTCATTTTGCCCCCTACACGGTTTCTAAATCCAAACCCATTCACACTCAATCACTCTTTCTCTCTTTCTTATTTACATACTATTTACTGTGTTAGGGTGATAAGTACTTGATATTCCTTCATCACCCTTTACATCTGTTATATAATAACCAACTTACTGAGGATCGATGGGTACTCAATATTCCGCAATCAGCCCTCTTGCACATTCATGCTAATAAATACATTCACTCAACACACCAGTGAATTCATAAATATCAGTACTATGTACAATAAAACAAACCTGTTTCCACCAAAAATCGAAACAGAGAACCCAGATATTCACTACTTTTGGGTGGCATTCCTACACACTCTCTATATGGAGCCAAAAATTGACTGTTCAAATAGATGTAACACATTGAACAATCTTTCTCACCTGCCAGACACATACGCAGGTTTTAGCCCAAAAGTAAGTGTCCGAGTGTCAAACCGCATGGCCTTTTCTTAATTAGGTGAGGATGAACCTCCTCCCAATCAGATCCTCCAACAGCCACCTATCGACCCTGCTTTTGATATTGAAAGCTTCTCTTCCGATTAGCTCGCCGATGCTGCTACTTTCTTTAAAGTTTCTTCTTCTTTGCTTCTTTCTTTTTATTGAATTTTGTATCGTCAGAGGGCTGGTTCATGGTGGTCATGTCTGGAGGTTGGGGCGGCCCTTATAAGAAGAGCACAGGCGACTATGAAATCATAAGCTGGGTTTCCACTGTATGAAAAAATCACTTGTGCAGCTAAATTACTCAGAAAACAACGTTAACTATTTCCACAAGGCGAAACATTTTGCACGATACAGGCGACACAAGGTGAGCTATCAGTTGCACAAGACAAGTATGCCATTTATAACTACACAAACTGCTTTATCAGTGTTTGCTATCATGGTGATACTTTTTGTAAAAAAAAGAAAAACAAACAAAGTTGAGTTGAGTTTTATTATTTTATTTATTTTTTAATGAGTTTTGTCTAGCATACCACAAAAATCAGTAGCTGTGATACATTCGGTTGAAGTTGAATGCATTCCTCCTGGTTCATTCTCTACTCATGACAAACGCATTTATACTGAGAGAAACAAACAACGCGAAACACTTTGATGCGCACTAAAACTGAGTCGGCTCACCCCGATACATCCTTTCGCCAAAAGTTTCGCGAGTGAGTTTTGTGCAGTGGAAACCCAGTTTTAGACCTGTCCGTAAAGTTGACGTGAAAACTGGTCTACCTCGATCTAAGTTCCTCATAGATGGTTTGATTTTTCTTTTGTAGGACTTATTATGTGAAGGCATTTTTAACTAATAAGGCATTTTTAACTAATAATAATAATAAAAGATAAATTAAAAAAGTTAATTGCATGTTACAAATAATGATTAAATATAAAATTAATGAAAATTGACATAAAAAGGACATATTTAATTTCTTTTGTACAACAATGAATGCATTTTTAAAAAAAATCAAGAACTGGTGGACCAGGCGGGTCAGGTCCAGGAAAACCGCTAGGCGATTCTGAAAAAGAAAAATGGCTCCTTCTTGGTCTGATCGGGATGGTTGGTCTCATCGCATCCATAGCACTTTATGAGATGGGATATAAAGAAATTACCTGGAAAGAATTTGTAAATAAGTGAGTAAGTGTAAATAATATATTTTTTTAAAAGTTAATTATTTTTTTTAACGATTGACCTCTTTTAGTTTCTTATCCAAAGGTATAGTAGAAAAATTGGAGGTGGTGAATAAAAAATGGGTCAGAGTTCGCCTAACTCCTGGAAACAGCGCTGATGGACCGGTAAGGGTTTTATACGTGTTGTGACTTTACTTGATTCATTTCCGTTTAAGGGAGTGCTATGGTTTAACATCGGAAGTGTGGATTCATTTGAACGGAATCTAGATAACGCTCAGATGGAAATGAACATCGATCCACCAAATTATGTCCCTGTAATTTATAGGACTGAAATCGAAGCGAGTAGCCTCACAAGTTTTCTTCCCACCATTCTCATCATAGGTAAAAACTACAAATATTTTTCTGAAATTTTTATCGCAAGCTGGTAATATACAATTTTTAGGCTTCTTGATATATATGATGAGGAGATCTGCAGATATGATGGGTGGTAGGGGCAAGAAAGGAGGAGGCCTTTTTGGCGTTATGGAGTCAACTGCAAAACTGATCAACTCTTCCGACATCGGAGTCAGATTCAAGTGATTTTCTATAGTTGAAAAGTTTATATTTTTATATTACATACTGTATTTCCTTTCTGCAATAGAGATGTAGCTGGTTGTGAAGAAGCCAAAGTGGAGATCATGGAGTTTGTTAACTTTTTGAAGAACCCTACTCAATATATTGAGTTAGGAGCCAAAATCCCAAAGGGTGCAATGTTGACAGGTAAACATAAATGTTGAATACATATATAGCACCTGTGGCAGTATGTATAGCAGCGGGGTATTGAGCCGGAGGTTGTAGGTTCAAGTCCCTTTCACGACACCAATTTTTCATCTCAACTACCTTTACATAAAAATGATAAATCAATTTAAATCGTTATTTTAGTTAACCCATTCACTGCGGGACCGTAATCCGAGACCATCACAAGGTGCGGAAATTGTTTTTTCATGAAACTTGATAGGTTTATTACGTTTAGTATTTGATCAATAGCGATTAATGCTTTATGACTTGAATTCGAAGTGAATTTTTAGGGTTTTAGACTGTGACTCCACACTGGAGTCAACTGAACACGGCGAAAGTCTTAGTATGCAAACCCACGACTCAATGCACTTTGTCTAATCCCTTTGGCGTGATTCAACGGTTGTGTACAAATTTTTTAGAATAATTATTCAGAAATCGTGAGATGCGGTCTAGTGTGATGTAGGTTTCAGAAAAACATTTTCTTTATTGTGCCAACATTTTGATCTTTATTGAGATCATCTTCAGGGCCTGGGAATTACAAACATTGTTTACATTTAACAAATACATCACACCAGACTGCATCTCACAATTTCTGAATAATTATCGACTAACGGTCACTAATCACCACAAATTTTTTAGAATTTTCGTATTCTAAACCATTTCAAAAACCTATTTTGGTGACTTTTTCTTCACCAATGTATGAACGAGGAAAAATATTTCCATACTGAATAAAAGAGAAGAAAAAAAAAACTTTTTTTTAGATAAGAACAATTTATGTTTTTTTTCTTAATATTTACAGTTGTTATTTTCCATAAGTTTAAGTTTTACAAAATGAATCTAAAAAAAGAAACAAATTATTTATAAAACAGCGTATTTACAACAATAAAGTTATATATTTACAATTTTTTTCCATGCATTTGAATTTTTTAAAATTAAAAAAGAATATAAATAAAAGAAAATTAAATTATAAAAAAAAGAAAAAACAACCATAAAAATGAATGATTTAAAATTTTTGTTTTTGTGAAATTCCAAAAACCATGCAGGAATGTTTAGCCCCTGCTTGTCGCTGTATCCCATGTAGTATTTGTGTCCAAATGGTCCTGGCTGTGGGGAAAATAAAAATATAAATTTAATTTAAAAAAACTGAGACACAGTTGATGAATTTAAATGTGATAAAGATATTTATGTGGGTCATCCTGATTTCCTTCCATTACGTGAAAGAGGTAAAATTAATTATTCACATATCTATATATTTCTATGATTATGTACTTTGTCATATTTGGTTTCCAACAAAGCCAAAGACCGGTAAGTTAAAAAAATATTTCATGTAGAAGTGAAAAAAAAAATCTGTAATTTTTCTAGTTAGTAAAGCCTAAAAAATATTGGTTTTATGTAAATCAAGCCGATAAAATTTCTTTTTAATTTTAGAACTTCCAAAATTGACTTTTTTTTGGTCAGCCTTGTTGGATTTCATTTTTGGTTGATTGTTAGTCTAAAAGTCAGCCCTGTTGGAAAAAAAAAAAAGAAAAAAGAAGAGATAAGTTAATATATAAAAACTGATCTTCTTTCTCCTTGACTAACAACCCACAAAAATTGATTTCCCAAGTTCTAGCCTATCAAGGATGTGGTTTTTTGATATTAGTTTGTATGATTACTTTTTTCAAGATAAGGTTTTATAATGTACTAACAGAATACATTTTTATTAATAAAAATAATATATATATTTTTAAAGAAATTTGCTACACGTGTTTAAATTTCTTAAAATAGTAAAACCTTCTCACTGAAAAAATTTACTTTTTAAAGAGATACTTGACCAATTGTAATGAGCATTAATTAAATCCGATAGAAGATTTGATTGAAAATTATTTTCATACGTATTATTTATTAAGGTCCTCCTGGAACTGGTAAAACTTTACTAGCCAAAGCAACTGCAGGAGAAGCTAATGTACCTTTTATATCTGTTTCTGGATCAGAGTTCTTAGAAATGTTTGTCGGTGTTGGCCCATCTAGGGTAAGTTAAAAAAAAAAATGTTTTACTAGATTAAACGTTAAACATGAAAAAAATTTCAGGTCCGTGACATGTTTGCTATGGCAAGGAAACATGCTCCATGCATTCTATTCATCGATGAGATCGATGCCGTAGGAAGGAAAAGGGGCGGTCGGAGTTTTGGGGGGCATTCAGAACAAGAGAACACTCTTAATCAACTTTTAGTTGAAATGGACGGTAAGTTCAACATTGTGGTTAGTTTTCTTAAACTTATTTTTTTTCTCCTCTAGGTTTCAATACAAATATGAACGTAGTTGTATTAGCTGCTACAAACAGAGTTGACATACTAGACAAAGCTTTAATGAGACCTGGTAGATTTGACAGACAGATATTCGTTCCCGCACCTGATATTAAAGGGAGGGCATCCATTTTTAAAGTACACTTAGAGCCTTTAAAATCTAATTTAGATAAGGCTAATTTAGCGAGAAAGTTAGCAGCACTTACACCCGGATTCACAGGTAAATAAAATAATATAGTGTTCAGTATAATTATAAAAAACTTTTCTCATGTCGAATACTAGGCGCTGATGTAGCAAATGTGTGCAACGAAGCTGCCCTTATTGCTGCAAGGGACTTGAACACATCAATAAATTTAAAGCATTTTGAGCAAGCAATTGAAAGAGTGGTCGCTGGAATGGAGAAAAAAACAAACGTGCTCCAACCTGATGAGAAAAAGACGGTTGCTTATCACGAAGCCGGTCATGCTGTTGCTGGGTGGTTTCTTCAGTTTGCAGATCCTTTACTGAAGGTAGGCAATACTCGTCAATTGTTTAGACCTAAGGTGAATGTTTTGTAATTTCAGGTTTCAATTATTCCAAGGGGAAAAGGCTTAGGATACGCGCAGTATCTTCCCAAAGAACAGTACTTATACACAAAAGAGCAGCTGCTCGATAGAATGTGCATGACTCTCGGCGGTCGAGTATCCGAGGAGATTTTTTTCAATAGGATAACCACAGGAGCTCAAGACGATCTACAAAAAGTGACTAAAAGTGCATACGCTCAGGTACACGAATGTTAAATTTAATCAAATAAAATTTCTTTGACGTTTTATAATCTTCAAGGTTGTGCACTACGGCATGAATGAAAAAGTTGGTGCAATCAGTTTTGATATGCCTCAGCCTGGAGAAATGGTTTTTGAAAAACCCTATTCAGAAAACACAGCACAATTGATTGATAATGAGGTTAGATGTTTAGTTGATAATGCATTAGTTAGAACCAGGGAGTTGTTGAGAACTCATAAAACCGACGTAGAAAAGGTATTTTAACTTAGTAAAAACAAAATATTGCAATAGCTAACTGTTATTATTTAAGGTTGCGGAAAGGCTTTTAAAACAAGAGATACTGAGCAGGGAGGATATGATTGAGCTACTCGGGCCGAGACCTTTCCCGGAGAAATCCACTTATGAAGATTTTGTCGAAGGTACTGGGTCGTTCGAAGAAGACACAACGCTCCCTGAAGGCCTTAAGGAGTGGAACCAAAAACGGGAAAGCGATAAGCCAAATAAAGGCTCACCTTCAGAATCGACAACCCCCCAGGCGTCAGTTTAGTTTTTGTTAGATATTTTTATTTAGGCTGAATATATTTTATTTGTACAAGTGGTTCGCTATCTGTGTGCAGAGTTCACATTTTGTAAATACATTTTGCTGTTCATAGTGAACGGCCAAGTGGACAAAAATTAAATCTATTACAATCTTTGTTTTCTTTTTTATCCTGTTATATTTCGACTTAACTGAAGTGGAAGTTTTTTTTAACAATAGAACACTTTCTTTACTCAATTAATTATACTCAATTTTTTTTAAATGAAAAATTTGTGTCACAGGCGGGATTTGAACCCACGACTTTCGGCTCAATACGCCGCTGCTCTACCATTTGAGCTACCGTGACTTCGATCGCCCATGGCACAAACTTCTCATTTCGACTACCCGATTTTATTCTAATTATAAGCAAATCGCGGCTTCATATATAAACACTTTTTATTAACGATTATACTAGATTAACGGGACTGTGTACGATTCCAGGTGTGATTCTAGATTAATGCTAAATTTTATGGTGAGTTCGAATCCTGCCTGACACAAATTTTTCATTTCGAAAAAATTGAGTATAATTAATTATTTATATATTTAATAGAAGCTGATAAAATTTAGTACTTTTTTTGTACATTTTTTATTTATTTCTTTTAAGAAAGGTATTTCAACTATAAGGTTATACGAACCCCTGGGGTGCCAGTGTTTTTTAAAACAAAAACACTTAAAAAAAATTTTAATTAACACTTTTTCTATGAACACTTTTTATATTAGTCAAAATCAATACTATAGCTTTTTTCTATCAATGACCTTTTTTAACTTAAAATTAACCTTTTTTTAGTTTTAAATTAACCCTAATTAATACCAAATTAACTTTTTAAATATCAAATTACCCTGTTTAAGTCTAAATTAACCTTTTTTAAATTACAAATTAATCCTTTTTTAATTCCAAATGAACCCTTTTTAATTTCAATTTAATCCTTAAATTCAACTTAATCCTTTCGAACTTCATTTTGGCATATTTAATTTTCAAATTCATCCTTTTTAACACCAACTTAGCTTTTTTAAATTTCAAATGGCTCTTCTTAAATTCAAATTACTTTTTTAACTTCTGTTTTTTTCAAATCAATCCTTGTTAAATTCAAATAAACTTTTTTTAAACATTTCATATTAACACTTTTTAACATAAAATTAACTTTTTTAAATTTCAATGACTCTTCTGCCCTATTTTTAACTTAAAATTAATCCCTTTGTAACCACAAATTGACTATTTTAACATCAAATTAACCTTTTTAAATTTCAAATGAACTATTTTTAACTTAAAATTAACCCTTTTAAATTTCAAATTAATCCTTTCTTTAAAGCGGTACAAAAAATTAGGAGGTGGAATGAAACAAGCAGTAAAGTTTCCTGTATATTTGATAATTCTTGTTTAAATATAAAATAATTGGGCTCTTATAATACCATATAAAAATTAAAAATAAAGGATTCTTTTAATTTGAGAATTAAAATAAATAACTGTAATGGTTTTTTTCCTAAAATACCACATGAAAATAATTAATTAAAATTAATTCAATTTTTTTTGTTTTATTTTTTTGTGCGTAAAATACGTGCTTTATAAGACCTATTATTTTATGTTTAAATAAAAATCACAAATATCCAGGAATATTACTTGACATGTTTATATTTCATACCACCTCTAAAGTTTTTTTAAATTGCTTTAAAGAAAGGATTAATTTGAGGTTAAAAAGGGTTAATTTGATGGAAAAAGCTATTTAATAAAATTTAGTGTATAGACTGTGGTATAGGAATGTATCTCTGAGGGGAAAAAAAGAAAAAAAAAAGTTGCTTTATGGCTAATGGTAAAGTAAACCAGAAAAAAGTTAAGAAATGAATAAATTTTATATTGTCTAATTTGAGAATTTAAAAAAAATTCATATTCTTCAATTTTTATTTATTTTTGATTCATTTTTAAATTCTGTCAATTGTCGATTCTAGTCATTGAATATTAAAGTACAAAAACTGTATATTTCACGCTGAATGAAATATCAAAAGAAAAGTATCTATAAGTATTACAGATCAATATGATGGAATTTCAAAGCAGACGACCCGAATCAATTAAAGGGCTGGCTATACAGAAAGTCCCATCTGTCACATTGGGAACCAATATGACTGAGGGAATCTGGTGATTTAGTGCGATTTGCATCATCCTTGACAGACGGAACTCAATCTATCGCTTCTGGCCTGATTTTCTTCCGGTTGTATAAAATCAAAGATCTGCCTGATTGCCCTGGCTCTTTGGTGGTCAGATCGAATTTATTCTAGGTTAAAATCAAACAGAAATAATTCAGTAGTAACTAAAAATTAATTAAATGTTTAAATAATTAGTGGTGATGTTCTCTTACTTAATATCTCTTTTTATCAACAGCATACACCCAACATCATCTTTTCTTTTTCTTTTAATTCTTTAACTAGTCACAAATGAACTAGACAAAATTGATCCTGGATGGAATATATGTATTTAAAAACAAATATAGAAAAATATTTTACAAATATCGATGATCAGATAGAAGTTGTTTATTAGACAAAAAAGTGTAATTTTTAAATTTTCCGTGCTTCCAGTTTGTCTTTTCTGTTTTGGTCTCAGAGGTATTTTGCCATCTCGCTATCTTCAGTGTTTATCACGAACCCATGCTAAATCCAGGATAATTGAAAATGGCCAAACTATAAAGGGGACTTGTATTCAACAATTCAAAATAAATTAGTTTAAGCCAAAATTTCACAATATATCTTGTTAGTTTGATCTTTTCTGATTACCCATTGGTCATCAGTGATGGGTTTGTCACTTTATTGTATTATAAAATAAAGCTTCTGACAGGCCAAAAACCGATAAAATATTGTAAATGAATGAACTATGGGTTCCAAAATTCAACGGCTTGTCTGGTTAGTGGGTGAAATTTCACGAACTTAATTGTAATTGTTTATTCAGCAAATCAGCATTTGATCAGCTTGAGTTGTAAAAAGAACATCACTGAAGATGTCTAGAAACCTGACGGCCCAAAACAGTGAGTATAGGATTGGAAACGACCAAATTACAGTTACCACAGACCTCAACGAGAAACCTCAAAACGTAATTTTTACTGTGCACAAATTGCAATAAAGGTTTTATGATCCTATTTAAAAAAAAAACAGATTCTTCAGAATTATAAAATAATAAGCTAAATAAAATAAAAAGGCAATTTTTAAATGCAGAATTTAGAACGGTTGGGCTGTGGTTAGGAACGTTATCTACTGAAGCTCTGACCAAATAATAATCATCTATTACTTCCTCTTCCCTGATGTATATAAGGGGTTAAAAAATTGAATGGCTGCACAGTTATTGAACAAGATAGAAAGGTAAGTGAGTTTACTGCATGAACCACTTCAAACATGGTTATTTTTGATATTTTTTTTATTGTTATTTTATACATAAGTAGGACTTTTTTAGCACTTCCAACTTTTTGTCTATTGTGTCTGATCTAGTTTAAGGAACGTAGTTATAGTTTATGCCACAAAATGGATTTGGGCCTATGTGCTGTTCTGAAACTCCCAATCTACGGGAAGCAACCTGGCGTCCCTGTGACATCAAAAATACCACGTGGACAAGTTTTTTGTTTGTTTGCCATATATGTGTTTTCAGTATTTTTTGTTTTCTTCAGTCACCCAAGATTTTTTTTTTAATGTGGATATGATTTATGCATATAAAACCAAACAAAATTGATTTGGGTCTGTTTTTCTGAGGCTTCCTTTTTAGCTGGTATGTCTACTGCCTTGTCTGAAATACGTTCACGGCCTGGAATCTATAATAAATTGCAGATCCCATTTTTTTTAAAGGTTATTTAGGCTGTTCCAAACAAAGACAAGAGTTGATCTCATATGTTTGTAGAGCCTTTAGCCTGGCTATCTGATAGTATTATTATTGTTGCACTTTTGAGATGTTTTTTAAATTTATTTCATGATTACATGTTTCTATGGGTAGCAGTTTGACTTGAAAGATGGTTGTAGAGAGGGTCAAGGCCATGCAATGCTCACAGTTAACCTCTTTATACTCATACCATAGAAGAGCTTCAGGTTTTTCTTTTTCTTTTTTATTTTTACATTTTGCTTTTTTTCTCCCAATGTTGAATAGTTTTGCGAAGTCTATTTTCTCTAAGTCAGAGATAGTTTTATCTAGTTATTTTACCACTGTCCGATGATTTCTCAACTTCTTAATTGCTATCATCCTTTTAATGTATGCCAAGGGTGGCAGCATATTTTCCATGGCATTGCCAACATATATGTACTATGTCAGCTGTGGGTGTTGCTTTATGAGCACAAATGTTGCTAAAGCAAGTATAGCATATTCTTTATATTTTTTCGTAGTTCCTCTGCCTTTCTTGTTCTCTTGGCCTTTGGCCAACATATTTTGCATATATGATCATGTGACAATCGTAATGTACAACCATTTTAAAATTAAGCCCTTAAGTTCTAATCTATCTTAATAAAATGTATACTATTTGAAAGAAAATAAATTGGTTTCATTGGCATTTTTGCCTTTAGTTGGTAATAACTAATTTTGAAAATTTATTTTCTAAAATAAATGTTTTGTATACATACAAGATTTGTGATAATTAGCTCATGCTAAAATTTACATCCATAAAAAAATGCACTTTTGAAGGACATGAAATGACATTTCTTAAAATAAAATAATTAATAATTTTCTCTTAAGCTTGAGCAATGTCTGAAAGTGACGCAAGAAACCTGTTGCACCTATTTGATAGGCCGACAGAGCCTGTTTTTATGCCCAAAGGAGATTCAAACGCCGTTTTCGATGTTCCTCCTGAGTATTTGGTGAGTAAGAACGACTAGGGAAAATAATTCAACAAATTATATTTTTACTCAATGGATGATTTCAGATGGACCGTTACAAACCTCTTAAGGACACTCTAACCGACAGGTTCGGCGGTGGCGAAAGGATCCCAGTCAAGAAGATAACTCTGCCCGATTTGAGCCTTCCACTTCAGCTGAAGAGAAGAGACAACTTTTCTTTGTTTATCCCTCACCACAGGAAAATGGCAGCCCGTCTAATCACGATTTTCATGGGTATCTTATAACAGAATAAATCTTTTTTTGTCCCATCTAATTAATTTTTAACGCAATTTAAGGCATGAGAAACCTCGACGATTTCATATCCGCTTCTGTCTACTGCAGAGACAGGGTGAATCCTTACTTGTTCATCTACGCCCTGTGCGTGGCGATTCTACACCGGCCCGACACCAAACACCTCCCGGTTCCGAGCCTGTGCGAAGTGTTTCCAGATAAATTTATGGATGGTCAATTGTTCGCAGAGGCGAAGGAGGAAAGTAACATCGTCCCTGGGAACCAACGGGTAAACGATCGGGTCATATCATTTTGACGTTGTCTGATTTTTCTCTTTTTTTTCAGATTCCGCTTGAAATTCCCAAAGATTACACGGCGACTGATTTGGACGTAGAGCACAGAATCGCGTATTTTCGGGAAGACCTAGGCGTCAATTTGCACCACTGGCACTGGCATTTGGTCTATCCTAGCGACGGACCGCTAGAAATCGTCCAAAAGGACAGACGAGGAGAGCTGTTTTGTTATATGCACGGACAAGTATTGGCGAGGTTTGATTTTGAGATTCGTTTAAAAGAAAATTTAAGCTTTATTGAGTAAATGATGAGAACAATAAAAGATCTGGCAGGTATCTGTCAGACCGCGGGAATTGGGAAATGGAGTCGCCATTGTTGGAATCTCATTGTTTAGGATTGTTGTTGATTGGTTTAGGTCACAAGATCACTGTCTTTTTAGGCGGCGTGAAGGATTGTTGGGACATTTGAGGGTTTGAGCTAGAGGATTGATGTGAAAGGAGAGCTTGGAGTGGTAGTTTTGGAATCGTGGTGGGATCATGTCCGTCACGAATGTCTTGGTGAATGGTTTATTAGTGACGTAGGACTTTTGATTTTGGATGCCTTGGCTGAACCCTCATAGCTCGACTCGTAAGTCTAAATCGGTCTAATTAGTTTCTTATATATTGTGAATTTGTTGTGTGCGCTCATTGTGTATTTGGGTTGAGTTCTTGTCTTTTTGTTCTATGTCTATTGTCCAAGTAGAACTCAAGGTAGCGCGGATTTGGTTGGACGGAGGGATTACCTTACTGTATATATACACTGGTAGTTCATTTAGCGTGATGCGCCAACGAATGCACCAGTCGATAATGAATTCTAGGTGATCATAAGTTGCTTTTGCGGCAAGATAGTGTCAGAATGTGAGAACATCATCTGCGAAGGGGTCAGCGGCGTAAACTGTAGAGGTCCTAGGATACTCCCTTAGGGAACGCCCGCCTTGATATCTGAAAATTCATGCCAAGTCTCCTTGAACCAGCGAGGAAACTTCAGAATGAGGAACGATACTTTTTACTTTGAAAAGGAGACCGGGGTGACATACTCTGTCAAATACCTCTTTGACATCTATTGCAGTAGTGTTTATTTTCTAGGGCAGAGGATATTGTGTCGACTACTCATAACCCCTACTGGACAATGGTCTTAAATCATATGTGACATGGGGGGGTGGTGTTGAGGACTTGGATATGGGGATTAATCTTTTGAGGAGGCGCAAAAATTTTAGCTAGGATTAGGAGGAGGCTTGTGGATCTGGTAGTGGGTTCGAGTCCCGCTCGTGACAGTTCTTTTCAGCCACACCTTACATAACAATTATAAATGAATTTAAATAACCTACTAACAAACATATAGATTAATAGATATAATTATAAAAATTATATTATAAAGGATCTCTTCTTTTAATTTGAGAATTAAAAAAAAACAATAAAACGATTCTTATTCGTATGGAAAAGGTCGAAAAATGAACATGCGTGAAAATGTATAAATATATAAAGATAACTCACTCAACACTAAAAACTCATAAGTACACATCACAAACATCGTTCACGCCATTGAAAACATTACATTAATTAAAAAGGATAAAGACAGAAGATCAAAAAGACAGACTAGAAAGAATAAAAAACATCAACTCAATCCAACAAATTCACCATCATCCACACCTCGTAACTAAAATTTCACATAAATCATCCAAACTCTGAAAATGGCGAAATGCCGAAACACATTTGACTGTCCAAAATCATCGAGAATAGGCAGCACAAGGTGATAGGTAACTATGTAATCCATAAAAAAAAAAAAAAAAAAAAAAAAAAAAATACTAGGACAACTACATTGAATTTTACGAAATGTGACCACATTAAAAAAAGTTTCTACAAAAAATCGAATTTGTATCATAGGTCTAAACTTTAAAATCGCAATCTTGAAAAGTTATGCTTTCTTGACATATCCAGTTTTGTCCCTTGAGGGTGCTGATTAATAATATAATAATGGTAATAATATGCTTCATTTAAGAATAGTACATAATAAACAAAAGAAACTATATAAAATCATATAAGGCTTGGATATCCGTCAGCCGAATGTGATACATACATAGTTTTGCTATAATAATAATAATAATAATTAATAAAAATAAAACAGAAGAAAACTAATGTAAAGATAGCGATAACGCTATATTATGTACAAACAAGAATTACACTATAATCTTACATGTAGAAATGTGTGGTGATTAGTGACCGTTAATCGATAATTATTCAGAAATCGTGAGATGCGGTCTGGTGTGATGTAGGTTTCAGAAAAACATTTTCTTTATCGTGCCAACGTTTCAATCTTTATTGAGATCATCTTCAGGGCTCAATAAAGATCGAAACGTTGGCACGATAAAGAAAATGTTTTTCTGAAACCTACATCACACCAGACCGCATCTCACGATTTCTGAATAATTATAATCTTACGTTTAATTAAAAATTAAATTATACTGAATTGACATTGTATTCAAATATTGAAAAAAAAGTGAAACTAAAAAACATATATAACATATATGAATAATGTGCTCAACAATATAACATAAGATAAAAATTAATAATTAAATTCATTAACTAAATAATATCTAAGCAAAGCGGAGCGGCCATAATTTACAAGATTCAAACTTTGTACAGGGTTTAGCATATGTTTTAATTTTTTGCTATTGAAGAACGGACGCCAAAGTGTCGCATTCTGAATTCTGCTAACACTGGACATATAGCCAAAAAATGAAACAACTCAACAAAAACAGGTCAACACTCGTTTCAGTTCATTTTAATTACCCAATACAGATCCCTAAAATCAATCGGCAGTACATACGTGAATGAAAATATGATGTCCTGCTCCTCAATGTCCAGTTATGAGCTATAATAGAAGACTCTTCCCGATGTATTATTCTCATCTTTAATATTAAATTTGATAGTTGATTTTCCCAGAGGTCATCTAGTAAAGGACTGAAAAAGATTTGACCAGATATGAAACCAAAAAAGTTTTTTGTAACCACTTCAATCGCAAGAACTCTAGTAAGCCTGCAGGCTGGAAGTCCAATCGTTCTCAGCGCATACTTCAAATGGAGTTTCAGCGTGAAAACGTGGGTGCTGATTCGTACTTGTTGTTTTACCTTCGAAGAGAGTTAAACCAAACTGAAATCGCCACGGTATTTTGGATAAAGTTTCAACCAACTTTGAAACCAAAAAAGTTTTTTATTTTAACCACTTCAATCGCAAGAAATCTAGTAAGTCTGCAGGCTGGAAGTCCAATCGTTCTCAGCGTGTATCACCCTCACATATTTTCCGCTTCAGGAATTGTGTATATAATGCTGTATTTAAAACAAAAATAAAAATAAAATATTTAATATGAAAATCACTAGGGATGATTTGAGATGATCCTTTAGGAACCGAACTATTCTATAAAACAATGTACATTGTTGTAAAATATAATTTTTTAACCACCATCATAACATGGTGTTGTTTTGGTGCATGCGTGACACTGATTTCTTTTCCAGGTACAATTTCGAGAGATTTTGCAACAATTTGGGAAAATGTAAGAGGCTCAATAATTGGCGAGAACCAATGGCAGAAGGGTATTTTCCGAAGTTGGACAATCTCGTCGGAGGGAAAGTATGGCCGGCTCGGACTGCAAATACCAATCTCTCTGTATGATTTTTTCCATACCGGTTAAAAGCTTAGGTATTGATTTATGTTTTGTCATAGGACATTTATCGAGAAACGGAACAAATAAAATTTGACATTCAAGACCTGGAAAGATGGAGAGACCGCATATTCGCCGCTATTCACAGCGGTTTCGTGGTCAACGTAAGTGGCTTGACATATTTTCATTTTCCTTTGATTCGGATAAGTTTGCGTTACAGAACGAAGGCCAATCGATCCCGCTAGATGAACTGAACGGCATCAATATTCTAGGAAATCTTCTTGAATCCAATATGCTTTCCGTGAACAGAAATCTTTACGGAGATCTTCACAACATGGGGCACATAGCGATCGGCTTCTGCCACGATCCCGACCACAGAAATCTCGTAAGTCCGCCTAAGGAGGTTATGTGATCATTTTTAACTTTCCTGTTTTAGGAAACATACGGAGTAATGGGTGATTCGGCCACGTCGATGAGAGATCCTATATTTTACCGCTGGCACGCGTTTATAGAAGACATTTTCCAAGAATATAAAAGCATTTTGCCTTCCTATTCAGTCGAAAATGTAAGTAATGCGGACGTGTTTATTCGGAACGATAAATTACCATGATTAAGTTTTAGCTGGATTTCCCTGGTGTCCGGGTGACGGAAGTTCAGGTCAGTGCGGGAGAAGGTCGCCTACCAAACCAATTGTTTACCTTTTGGCAGCAAGACGACGTCGATTTATCCAGGGGGCTGGATTTCTCTCCTCGCGGTTCAATCTTTGCTCGCTTCACACATTTACAAAATGCTCCATTTAAATACACTATTGTCGTAAGCATTTGTGCAGTGCCGTAAAATACAGGCAAAATTTAAACTAATTTCATCGGCGGTTTATCGCTTTTAGGTAGAAAATTCAAAGAGCGATATGAAAGGGACTGTAAGGATTTTCATGGCGCCAAAGTATGACGAAAAGGGTAGAATGTATTTCAGGGATCAAAAAAATCTTTTCGTGGAAATGGATAAATTCGTTCACAACTGTAAGTTCAGTTTAATTTTTAACTCATTTATGTTTTACTGGTCTAATTGACCAACTTACCAATTCCAATTAATTATTATTTTGACGTAAGATCTTGGCTGAGATGAAAAAGCGTCACGAGTAGGATTTGAACCCACCCAGATGGGTCCGAGTAGATCAAAGTCACGATAGCTCAAGTGGTTAGAGCAGCGGCGTATTGAGTCGAAGGTCGTGGGTTCGAATCCCGCTCGTGACGCTTTTTCATCTCAACCAAGACTTTAAGTAAAAGGAATAATTAATTGAATTAATTTTTAACCACGAACACTCTAGATCAAGATAAGATCTTGAAAAAGAAAGCAAATTCAGTTGTTACTGCCAAGCTTTCGACCTATTTTAAGGTCATCATCAAGGCAAAATAATCTTAAATATGTCTACAGATTGACATATGTAAGTTTTTTTTACAGGTAATCTCAAATTTCCTTGAAGACCGACTCAGTCCCAACATTGCCAAGGACTGAGTCGGTCTTCAAGGAAATTTAATATCGCCTGTAAACACTTAAATATGAAACACTGGCTAAGCTTGGCGATAACAACAGAATTTGATTTTTTCCAAGACCTTACCTTGATCCAGTGTTCTTGAGTGAAAAATGGTGGATATTTCTAATACTGAAAACAGAAACTTAATTTTTAACGACCAGCACTACTTTAAAGTGAATTTTTAGTGAAACCAGGTAAAAACGTCATCGTAAGAAATTCGTCCGATTCTTCAGTGACGATTCCATTTGAAAGGACTTTCCGAAACGTCGATGCTAAATTCAAGGACGAGCCCATGTCCGATGAGATGAACTTCTGCGGATGCGGATGGCCTGCTCATATGCTCGTCCCGAAGGGAACTCCCGAAGGCTTCCCGGCAGAACTGTTCGTCATGGTTTCGAATTATGAGGATGACAAAGTATGAAAACACGGTTACGTACGTTATTAGATTTTTTAATTGTTGTTTTTCACAGGTACAAGGCGCTCCGTCCACTTCCTGCTCCGACGCTTCCAGCTACTGTGGCATCCGCGATAGCGTTTATCCTGACAAACGGTCCATGGGCTATCCGTTCGACAGGCAGCCCCGTTTTGGCGTCGACTTCTTGGAACAATTCGTAACACCGAACATGTGGGTGCAAAACATTGGCATATTTTTCACAAATAAAGTTGTCCAAGCAAATTCAGCTACCACTGTTCAAAATGCTTAAAAAATAAAATTCTCATGGCATATCGAAAATTATGAGATTTTTAGTCACTAAACCTTTTCCTTGCATCAAACATGTTTATACATATAATTTACAAAAAATAAAAATTATAAATTTATGTAAAATAACATTTGTAATAGTTATGATTTAACATCGGGTGCTCGTCGTTGACCCTCTGCGCATAAAACGGAAAATTCTGTATTTTTCTCTTTGAAGCATCTTTCTCCCTGACTCGCATATTTTCCCTACTGTTTTCTTAATTTTTTAACCTCTCGTTGCCACCTTTAATTGTTAAATTACTAATAAAAGAAAAAAAANCACACACACACACACACACACACACACACACACACACACACACACACACACACACACACACACACACACACACAATACGTAAAGGTTTCACACCAACCTAAAGTGACCGGAATCCTAGCCCCATATAAATTAGTTTAAATTTGATTTTCATGTTTAGAAATAATAACGTGCGTTATGACGTAGACATATTATACAAAAATAAACAAAAGCATAAATAAATGAACGAAAAGTCTAACTGTAAAAGCAACCAACAAAAATATAAAATTTTAATTAATTAATCTTTATGTAAGGTATTGGTTGAGATAAAAAAAGTCAGTGTCACGAGCGGGATTCGAACCCGCTAACTTCGGCTAAATACGCCTCTGCTCTACCACTTGAGCTATCGTGATTTCGATCCTCTCGGACACCAACTCTCCATCTCAACCTACAACCGTTCGAATTTTTCCTCCTTTTTGCCATTTTTTTAAATCTCAACCAATACCTTACATAAAGATTAATCAATTGAAAGATGTTATTTGGTCAATCGGACCACGAAATCTAACGAATTTAATATAAACTTTATTAACTCTAAGCACTAAAGCTTCCTCTGGTGATGAAATTTCTGGTCTCGTCCTGGTGAAGTGTACATTGGACCTCCCTTTATATATTCAACATCTAACAACACATTAAATACCAGGGATTTTCCCTGACTGTTGAAACGAAGCTGTATTCTTCCTTAACTCAAGTCGGTATTCATGTATGATAGAGCAAATTACAGGCCGATAAAAAATATAATTAATAAAAACCAACTTTAAGAATTGAACGCACGAACGACACCGCAATCCTAACCTCTAACTCGAATCCTGTCCAAGCTACCAGGAACACTGGTGTAAAAACAACATCGAAGACTGGTGTAAAAGTGGAGGACAAGACTGAAGGAAGAAAAATTCACTCAGAGTACTTTTACGCCGAAAGAAATTTTGCCATCCATTGTAAATCGACAACAAAGAGATACTAGTTTCCACTCAAGTCAAATACCAGGGACTATATCTTGACAGCTGACTGATGAGGAATCCCCACAAAAGACTTAAAAAACAACTTAATACAAGACTTGGACTACTACGAAGACTTTTAAGACTGAAATCGACTTTCATAACTAAGACAAAGCTTACACTGCACGAGACTTTACTAAGATCAATATGGACATACGGAGTGGAACTGTGGCGTATGCTTAGCCATCAAATATCCAGCGCAACCAGTCCTTCCAATCGAAAGTCCTTAGACAAATTGTCAAAGCACCTCACTGTTCACCACTGTTTCACTAACCTCATATTCACAAAGACCTCAACGTTCGTTTTGTCAACGAACTGATCCAGTCCAGATTCCAAACGTTCCACACCAATCTTTCGAACCATCCTAGCCATACTGCTTGAGCCCTCTCCACTCACAACCCACCACGTCACCTCAACCGAAGGTGGCCTCGGGACACCTAATCACACACATTGAGTGCGAGCAATGGCCGGCTCCTCAAAGCATGTATTCTAACTGTGCAGTGCTGGCATTAATGCTAATGCTATGCTGTGTGATGTATAGGTAACAAATAAAAAATTGAATAAATCGTTAAAGAAACAATGTCAGCAATGACCGAAAAAAAGTTCAATCTGATGTTTTTTCTTAAAGGGTTTTACCAGGACAACAACAATTCTGAAGGTATGTTGGAGAATCAACAGGTCTGGATTTTCTACGGTCAAGTGGACGTCAAAACAAATCCAATTGTTATATGCCAAGCTCCCGACCTATTTTAAGGTTAAGGTTAAGAAAAAATATTCTGAAAGATTGACATAATTAAGTTTTAATAATTGGTTTGAGGGGCGTCGGTGGCCGGAACGGTATAGGCGTTGAAACAGCGCTCATCACTGCAAGGTCGTCGTTGAAAAGGTCCGGGGTTCGAATCCAGCGGCCCTGCATTCGTACCCAACATAATAATAACTTTTTTTTCTTGAACATATGCTCAATCCCAACACTACCAAACACCATACTATTGTGCAAATCGTTGGTTTCGTTTTGTTCAAAATTAAATACATTAAAAATTACAATTAATTAAGGTTTTTAGTTGAGATAAAAAAGTCAATGGCACGAGCGGGATTCGAACCCACGATCTTCGGCTAGATACGCCGCTGCTCTACCACTTGACCTATCGTGACCTCGATCCGCTCGGACATTAACTTCCCATCTGAACCGCACCTTTTGAATTTTCGCATTTTTGAAAAATGGCAAAAAGGAGGGAAAATTCAAAAGGTGCGGTTGAGATGGGAATTTAATATCCGAGCGGATCGAGGTCACGATAGCTCAAGTGATAGAACAGCGGCGTATCTAGCCGAAGATCGTGTGTTCGAATCCCGCTCGTGCCATTGACTTTTTTATCTCGTCTAAAAACCTTAATTAATTGTAATATATTAATTGGTCAAGCGGACCACGAAATTAGGGAATTAAAAATTACATTCTCTTTTTTTCTGGTTCATATTTATGTGATTACATGGTAATCTATCTTGTCCTACTAGTAAGCTGGTAAAGTAGGACAAAAAAACATTTTTTTAGTCAATACAATTCAAATTTGTTTTAAGCACCTTTTAAGGTTCTGAAAGACCAATTTTTATATTAAATAAAATAAACATTTTTGACTTGAATTATCCGGGTTCAATTTTATTTTTGTCGGATATCTGGTTTTCCACTTAAAGTTCCTAACTCATCTGGTTTTTATCCATAGCCAACAATATTGTTACAGATGAACCACTGAATATCTCTAGTTTTAGATTATTTGTATAAAGTTTAGATTTTGCGTCATTATAAGTCAGATATAAATAAACAAAAAGTCCTCAAACTTTTATTTTAGTTCTCCGACTCTAATTTATCAACGGAACCTAGGTTTATGCTGTTAAGTGTATAAGATCCTAAACTATTGCAAAGCTTCATATAGATCAGTGGAGTTTCAAAGTTATCAATAGATCTATGATTTTTGAAATATAATTCAATGCATTTTTAGGAAGGTGAAAAATTTGAGAACATTTTTTTCTTTCGCCCAAAATTTGTATTCTGTGGTTTTTAGGTGCAAAAAACAAATATCAACTTTGTTTCTTGATAAAATAATATTTTAACGTAATGAACCTCGGTATCTACGGCAAATTTGTATTTGGCAGCTAGCCCATGTACTTTTTTAGCGATGTAACAAAAGTATTTATTTAGTTTGTGTCAAGCCCGCAATAAATTTTGTCCGATGGATTCCTTATTTATTTCCTTTTGTCACGTACTTCATCATAAACAATAATGAACCGCTATTTAATTGGGGTAACCAATATTGACTTAATGGTAGGAGAAATGAAATTTATGGAAAGAAACTGAAATAAGGATCGAAAGAGCAGGAAGGAGAAAAGTATGCTGACCATGAAACGCTGGCAAGAAAGATGGGGCGCTGATCTGAGAAGACGACGGACTGTCGAACTGATAGGTAAATTGGAGTAGGTAGAACTGAGTAACGGGCGGTTGGTTATTACCTCACCCAAATTTTAACGGCGTACAGATGCTTTAAAACCTAGTTATACAGAATGGGCAAATTATGTCAATCTAGGCTTTGCCAAAATAATGATCTGCCAAAGGATCATATCACCTTCTTCGAATCTAGCAGAATTTAAGAAGCGGTGGGCAACATAGTTGGATACGGTATGTACCTACATAGAGCTCTGAAGATGAAAAAGTAGGAGCAGCTCGCATAGTGGTGGAGGCTTGAAGCACCGACGTAACCCATCAGGGCTAAGTAGAAGTAGAGGCTTGAAGTAACATATGGCGGTTTCAGGAGGTTTCCGGCCTAACAAACGTAGGATTTTCCGTGGTGGTTTGGATATATGCCGACAACTTAGTCCTGATATCTGATAACCGTACACAGTCCGTAGAAGTATGAAGATTCTTGATAGGTATTGTGAACTATTGTGAACTCTCTGAATCTTCAAAAATCTAATATTTGAGTTAGTAATCATCAGCGATCTGCAACCTCATCGAGAAATGTTGACGTTTTGCTGTGTTTAACAAAACGTTTTATTTTTCTTCGTGCTCCAAAGATTCTGCTTTTTAGGTTGCACTGGCGATGATTCAGTCAAAATCAGGAAGTATCGGTCTAAAGTCCTATCTGCCTGCTTCAATACAGGAAACTGAGTCTTCTCCTTTCTGCAAAGCGTCACCGTAGTAAAAATTTTTTAAGGCTTAATATCAGAAACGACTTCAAAAGTTGGTTTGCGAAAAAAAATGCTGGATATTCTCATCGAAACAATATAATTTAAAATTCAGCAAGTTCAGAAAATTATCTGCTCATGAGAATAATAAGGTTTTGCTTAACTACAATTATATTAATTATAACGATCGTGCAACTCTACTTTTCGAAACTGTACCCCTAACCTAATTCGTAATTTCAACTAACCCATCGAAACTTAAAATAACCCTTACCCTAGCTTAACCGTATCTATTCCTAACCTTATTTTATCTAACTTTTTGTAACCCAAGCTAAACTAACCCTAACCTTACTTAAACTAAGCCTAACCTTACTTAACCTGACCATTCATAACGTAACCTAATCCAGCCCAACATAACTTAATCTAACCCTAACCCTACTTAACCTAACCATTCCTAACCTAATCTAATCCTGATATAACCATAATCCAACGCACACTCCTTTATAACGCGAAATAGATGACATGAGGAACAATTGTGCATTCAGCTCAAAAACATATCAGGGGAATTGAAAATTACAGATTTAGCCAAGAAATGCGTTTAGATATTTAGGACAAAAGTTATTTATTTTTAAAACAAGCTGGCATATCTGACCTGAAATTCGAAAATTTGTTTGATCAAAAATAATTATACGGCCATTAACACTTTTCCACAATAAAAATATAGAGAATTTTGGTTGCTTAATATTTAGTGCATAGGGTTTTTCCTTTAGTATATTTAAGTCATAGTCTTTTTGTGAATAAATTGGTTAAAAGTAATATGGTACATTTTTGATACACATTTAAGTCAAATGGAGACAATGTTTTTATTGTTAGTTATGTTTTAATTTTATTATTTTTATTAGCTCATGCACTCGCGCGCGCGCACACACACCACACACACGCACACACAAAATACTCACCATACACACACACTCTCTCTCTCTCTCTCTCTCTCTCTCTCTCTCTCTCTCTCTCTCTTACATACACGGAGACTTATTGAGTCCATCTCTTTTCTTCAATTTCTACCTCGTATTTCTATTCCCGCACTCTCACTCTCTCCTATGTTTTCTATGTCTCTTTTTTGGCTTTCTCGTTTATTCCTATTCATAATTTTCTCTCTTTTTTTACTATTTAATTTTCCTTTTTTCTCTCAATAACGTCTTCTTCCATATCCATGCTCTCTCACACCCACACACAAACTCTCTCCCTTTCCCTCCTTTGTGTCATTTCAGATTTTCAGATTGCTATTATTATTAAACAAAAGTTTAATAAGTACGTGCCATCATGCGAAAAGGTACAAATATTTTCCCTGTCTGTAGGAATTTTAAAAATTTTAGTTCAAAAGGAAAAAAAATTCATATTATTTAGTATTAAATATCAGAAATTCATTAGTTTTATTGCCAATTAAAAAAATGCGTATATTCTAAACTTTTAAAAGTATAAAATAAACGTTTATTTCTTTACATAAACGTAAATTCTTATAGGTCTGACAGATAAGAAAGAAGATCTCGTAAATTTTAGTCATTGCTATGAAAAACCAAAATAACTTTAAGGAAATAAAATATCCAGTATTATTTACTCATTAAAATTTAGAATTAATTTTATTCTGTAAGAGAAAAATTTAATAAATTATATTGAATTTCTTAGGGAAAAATTTATAATTGTGAAGAATATTCATCAGGTTTTATTTTTTTATGTGATTCCTAGCGATAAAATTGAGGTTGACCAAATATGGCCCATATCAACAACTTGCTTTTTTTTTAATCTACGACTGACCGCACTTATCCTTTTCATATCATCTGACTACATCCTTTACCCACGTATATAATCAGATGCGATTTAGTAAAGCAGCACAACTGTTCGTGACATTCGTCGAGTAGGTTCGATTTGAACGCAACAAAGGTAGTACAAATTTTGAGTAAAATTTTGCATATATTGTTTGTTAATTTAAACATAGATTTATAAAGGAATTTTTTATTGTAGATTGTTATTAGATATATTTTATCTCAACTAAAAACCTTAATTAATTGAAATATATTAATTGGTCAAGTGGACCACGAAATTAGTGAATTTAATGATTTAAAATGAAGAATACTTCATTAAAGCTCTCCGTGGCCATTTCATTTGTCGTCGAGAATCAAATCCGATTACACGACATTTGAAAAATTTGGAAAATTCAAAAGGTGGGGTTGAGATGGGAAGTTAGTGTCCGAGTGGATCGAGGTCACGATAGCTCAAGTGGTTAGAGCAGCGGCGTATCTAGCCGAAGGTCGCGGGTTCTAAACCCGCTCGTGACACTGACTTTTTTATCTCAACTAAAAACCTTAATTAATTGTAATATATTAATTGGTCAAGCGGACCACGAAATTAGTGAATTTAATTGTTATTAGAATTTATCTATGGTGTGAAATATTGTTTTAAAAATATTACTTAGTATTTAATGTGTAATTTTTGTTTGTACATTTAACTTAGAACCAGCCTGTAAGATGAGTAAGAATAAGAATGTGTTGCTCCACCTTTTCGACAGGCCGACAGAGCCCATGTTTTTGCCAAAAGGGGACAATGAACTTTTCCAACTGCCTTCTAACTACTTGGTGGGTCTTGGTGTTGCAGTTTCAGTTATATAAATAAATACCGTGCGTGAATTGAATGTTACAGACGGATCATTACAAGCCTCTGAAGCAAGATTTTGAAAACAGGTTCGGGTCCATCGGGCCGGAGAGAAGGATTTCTGTCAAAAACATCACACTGCCGGACATACGTTTTCCTCTTGAGCTAGGAAGACGCAATTGTTTCTCTCTATTTGTACCTTATCACAAAAAAATGGCTGCACGTCTCATTGAAGTTCTAATGGGTACTTTATATTGAGTAGTGGGTCAAACTAGTTGATTGTTTTTTTACAATTACAGGGATGAGGGATGTCGACGATTTTCTATCCGCTTCGGTCTATTGCAGAGACAAAGTAAACCCTTATTTGTTCATGTACTGCTATTCCGTCGCAATGCTCCATCGCACTGATACTCGAGATCTGACGATTCCTTCTCTTTGCGAAATCTTTCCGGAGAAGTTTCTAGACGGAGGGCTGTTCAAAGTGGCCAGGGAATCAGCAGAATTGCAGATAACGCCCGAATCGAGAGCAAATGTGCGAAACTTGAAAAAATTCCGTTTGATAGGGTCATGAATGCACGTTGTAATATTTTTCGTGTTTCAGAATCCGGTGGAAATTCCAAGGGATTATACAGCAACAAATGCTGAAATCGAACATCGACTCGCCTACTGGAGGGAAGACTTAGGCCTGAACCTTCACCACTGGCACTGGCACTTGGTATATCCGACAGAGGGACCGAAAAACATTGTCGATAAAGATAGAAGGGGTGAACTATTCTATTACATGCATCAACAAATAATAGCCAGGTGAAGGAACAGTAGTTTCGATAGTTTAATTATCAATTTGGCCTGTGGTTGGTCAGATTTCGCTGCGGTTGGTGATTTGAAAACGACCAATCTTCATATTGGATTTGCTTTTAATTATTTACAATCAACTTAAACCTAAATTTCACGACTTATCTGAATAAATTTCTTCTTGATATCTGCTGGTGATATACTATAGGATCTTATAGTTAGCTCGTTTTCGATTATCGTGGATCTACGTGGACAAAGCTGGCTTTGGTCTTGAGTCGTGTTTCAGCATTTCTTTTTTCTTTTCTATTTTTCTTCGTGCTCCAAAGATTCTGCTTTTAAGGTTGCACTGGCGATATTTCTTCTTCAGTCAAAATCAGGAAGTATCGGTCCAAAGTTGTATCTGCCTGTTTTCATACAGGAAACTGAATCTTCTCCTTTCTGCAAAGCGTCACCGTAGTAAAAAAATTTCGTTCAAGGCGTACAAATTTTTTAAGGCAATTCCTGAACGAATACAAAAGTTGGTTTGCGAAAAAAAGATGGATATTCTCATCGAAACAATAGAATTTTAAATTCAGCAAGTTGAGAAAGTTATGTGCTCCTGAGAATAATAAGGTTTTGCTTAACTACAATTATATTAATTATAACGTCAAATAATAGCCAGGAGAAGGTCCAGTCGTCTCGATAGTTTAATTATCAATTTGGCCTGTTGTTGGTTAGATTTCGCTGTGGTTGGTAGTTTGGTAACGACCAACCTACTTTTTGGTTAGTTTTTAGTGGTTGGTTTTTAGTTATTTACAATCTACATGAGCTTAAATTTCACAACTTATCTGAATAGAAATGTGTGATGATTAGTGACCGTTACTCGATATTTATTTAGAAATCGTGAGATGCGGTCTGGTGTGATGTAGGTTTCAGAAAAACCTTTTCTTCATCGTGCCAACGTTTCGATCTTTATTGAGATCATCTTCAGGGCCTGGGATTTACAAACATTGTTTACATATAACAATTACATTTTGGATGTGGAAAATGAATTTATACAATGCAAAATATATTTTTTATATATTCAATCATAATTCAAGCCAATGAGATTTTGCTATTTTGTGTTTATATACGTTGGATAAGGCTTCTTTGAGGTGAAAAGAGCCGACGAAGGGAAAAATGTGTTGGTAAAGGTTCGGTCAGATTATCCTTTCATGATTATATAGAAAGGGATAAATAGGAAAAGGAAAGCTAAATGTTGGGAAATTACTCACTGGCACTCTCGACACGACACGCAAGAATGGCACAATTTCACAGAAGACAAACACTTTGGGTGAGTAGAACTACTTTGATTGAATATATAAAAAATATATTTTGCATTGTATAAATTCACTTTTCCACATCCAAAATGTAATTGTTATATGTAAACAATGTTTGTAAATCCCAGGCCCTGAAGATGATCTCAATAAAGATCGAAACGTTGGCACGATACAGAAAAGGTTTTTCTGAAACCTACATCACACCAGACCGCATCTCACGATTTCTAAATAAATATCTGAATAGATTTCTTCTTGATTTATGTGATATATCTGCTGGTGATGATCCTATAGTTAGGACGTTTTCGAATATCGTGTACTGCTGTTTTTGGTCTTAGTTGTGTTTCAGCGTTTCATCTTGGGCTTGTTGAGGAATGAAGATGGCGAAAAGCCACTGAATATCAAAACATCGAGCATAGTTAAATCAACATGATCGAATACCCAAAGCTCAGCAGACTTTAAGAAGAAATCTCACAAGTTAACGTTTTGTTTTATAAAAGCCGCTTACTCTACTTTAATTGTTATCCAGATATAACACAGAAAGATTTTGCAACAATTTGGGCATGACTGAAATGTTAGACTTTAGAGCGCCTATAAAAGAAGCCTATTTCCCAAAACTCGACAACGTCGTAGCAGGCCAAGTCTGGCCGCCGAGATTTGCCAACAGCACACTCCAGGCATGTTATCAGTGTTGTTGTAAAATCCAAAAATATTTATTCACGATATCCTTTTAGGACATCAACAGAGAGGCGGATCAGGCTAAGTTCGATATTCAAGATTTAGAGCGTTGGAGGGATAGGATTTTAACTGCTATTAGAGATGGCAGTGTAAAAGACCAAAACGGCCGTCAGATTCAATTAACCGAGGAGAAAGGAATCGATATATTGGGCAACATAGTTGAGGCGAGTATGCTTTCGCCGAACAAGACATTCTACGGTGATCTTCACAATTTCGGCCATATGGCTATCGCTTACTGTCACGATCCGGACAATAGGAACTTAGTAAGTTGAATATCTTTATTAACTTAAATACTTGAAATTTGTTATATTGGCGTATTTTAGGAACCGAACGCGGTTATGGGTGATACTGCTACTGCAATGAGAGATCCTGTTTTCTATCGTTGGCATTCGTTCATCGACGACATCTTTCAGAAGTACAAATCGTCTTTGCCTGCATACAAAACTAACCAGGTGTGATTCATACAAACATACATATTGGGACTGTTAGACTCTATTGTTTTTTTTTCAGTTGAATTTTCCCAACGTTCGTGTCACAGGAGCCGAAGTGAACCCGGAAGGAAGAAAAAACAGATTTTCTACTTTTTGGCAAAAGAGTGACGTCGATTTATCCAGGGGTCTTGATTTCACACCCGGGGGACCTCTATATTTCAGATTCACTCATCTTCAACACGAAAAATTCTCTTATAAAATTCACGTAAGAATAAAATCCGTTACTGTATTATAAAACAATTCTGTTAATGGATATTTGTTTTAGTATGAGAACAAAGGTGAAAGGAAACTAGCGACAGTTAGGATTTTTCTGGCTCCTAAATTCGATGAGAAAAATCGTCCTATTGACTTCAGCAAGCAAAGAACTCTTTTTATTGAGATGGACAAATTTTTAGTGAAGCGTAAGATTAAATAATTTCCCTCAAGCTTTACCTTCCTCTAAACAAATGTATATTTATTTTTTAAAACAGTTGACTCGGGTAAAGGTTCGTTCACGAGGATATCGGGGTTGTCGTCGGTAACAATCCCATTCAGCAGAATGTTCAAAAATTTAAGCAACAGCGGTGACTCAAGCGCATCTCCAGAGAAGGCAGCGAACAACGCCTGTGGCTGTGGATGGCCTGAGAATTTACTCGTACCGAAAGGAACGGAGAAGGGTTTTCCGTGCCAGCTTTTTGTCATGATGACCGATTTAAAAAGCGATCTTGTAAGCACTTTCTTCAACTTATTAAAAGTATGGATAGTATAACAATTTTCTATTTAAATTTTAGCCAGAAGGTTTAGACATGGAACCGAAGAAGTGTTCTGATTCCGCTAGCTACTGTGGCATCTTAGGCAGCGTTTATCCTGACAGACGTGCAATGGGATTTCCGTTCGACAGGCTCCCGAGGGGCGGTGCTGACACCCTGGAAAAATTTCTAACACCTAATATGTTAGTTACAGACGTTATCATCCAACACACGAACAAAACCGAAACTGGGGTCAAAGCATCAAGTGCCGGACGTACAGAATTCGAACGAACTGCACGGTGCTCTTAGAGGATAATTTGAACCAGTAAAATCACATTTAAGACTTATTCTATTAAAAGTTTAAAATTAAATAAAAAAGTTATGTTGTATTCCGAATAAATAATATTTAATCACAGAAGTATTTTATTAGTTATAAAAGAATTCCCGTGCAATTGGATAGTTTTTTCTTTTTTGAAACTCATTCTGGAGAAAGTATCAAATGTTTGGACCACGTTTTTACTCACGAATAATCTTGATCTCGGTATGATTTATAGGAAAAAACAAATTCGACACTTGTTATCCGCCAAGCTTTCCAACTATTTTATGGTCATCAACAGGGCAATCTTAATGTTGTCTACAAATTGATATAAGTTTTTAATAAATGGTTTCAAATTTCTTTCAAGATAGACTCATTGTAAGTACCAACATTGTGCCATTGTAATAATTCTGAATGACATGAGATATTACCTAAGAGAGAAAAAGCTTAATGCTGTATGCGGTGTTAAATTAGAAAAAACTCATTTGTTGTACTTATTATTATTTTTTATGTTTTAAAATTCATTGTGTATTAAGTGGTTCGTTGCACATTTGTTCTTTTATGTGTCACGTTCAGATTTAAATGAACCGCCATGCCCCTCCACACACTCAAACAGTGAAAGGAGTAGGGGCCAAGAAAGGGCTATTTTTTTCAAGTCCTAGAACATATCCCTTTCTGGCTTGTGTGGGTAAACAGATATTTTTGGTAAAAAGAAAAATTTGGTGTGCACACTATTCAAGTGAGTTAATTTTTATTACTTTGACGTCAAAATAAAAAAATAATAATTGTAATTTAGTTTTAAAAGGGTATATATTTTTATAAAGAAAAATAAAAGAAATAATATTTCATTTTAAAAGTTGTGTTAATATTTTAATTGTATTTTCTAATTTGGTGGTCAAAATTTTAATAATAATAATAATAATTTCTTTACCTTTCTTTATGGAACTATAAAACGAGAATCAAATTCCATTTTAAAATTAAGGTTTGTAGATTTGAGATAGGTTTGTTATAGGATAAAAGGATTCTTTAAATTAAAAATAATAATTAATAAAATATATTGTCATTTTATGTGAAAATAAATTGTAATTAAAGATTCAAATTTAACAAACATTTGGTGTCGTATTTACTTTGGTTTAAATGAAATATAAAAGGTGCCTGATCGATAAATGAAATAATTGTAGTCAGGTCCGATCGTAAAAAACCTCTGGGACCTTGTTTTCGGTTTTCCGAATTCAGGGTTGGGCCCAACAAAAAAGAAGAAGAGACACGCTATATCACAAAATATACCTATAAATCTTTGTTAAATTTGAATCTTTAATTACAATTTATTTTCACATAAAATGACAATATTTTTTTTGCCTTATGATCTATGCATATTAACCATGGTGACGAATTCTTATATGTGTGTTCATATTTGGGGGGGGGTTATCGTGAAAAAAGGGCCAGAGGCGACGGTGGGAATCGAACCCACGACCGCGGCGGCTATGAGCCGAGAGTCTCTCACGCTAACCACTCGGCTACCGCGGTCCCCGAAAATGACAATATATTTTATTAATTATTATTTTTAATTTAAAGAATCCTTTTATTCTATAACAAACCTATCTCAAATCTACAAACCTTAATTTTAAAATGGAATTTGATTCTCGTTTTATAGTTCCATAAAGAAAGGTAAAGAAATTATTATTATTATTAAAATTTTGACCACCAAATTAGAAAATACAATTAAAATATTAACACAACTTTTAAAATGCAATATTATTATTTTTTTTCTTTATAAAAATATATACCCTTTTAAAACTAAATTACAATTATTATTTTTTATTTTGACGTCAAAGTAATAAAAATTAACTCACTTGAATAGTGTGCACACCAAATTTTTCTTTTTACCAAAAATAGCTGTTTACCCACACAAGCCAGAAAGGGATATGTTCTAGGACTTGAAAAAAATAGCCCTTTCTTGGCCCCTACTCCTTTCACTGTTTGAGTGTGTGGAGGGGCATGGCGGTTCATTTAAATCTGAACGTGACATATGAATAGATAATTAACTTTAAAACTTTATAATCGTTATCTAGTTGGCTATTTTTAAATTTAATTATAAAACTGAATTAATTGAAAATTAAATTAAAAAACGTTTGTACATATTCAGTTTTAAAATGGAGTATAATCAATTGATTATAAAAGAATCATACAATAAAAATAGCCCAAATATGTATCCCGCATTGCTTAACTGAAGGGTGCAATTTCTTGGCTCCATATAGAGAGCGTGAAGGAATGCCCCTGATATAGGCGTGCATTGTGCTTGAGTACTGTTACGATTTTACAGGAAACTGAGCTGTTTCACTGTACACAATACTTTTTTGATATCTCGTCTTGTGTTTCTTTGTTTGAATGTATTTATTAGCATGACTGTTTATTGCGGGAGGGCCGAAGGCGGAATACCGGGCACTCCATTGATTTTCAATTAGATTAGTTACGTATGTTCCTATGTTGGTATATTTTGTGCAGATAGCAATAAATAAAATAAATTATAAATAAAAAACACACTTTATAATCGTTATCTAGTTGGCTATTTTTTAATTTAATTATAAAATTGCATTAATTGAAAATTAATTATAAAACCTTTGTACACATTCAGTTTTAAAATGGAGGAGAATCGATTGATTAAAAAAAAAGAAAAGAATCACACAATAAAAAATAGCCCACATATGTGTCCTGCATGTAGAGAAAACTTGCTCGATATGTCCCACTTAACTGAAGGGTGCAATTTCTTGGTTCCGTATAGAGAGCGTGAAGGAAGCCACCCGATATATGCATTGTGCTTGATTACTGTTCCTTTTTTAGAGGAAACGGAGCTGTTTTTACTGTACACAATACTTTTTTGATATCTCGTCTTGGGTTTCTTTGTTTGAATGTATTTATTAGCATGATTGTCTAGAGCGAGAGGGCCGAAGACGAAAGACCGAATACTCCATTGACTTTCAATTAGATTACTTACGTATGTTCTTATTTTGGTACATTTTGTACAGATAGCAATACATAAAATAAATTATAAATAAAAAACACACTCTAGTTGGCTATTTTTTCATTTAATTATAAAATTGCATTAATTGAAAATTAATTATAAAACCTTTGTACACATTCAGTTTTAAAATGGAGTGTAATCGATTGATTATAAAAGAATCATACAATAAAAATAGCCCAAATATGTGTCCCGCATTGTTTAACTGAAGGGTGCAATTTCTTGGCTCCATATAGGGAGCGTGAAGGAATGCCCCTGATATATGCATTGTGTTTGAGTAGTGTTACGATTTTACAGGAAACTGAGCTGTTTCACTGTATATAATACTTTTTTGATATCTCGTCTTGTTTCTTTGTTTGAATGTATTTATTAGCATGACTGTTTAGTGCGGGAGGGCCGAAGGCGGAATACCGGGCACTCCATTGACTTTCAATTAGATTAGTTATATATATTTCTATTTTTTTAATTTTATTACTCTTTTATCTTACGTTTTTGCACGTTTTGAAGGTTTTACTGTTCGAAAATCCGGATTCACTAATAATCAACCAAACTTGTTAGTAAAAGTACGAAATTGTATGGCATAGCCACAGTTTGTTTAAGATTCTGTTTAAATAATTTTCATGAATGAAGAAGTGGCGGTTGATCTTTCCAGGTTAAGGGTTAATTTCAACAGTTAAAACCATACATTACAACCATATTTGCAAGAAATGAGGTAACTAGAACTGTTTAATTGAAAATAAATTTAACTCAACTCTTAAATCTTAGGAGTTTACAAGGGCGTTAAAACAATACAAGCTCATGCATGGATATAATCCACACATGTTTTCTCATTTCTACCACAACTTCGAATTTAATTTAAACCAGTAGAAAACCAATATGAAGGCACAATAGGGAACACGTGCGCAGAATGTCTACTACTTTTAAACTGTTCCCCATTCCGGCGGTGCGCGGATTTAATGAAAGAAGGGCCTTTAACTGCATTGAGGCTTGACTTACATCAAACCGTTGGAATGGAGAATCACGCACTAATACAAAGTTAAAAGACGGCGATCACAAATGCGAATTTTTGTAATTACCTCCATCTCATTTTAGCACATACGGTTTACAAGGGGGGCCGAATTCCTAAGGCCTTTTACTAATGGAACACCGTTTCACATTCCGGTCCCCCAGGATTTAAACATGTCCTTTCTGCGGTCTGACATGGATTTAATTAAATCGAGTATTTATAGCGGGAAAGGATAAACGCTCTCATTACAGATACCCCTTTTCTCTAATTCTTGGCAGTTCTCTCTTTTTCGTTTAGTGGATTAATGTTACACTTAAAAGTTTCTACCTGTGAAATTTTGGACTGCTGGCGAGAAAAATTAATGCAATGTAATAAGTAAAATAAATCAGATTTTATTTTGTACATTTTAGCACAGGAGGGAGAGTTTGGTTTCGGTTTCAATTGTGTTTTCAATTAATTTGATAGGATTTGTATTATATTTATCTTCTACTCTCGCCATACCTGAGAGAGATGGGATAAATAAAATCCGTAATATTAATCCATCCGTTTAAAGCATTAATACTCAATCACTATCGTACAAATTATAATTGCTACACAAGCCGATTCACATTTAAATCTTCACGTTTATAATTAATTTTAAACCTACGGGGATCAGGATACAACAAAACATTTTTCTTTCCTCTTGTAATAATTAATAATTAATGTATGTGGTAGTTCTTGGTCTGCTTGTCGGAGACAACATGCAGTATTAATTATTAGTAAGTACATGTTTTATTTATTAGGCAAAAACGGAAAATGTACTGCCTTGAAATACATATAAAATCAATCTTTAATAATTAAATATATGTTATGAAATTGTCAAAAAATATTCGTAAATCCCCCAGTTTCACTGTATAAATCTAATAATGTTTAGTGGTCTAATTGAACATATTAATAATTTCAATTAATTATTCTTTTTATGTAAGGTCTTGATTGAGATGAATAAGTAAGTTAGCGTCACCAGGTCGTGGGTTCGAATCCCGCCGCTAGTGACACTAACTTTTTCATCTCAACCAAGACCTTACTTAAAAAGAGTATGAATATAATGACAGACTGAAATCTATCTGTGTTTAAAGTCAGTTTGTTGTCGTGACTCCAGCTCGCGTTCCTTTATCCGTTTTTGGACGAAGAATGTAGGATGGGAAAATGAGATTTTTTGTTATAAAAACCAATGCTTTTCTAGGTAGTTGGGATAGGACGATGTTTTATTTTTCAAAATCAAGTATCTTTCAAGTAAAATCAAGTATTTTTCAAAGCAGTCTGACAATCAGAAACAGGCAACATCACATTAGCTGACACAAACCGCCAACCAGAAGCAAAATCAGAGAGAGAGTTAGAGAGAGAGGGAGAGAGGGAGAGTGAGAGAGGGAGAGAGAGAGAGTGAGAGAAGGAGAGAGGGAGAGAGAGAGGGAGAGAGGGACAGTGAGAGAGGGAGAGAGAGAAAGAGTGAGAGAAGGAGAGAGGGATAGAGAGAGGGTGAGAGGGAGAGAGAGAGGGAGAGAGGGAGTGAGAGAGAGGTAGAGAGGGAGAGAGGGAGAGAGTAAGAGAGAGTGAGAGAGAGGTAATGGAGGTCAAAGGATGATAAAATAGTGCCATTTTAATGGTCATCAATCCTGCAGAATAGACGCACATTTCCTGCGGAAGTGGGATAGATTCCGATATTTTTATTTTGAATCAAATCAGGAACAACCGACTTTTGTAGCCATAAAAGAGCCATCTGTTTATATAAAATGATAACAGAGAAGAAAAAGTTGATACAACTCGACCTTAGAATTTGATCTAGTTCTTTCTACCTTGGATATTTTATTGGGTCCGTGTACACTACCTGCTCAACATTTCATTTAAACACGTTTCGGCTGTACGCCATCTTCAGTGAGAAACTCTGTCTGGAAAGTTTGACTCAAACGTAAAACAGCGAGCGTAGACGGACCCAGCGTCTATCAGTCCAACATGAAATTGCAATTATACAAACTAATACACATTAACTTAATCACTATTTGCTTAGTGGTCACAATTGAACTTATTAATTATTCTTTTTATCTAAGGTTTTTGGTTGAGATGAAAAATGAATGTCTCGAATGGGATTCGAACCCACGACCTTCGGCTCAATACGCCGCTGCTCTACCAATTGAGCTGTCCAGTTTCCAGTGACCACTTACCAACCAGTTTTGATACCTCAAGTGGCATCGGCGTATTGAGCCAAAGTTCGTAGGTTCGAATCCAACTCGTGACACTAATTTATCATTTCAACCAAAAACCTTAGATAAAAAGAATAATTAATTGGAATAAATAATATTGTTGAACCCTGAATAATCGAGAAGAGAGAATCAGCAGCAGCTGTTCCAATTTTTGTTTGATAATTAAAATAATCTACAGACATAAAATTAATCTAAAAACTTTGAACAATTTTAAATGACGTGTTTATAAGAATAATAGACAAGCCTCAAATTCAGAGCGATGTATGGGTTCTTCGTGATGTCCGACGATCGGAAGGCGGTTGCTGCGTCGGAGGTGGTGGGGGAGACGAAGGAGGCGGTGATGGATTCGATGACTGTGGAGGTTCCCTAGGAGTCGATGAAGTCTGTCCCGCTTTTTCCTTATTCCACTCCTTTAAACCGATCGGTAAAGTTGTGTTTTCTTCGAAGGACCCGGTGCCTTGCACGAAATCTTCGTACGTGGACTTCTCCCGGAACGGCCGCGGACCCAGAAGCTCGAGCATGTCGTCACGACTCAGCACTTCGTGTTTTAACAACCTCTCGGCGACCTTAATCAAAATTTGAACCAATTAAAGTTAAATTTGTCTTTAAAATACAACTAAATTACAACCTTGATGACATCCTCCCTATGTTGGAGCAGTAGTTCTTTCGTTCTTAGGTAAGCGTGATCAACTAAAGCTCGCACTTCATTATCTATTATTTGAGCTGTATTTTCTGAATAAGGTTTCTCAAACATTACGTCTCCTTGCTTTTGTAGGTCGAAGCTCAAAGCACCTACCCTCTCGTTCATACCGTAATGGACAACCTAAAAAATTGAAATGATAAAAAAAGTCAAGATGCTATCTGAATAGAACTCATAAAACTAATAGATGTTGATTGTGCGAAGGTCATACTTGTCTTATCCAACAGTAGCTACGACTGAAGTGAACTTGTTGAAGAGCGGATTAAACCTACTTCCTTATAGACACCACCATTTACTACCGGCTAAAGTGCTTTATGGTGAAGACATTTATTCAAATAATTCATGGCCTAATTCGATTAAAGTGAGAGATTAAAGAGCCCCATATCTTAAAAATATTGTGATAAAGCGTTTCCAAGAATGCCGAATCTTTGCAGAACATATGGCTCATTTGCAAACACAAATCTCAATCTGAAGGACTTTTAGGCATGGAATCAGGAGATAATTATCTGAATATTCTGGGTCGCCGTTGTCTCGTCAACACCCAGGTACTCCAGAAAGAAGAAGTCTGCTAACAACCGTATGTAGAAAGAAACTACCGGCACATTTGGAGAAAAGAAGAGTACTTGAAGGACTTTACGGGCTTGGAGGAAACAGCTTTTTAGAAGGAACATAAAAAAATGAACTCGCATTCAGATAAAAAAGAAAGGAGTGTTTAGCTTTTGACGGCGGGTTGGTTCCTTCACTGCTATTGAAATGTGTCATCATCAGAAATCATCGAAAACTCTTGGTAGACAAAGTTTTCAACACCTCAACACCCATTAACTTCAGAGATCAGAAAGCTGCTAACAAACCAAAATTCAGAACGACGGGCCCCTTGGACACTTTTCTACTGGAAGTAAATCTATTTACTACATTAATTCTAAGGGAAGAATTGATGAACTTCACGAATCTGGAGGAACCTAAGAACGTGAACTGGCATCTGAAGAACGGAAGGACATTTCAGCTTTTAACGGCAGATTGTCTCCTCCACCGCCCTTAAGATGTAATTCCACGGGAAAATGCTCCGATTACTATGGGCAGACTGCGCCTCCAATATTCAGGTAACATGGAGGGCAGAAGGCTGCTAACAACCATAAAATGGAGAAAGTTTGGCAACCTGGCAATACTCCAGTTGATTCTAAAGGGGTCAACTCTTTTGTCTCAAGTATAAGTGGATTGGTGCGAAGAACGAATGGGTTACGCTTTCAAAGAAAACATGTCCGAACAGAGTCAAACAGGGATGGTATGGTATGGTAAGGTATGGTGGAAAGGATGATACTAGGAAGCGGGGTTTGTATTCCCCAGGTACTGCAGCCTTTTGGCTTATTGTACCTTCTTAATTCCCTACTTCAGTGCAATCGACTCAACCCTTCCTCTCAGAAGTATTAGGTCATTTGTTGCTGCTACAATTTCATTCCCTAGGTTTTTTGCTGTATGTTAGGTTAAATCTCGATTTAGCTGTTGCTTCGCATTCGATGATACGGGTGGCTGTTTCCTCCTCCTCATTACATAATCTGCAAATGGGGTCATCGCAGTATATACCCATGTTGTGTAGATGTTTTCTCAGGTACCAGTGACCGGTTGGTAGTCCTACCACTCCTCTGAGTTTGGCCCTCTCGAATTGCAGCAGTGTTTTTGCCAGTCTCGGTGAGGGTTGTTTCATCATACGATTCTAAATTTGTTTTTGTTATCCCAAGGATAGGTTCGGGGCCTATGTATGGTCTTGCAGATCCTCCTCTGGCTAGTCTGTCTGCTTTTTCGTTACCCAAAATTCCCCTGGCCCTGGCACCCAACATATCATCAGGTTGTTGTGTTTCCCAGGTTTTGGAGATTTTGGATGCATTCACTGACTAGTTTTGATGTGATTCTTTTACACAGACAGGGATGCTGCCACTCTTCCATTCTCTTCCTCTGTGTAAACAAAGTCTTGAACACATAAAAACCTAGCAACAGGAAAAAGCAGAAAGCTGCTAACAAACCATACTTAAATGCAGGAAAATTGAGTTCCTTGGGATCTTCTTGACAGGCATATGTACCGTCTACCCCATTTAATGCTAAGAGGAGACTAAAGGACATCACCGACCGGATAGGGACTCTTGAATGAGCAACGTGAGTACGTCGACTGGTATCCGAAAAACCGCAGAGCTAATCAGCGTTTCTGGCTGTCTTCACTGTCTTTGGTGTGGGGTACAAAACAGAGCAGAAAACAACTATGACTATGAATAAAGTAGAAAAATTGGGAAGCTTTGACACATTTGGAGGATGAATAAGTATGATCAACTCCAATTGATTCTAAATGATAGAATTGAAGTATTTTGCAGCTTTTGATAGTCAGTTGACGCTTTAACCGCCCACCATAGAGATTTGCCCTTACAGGAAAATCGTCCCATACTACGAGCTGAAGGCTACTTACTTTAAAAATACAGGAAGGTTAGGTAGGAAGGATAAGTACCTCCTACCATACCCAAAACATCCCTAACCAATTAAATCTAATGGGGGATATGTCATGGGATTGAAAGACATCAACGCATTTGGCAGACAAAACGTCGACTTGTATCAGAAGAAAGCATGAGCTTTTACAGCTTTATATTGAGTCGAATGTCATAACTATAATTTTCTTTCTATTAAAGTTTAAAAACAACTAACCTGTGCGTATGCACTTTGTGTAACTTTCTTCAAATCGTCTTGTGCTCCGGTTGTGATCCTGTTGAAGAATAACTCCTCTGACACTCTCCCTCCTAGGGTCATACACATTCGATCGAAGAGTTGTTCCTTCGAGTACAAAAACTGCTCCCGGGGCAAATACTGCGCATATCCGAGCCCCTTTCCTCTCGGAATTATTGACACCTAAATTTACAATTTATCGATATAATTCAATGAAATAATTTGCTTAAATTATTTTTTTTAAAGAAAATGTGTTAAATTGGTTGTAGCGTGTAACCGAGTAATGTTTTATAAGAGGAATGTAAATTAATTACTTTGAGCAAAGGGTCAGCATGCTGAAGAAACCAGCCGGCGACCGCATGCCCTGCTTCGTGATATGCCACAGTCCGTTTTTCTTCGGGTTGCAGTACATTTGTCTTTTTTTCCATTCCTGCGACGACTCTTTCGATCGCTTTTTCAAAATGTTTCATCACAACGCTACTACTCAGGTCCCTGGCTGCGATGAGAGCCGCTTCGTTGCAGACGTTCGCTATATCCGCTCCTGGAAGGATTTGACAAAAGTAGGACGGGATCGTTTTTTAGACAGTGCACAAGGAATGTGAAATACCTGTAAATCCGGGAGTCAACGCTGCCAGGCGACGAGATATTTCCGGTTTGTTCAAGTTCGATTTCAAAGGGGAAAGGTGAACTTTAAAGATTGAAGCTCTCCCCTTTATGTCCGGGGCCGGAACGAATATTTGCCGGTCAAATCTTCCGGGCCTTAGAAGCGCTTTGTCAAGAATATCCACTCGGTTGGTTGCAGCAAGCACTACCACGTTCATGTTAGTGTTAAAACCTGTTGAAGAAAATCCACTATTTATTATACGAATATACGTCCACTTTATAACATAAACTTTATTAACAACATTAACATATATTAATTATCTACAAGTATAAAAGATGTTTGATGTAACAAAACTAATTTACCGTCCATTTCAACCAGTAGTTGATTCAGGGTATTTTCCTGTTCGGAGTGTCCTCCAAAACTTTTCCCTCCCCTTTTGCGACCAACAGCATCAATTTCATCAATAAATAATATACACGGAGCATGTTTTCGAGCCATGGCAAACATATCACGAACCTAAAAAAAATGAAATTGTCTGAAAGTTGGATTTTGCCGAAAAACGGCATTGTTTAATTTTATTGTACCCATTACAACAAAAGTATCAAATAAATTACCATAATATCATTTTAATTTGTGTTAATTGTAATTTTATATATTTATTCATTCACGTATTTTATGGGATTAAAGACTTAAACAAAAAAATTAAATCCATTATATTTCATGGTCTATTGACCAAATTACTTCTTGCAATTAATTAATCTTTTTATGTAAGGTTTTGGTTAAAATGAAAAAAGTTAGTGCAGCGATTCAAATCCCGCTCGTGGCACTAAATTTTTCATTTCAACCAAAACCTTACATAAAAAGATTAATTAATTGAAAAAAAGTTGTATTTAAAATAAAGGTAGCTTGATCGTTTTTAATCCTGGCCTGCCAATGATTTTATGTCATTTCCGCATGGTGATTGGAACTCAAACTCCTGATGATGATGATAAGGGGGATACTAGGCAGTGGTTTTTTTAAAAATATTCTTTAGCATGGTAGCCTTGAGGTTTATTTTACTTTTCCTTGTTTCTTAGTCAAGCTCGACTCGATCCTTCTTTTTAGTGTCATCGCCGCAATCATTTTCCCAGGTCCTCCTCATACCTTAGTTATATCTTCTTTGGGCTGTTCTTTCGCGTTCAAAAGTAAGTGTGGCCTTTCTTTCTCACTGCATAATTTATCATCTTATGATGATGAGATGATAAGGGAATGCAAGAAACGGAGGTTTTGCATTGTTTAGCACTGAAACCTTGCGGTTTGTGTTACTTTTCCGAGTTTCTGGGTTCAGTTCAACAGACTTGATCCTTCTTTTGAGAAGCAATAGGTTATTGACTACTGTTGCTGCAATTATTTTTCTCGGTTCTTCTTCGTACCTTGGTCATGCCTTAATTGAGCTGTCGTTTCGCGTTCAAAGATATGGGTGGCAGTTTCTTTCTTCTTACTGCATAACTTATCATCCTTATGATGATGATAAAGGAATGCAAAAAAACGGAGGTTTTGTATTTTTAGCACTGAAACCTTGCGGTTTATGTTACTTTTCCTTGTTTCTTAGTTCAATTGACTTTATCCTTCTTTTAAGAAGCAGTAGGTCATTGACTGTTATTACTGCAATTATTTTTCCGGGTCTTCTTCGTACCTTGGTTATATCTTCATTGAGCTGTTGCATCGCATCAGGCTGGCAGTTTCTTCCTCCTGGCTGCTAACCTAAAATGTGTAGGTGTTTTGTCAGATGCCAGTGTACAGACAATAAAATATAGTCTAATATGCACACTTTGTACCCAGTTGTCCGATTCCACGATGGCATAACTGGATAGCTGTCCCAAAAACTCGTTCACTGCAATTTCGACTTTTGAAAAACTTAGTTGTAGATGTAGATATGGTTTCGGGGTATAGTATACTGCGCCTTTTAAGAGCTATTGTATCCCCCGTGCTCTGCCTAAAGCACATCTGTGAGTCCTATTTCATCAAGAAACTTGATTAATAGGCCCGGTTTCAATGGTTGAAGCTCTTCTACAGTCACAGGGCTAGTGTAGCTTCGCAGTTTGTTAGTAAATGTGTTGGTGTTTCTTCTGCCTCTTTGCAGAATCTGCATGTGTCATCTTGGATTATTCAAATTTTCTTGTCCATTTAACTTGCAGTGTCCTGTTAGGAATCCTATTAGGATTCGCAGGTTTGTTCCTGCTTCCCTTGACACATTCTGTAATTTCTTTCCTTCCGAAATTGGTTAGAAGATTCTTGGATTGTCTGTGTCCAATGAGTGAATTCCAAAGTTCCCTCATTTTCTTTTTGTCCTTCTGTCTGAGATACTCGTTAATAGTGTGGGCTCCTATGCCACATAAGGGTTCAGGTCCTATTAGCGGTGTACCAGCCCCTTTTCTTGCAAGGGTGTTCTCTTTCCCGTTGCCTTCTACTCCCATATGTCCTGGGACCCAGCAGAGGCTGACTTTCTGCGTACCTAGTATGTATAGTTTGGTTTTGCAGTTCAGCACCCTCCTTGAAGTAATGATATTTGAGCTTAGTGCTTTGATGGCTGCTTGGCTATCTGACATGACAGCTATATTCTTGTTTTTGTACCCTTTACTTAGGTTGAGTTGGGTACATCTTTCGATTGCATGAATCTCGGTGTGTTTTCCCATGGGTTCTGAATATTTGGTTCCAGGTCCAGATACTCCTGCCCCTGTACCTTCTTGTGTACCAAAGGATGGTGCCATTCTTTAAAGAGTTGTTTCCCTCTCTTTCCCATTCTTTTTTGGTACCAAGGTTTATTCGGAAGTTTTGTTGAAAGTTGAAAAACTGTAGAATTTTTGGATTTGAATAAAGTGGACCAAGGATATAAGTAACCAACTGAAGGAGAGAGGTTAGGACTTTTTGGCTTTACAGTATGTTTTAAAATTGTTTAAAATTCATAGATTATGTTGAGAGAAGGCGAGGATTTGGTTTGATCTACATGCACTACAGCCTTTAGCTTATTGTACTAAGTTTAAGTACGGGAATGTGATTGACTGCTATTCTGAGCCCTTTTCTATGGGTCATTTTGGTACCCTAGGTTGTGTCTTCATTAAGAGGTTGCTTCATATTTTAAGACAGTGTGGATGGCAGTTTTTTCTCTTCATTGCATAACAACAAATGGGATCATCGTTGAATAACATTGGTATGTTATGTTTGTATTTTTTAAATGACCTGTAGATAGCACTATTACACACTTGAGTTTTATCCTTTTAATGAATTTGCCACTTTTAGTGAGGGTTCGTTAACCAAGGGTTAACTGTGTCTGGCACCTCTAAAGAAGAAGCCCTCCTTTTTTTGGACTCATTCTACGACGGATGATTCTATGTTTGTACTTGTTATCTCAAATATAAGTTCTGGGTGTAAACTGACTATTGCGATAAAGTCCAGTTTGTCTTCTTGCTCAAAACCCAGAATTCCGGTTATGTTTTCCCATGTTTTGGATATAGATCTGACCGTTTTACGTTCTAATCCTGTTCGGGCTGTTTGGCTATCTGATCATATGGGATTTTTTTATCTGTGCATGTTTTTTGATTTTCTAAAGCAATTCCGTAATGAGTTTGATTGTCATGTTTTTCAAAGATCTGAACCCAAAGGTCGTCGTGGTAGGCCAATTTCTTTAGCTTGTTGTAATTTGACTTCCCTACACATGATAACATCAGTGTAACCTAATTTGAAAACCTGGCAGTACCAAGATCGTCTAGAACTTGTGAAGAAGCTCAGCAATTTTCCGGCTTTACCGGGGAGAGATGTACACATGTAGTGTAATGAAGCATACAAGCCCATGCTTGGAAAATTAACCCAATTTATTATAAATCAATTATTTAAAAAATAACCTTCAACGCTTGCTGAAAACATATTTCTCGTAATGGAGAAAGCCAAGCCGTGTTAAAACTCTAATAAAACAATAAGGCTCTGTACATATTGCCTCAACTACCTCGTGGACCTCAGGTCACCTATTTGCACTTTAAAGTCTGCTGTATCTATCACTCATTTATCCATCCGATTTGACAACCCAAAGCAGAATCTTAAGAATGATATCCTGTGCGCCATGTGCGCAATATAGCACATCAACCCGACCTCTTAATCAAAGATCAAGCTCCACATGTTACAGTGGACACCTTCATGAGGCAAGCTAATAGACCTCCATAACACAATGTCAAGGCTTAAAAAAAATGCACAAAGTCTCAGTAAGTAATCTTAAAAAAGAAGCATACAGTTGCTAATTGTTATAAATTAACTGCTAATTAAAAATGTATATATGTTTATGCAATTCTAGTCAGGTGGATCCATTAGGTTAAGACCCTAACACAAATGTTATGTTAATTAAGTATAACTATTATTACTGTTATTCTAAGCTCAACTCTACACTTTTTCAATAAATAAAAAAGCGAAACTATTATAAAAACACTTATAATACTTACTCTGGAAGGACCGACACCGACAAACATTTCCAAAAATTCTGATCCGGAAACGGATATAAATGGGACATTAGCTTCTCCAGCAGTTGCTTTGGCTAATAAAGTTTTCCCAGTCCCTGGTGGACCTAAATTAAAAAAAAAAGAATGCATGAAGTCCCAAATTTATTAAGAGGCGGTGTGCATTCAGAAGTTATCCCACTGTAAATTAATCCAATTCATGTTTTACTTCTACATTTTCTGTCTAGAAATTTCGTGCCACGTAAACGTGGATGTCACACTAGATCATAATCATACTAGATTTTTAAGTACCGGACTTTAAAGAACATAAATAATATAAATTGGTCTAACATAAAATTTGATTTTTGATATGTATGGTAGTTACGAGATGAAAAATTTGTCATCGTAGACTGTAAACGGACTAGAATGCCGAAAAAAGAAGTTTTCTAAATAACTCAATCAAGAAGAAACTGAAAAAAAATTGAGCACTTCTGTAAAAAATACGTTAAATTAAAATGGTTATTTTTATTTTGTTTATATTCATTCTTTATTTTAATGTTAATATGTAATATTCAGTTTGTCGGGTAGTAACATAATTTGATCCTTGGTGTGACACTTGACAGGAAACTTGATTGGAAAGGTCATATTAATAACATATACAGGAAAGGCACCATATCCATGGTACAATGTAGGAGAATTGTTGGTAAAACATCATGGGGCATCAAACCGTGGGTAGCCAAATGGCTATATACTGCAATTATTCTACCTAGATTCTTTTTCGCAGCTTTAGTGTGGTGGAAAGGTCTAGAAAATAAAGGGAATAGTAATAAATTAAGGTCATTTCAAAGACTAGGTTGTTTGATGATGACAGGAGCATTTTCAACTACACCCACCCTACATTATATATATATATATATACCTACTTTTTCCCATGATAAACGTCTTTTTTGTATCATTATCCTCGAAAAAAGAATGTATTAATCCTATCAAGTATACCACGCGAAATGCTATTAAATGAAACAGTTTTTGTTAAATTCGCGATCTCTAGGACGTTTTGCCACATCGTAGTGAATTTTTGAAATGCCACAAAAATGGTGCATGATTTTGGGGCACGGCAGTGAGCATAGATCGTCGTTCCGGTATCTTAAATTTTGAAATGAATATATTTTGTGTTTATGTTAATTTATTGGAATGAATGTTGTTTAATGAATGAATTTATTAGCTTGAAAGAAAAGGGTTGCTTATAATCCCGGCCTGAGATGTGTCGAGTACTCTAGGGTCAGTGTGTGGTATCTGGAGAGTAAAAGTAAGTTATTAGCGAGAGGGAAGTGGGTTCAAACCCGCCCTGAGCTATATTCCGAGTACAGTGTGGGAGTGAATCTATCCAGAGTTATATATGTCTATAGAGTGTTGTGTTTATGTTAATTTGTTGGAATGAATGTAATTTATTAGCGCGAAAGGAAGGGTTACGAACCCCGCCCCGCGTACTCTGGGGTGAGTGAGTGGCGTCTGGAAAAGTAGTTATTTACGAGAATGGAGTGGGTTCAACTCCGTTCCGAGGAATATGGAGTACTCTGGGAGTGTGAATCTGTCCAGACTTCTATATTTCCATTTAGTGTTGTGATTATGTTAATTTATTGGAACGAAAGTAATTTATTAGCGCGAAAGAAAGAGTTACTAACCCCGCCACGAGTACTCTGGGGTGAGTGTGTGACGTCTGGAAAGTAAAAGTAGTTATTAGCGAAAATGGAGAGGGGGTTCAACCTCGCCCCGATGAATATCGAGCCTCTATGTTTGTGGTGACGTAAATGTATCTACGTTTTATATCTGTTCTGTAGTTGACAACCAGAAGTACACATGAGAGGCTAGAGGTTTAAGAAATCGACTTAGTTTTAATATAAAAGCAGAGAGTCAATGTGATTTGTCATTGTGATTGATCGAGTCGCTCAAATGGGTGCAGTTTAAAGAAAATAGGCCTGAAGAAGCAGAAAAAGAAATAAAAATACGCAAAGGGCCTGCAATGACCTCAGCTATTTGTCGGCCCCAAGCATCCCACATTACAATTATTATCGCTATTATTATTAAAATTTTTTCCCAATATTTAGATTTTAGAGGTTTGTGACTGCTAAACGTGTACCATTTAAACTGAAATGGTTCATTAAATGACTCATTCTTTAGAAAATTTAAAAACCTCGCTTTGGATGAAAATTTCTTAGCTAATGGGGAAAATAATTTTTTTATTGATTTCACAATCCTGGATGTTGATTTAACCAATTTTATTGATGACGCAAAAAACAACACATATATAACATATTCCTAAACTTAAGGGAATGAATTTTGTGTTATATTTTCCTGACATACAGTAAGACTTAACATCCAACTATTCGCATACGACCATTTTTCAATACTTTTCATATTTTTCTCAATTAAAAAGTCATAGGATATGCTGGGGATTCGAGCCCGCTAGCTTGGCAAATACGAGGGACGCTCTAACGGCCACTGCGGTCCTACTTGAATGAAGTCCACCACTAATACCCCCCATAATTCACTTTTGTTAGACTTTAAACGTCTCTATGTAAGGCGAAAACGACTGGCTTCAAAATTCATCTCTTCTCGTTGGAACAACCGCAGTTTTACACGAAACCAAAATTTTCAAGTCTATCCAGGACTAGATACCGTTGACGAAGTGAGTTTATGCTCTTGGGGGGTTCTCTTGTCATTGCAATCTGCACTACAGCATACTATAGTGGGTCGAAAATTAAATATCCTAAAAAATTAAGATAGACCAAAGTGACGAGGGGATTAACAGGATGTCACCTCAGCCCAGGTCGATTGGAGCAGCTGCCTTGAATTTTGATAGTAATAGATAACCTTTTTGTCTATATCGAAGTTAACCTTCTTCAAAAGAAATACATGGTTCAAAAGCAAACCTGTCAGCATTGCGCCCTTTGGGATTTTTGCTCCAAGTTCCATGTATTGTAGTGGATTTTTTAAAAAGTTGACAAATTCCATTATCTCGATCTTGGCTTCTTCACATCCAGCTACATCTCTGTTAAATTTACAGTTTGTTAGTCAACATTTTTCAATAATATGTTATTCTACTCACTTGAATCTGACACCAATGTCTGATGAATTGATCAGTTTTGCCGTCGATTCCATGACGCCGAATATTCCGCCGCCTTTCCTCCCTCTGGTTCCGATCATATCAGCAGACCTTTTCATCATGTAGACAAATAACCCTGTAACGATGAAAATTTAGCAGGTTTCAAACTGTGCAACATTGCTTTACAAACCGAGCAACAGCAAGGAAGGCACGATTGCAAACAGATCGGAAAACTGTAGTTCGCCTTTGTATACGACAGGGATATAATTAGATGGCTCGACGTTCATGTCGATCTGTGCTCTTTCCAGATTCCTTTCGAATGCTTCGACACTGCCGATATTAAACCACAAGGATGGCTGAAGAGAAACAAAAGTTAAAAAAAAGAAGGAAATGTTTAATGTTAAATGTTAAAGTTTACAAGAGTTGTTAGTATTAGTATTAGTACGAATAACAAATATATTAAGTATTTTTAATATATTTAACTTCATTTTCGATTAAATAATCAGTCAGTATTTCTACTTTTTATATAATTTGTTGACAAGGTGAAAACAGTTAAAAATGCAAATATCGACAGGCCAGGATTTTTCACCCTATTTCATCCTTAATTATTATAGCTTTAATTTATAACTTTTACGAAAATTACTGATTATTTATAGCGGTATAAAATTAATAATCAGTTTATCTTAATATAATTTGTTGGCTAAAGAGAAAACCGTTAATTTGCATATTTTGACAAATGTGAAATAGCGATTCTCTCCAAAAATATTCCATTTCAATTATAATGAATGTCTTGTATAACCTGTATGATATTTATGCTATGTGGCGCTCATAAAATAAGAGGTTGTTGTCAAAGGGAGAAAGTTCTAAATTTGCAAATCGTGACAAGTTAGAAGGATAATTTCCGCTCAGTTTGTTCAGTATCAATTATGATAGATTTAGGGTATGAAAGTATAAAAATATAACTTCACTAGTTTTCGTGGTCCGCTTGAACAATTAATATCTTTCAATTAATTGAAGTTTTTAGTTGAGATAAAAAAAGTCAGTGTCACGAGCGGGATTCGAACCCACGATCTTCGGCTAGATACGTCGCTGCTCTACCACTTGAGCTATCGTGACCTCGATCCACTCGGACACTAACTTCCCATCTAAACCCCACCTTTTGAATTTTCCCTCCTTTTTGCCATCTTTCAAATGTTGTGTAATCTATTTGATTCTCGGCAACAAATGAAATTGCCACGGAGAGCTTTAGTGAAGATATACTTCATTTTAACTGATCAAATCCATTAACTTGAAAAAAGGCAAAAAGGAGGGAAAATTAAAAAAAGGTGGGTTGAGATCGGAAGTTGAGTGGTGTGTCCGAGTGGACCAATTTGCAGAGCCGAAGATCGTGGGTTCGAATCCCGCTCGTAACACTGACTTTTTTATCTCAACTAAAAACCTTATTTAATTGAAAATATAACTTTCATTTTTCAATGAGATCATGCTAATCAGGACATAAATAACCGTTTATAAAAATATATAATTTGATGAACAAACAAAAGTTTGCAATCAATTTATTAATATTTAATAATATAATTTATAATTTTTATGATATTTATGGTAACCTAGACGCATAAATAACTATTTTGTTCTACTGGTTCCAGTGGTACAGTGTTGACAAACAAGACAACCAAAAATTAACAGACAGTGGTAGGTTAGAAATGACAATTTTATCATAATTTGTAAATTTAAAATTTTTATGGATATAATTAATAATTTAGTATTATATTTACGCTTATAGGGGCACTTATAAATAGTTATGTATTTCATTACATTTTCTTGACAAAAGAAAAAACCTAAAATTTGCTAATAATGACTAGTCAGAAATGGTAATTTATCCTCAATTGGTAATATTTAAATTTGTATGAATATAATTAATAATTTTTTAGATATTTATGCTAGTCTGGAAGCATAAATATTTTCTTCCAGTAGTACTTTGTTGGGAAAAGAGAAAACCTGTAATTCGCAGACAGTGACAGGTTAGAAATTACATTTTTTGCCATAATTGTGTAAATTTTTATGGATATAATTTATAATTTTCTATGCTAATCAAGACGCAAAAATAACGACTTTGTTTGATTTACATTTTGTTGTCAAAAGAGGAAAACCGAAATTTTTACGTAATGACTAGTTCGAAGCGGCAATTTCCCATCAAACTTTTAGGTTTAAAATTTCGACAGTATGATTTATAAATTTCTATTTTGTTTAATTTCTAATCGGGACTGTATTTTGTTGACAAAAGCTGTTAAAATTTGCACGTAATGACAGGTTAGAAATGGCAATTTCCGCCAAATTTATCAACCTAGAATTTTTATGACAACTTACAGTTTATTATGATATTTGTGATAATCAAGAAACATAAATTATAATTTTTTTGATAGTTTGTTGATAAAAGAGAAAACATAAAATTTGAATATATTGAGCTGTTTGAAATGACATCATCCTCCCAATTTGTTAAGTTCAAATTTTCATATAAAATATACTTTTCTATTATATTACTGCTAATTGGAAAACATAAGTAACGCCTGTTTTAGGTACGTTTTGTTGACAAATCAGAAAAAATAGAATTTTCACGTAATGATACTTACGAAATTGCAATTTTCAACCAATTTGTAAGACATTTATATATCTATATATTAAATTGAGAATTTTTGTTAAAGTTATGTAATAAAAATACATAAATAACAACTTTGTCTAGTTAAATTAGAGTTCGTGGTCCGATTGACCAAATAACTTCTTTCAATTTATTAATCTTTATGTAAGGATAAAGGTTGAGATAAAAAAGTTGAAAAATGGCAAAAAGGAGGGAAAATTCAAAAGGGGGTGGGTTGAGATGGGAAGTTGGTGTTCGAAGACGATCGAAGTCACGATAGCTCAAGTGGTTAGAGCAGCGGCGAATTGAGGTCGTGGGTTCGAATCCCGCTCGTGACACTGACTTTTTTATCTCAACCAACACCTTACGTAAAGATTAATTAATGTATATAATTTAAAATTGTTATGATAAGTTTACTAATTGAAATGTAAATAATCAGTTTGTACTATTTCAAATGAATGTAAAACAACGTAAAATATTTCTTTTAGTCATGCTCACGCTGTTTAGCAGAAAAGACCAACCCAAAAAGATATTAAAAAAACAAAAAACATTGCAAATACATAAACAAAAGATGTTTTTGGTATTAAAAAAATGTTGGGTAAACATTATTTTGTTATAATTTATGTTTTTAATATATATTACTCTATTTATATTTACCGCTTTGTCGACCGTCGCCCCGGGCTTCAATCGGACGTTCACCCATCTCTTGTTAACTACTTCCACACGATCAACCAAACCCCGCATAAGATAGCTATAAATAAAAATTGTGTTTGACAATAAATAAATAATTTATTAGGTACTAAACTTACTCGTTGTGAAATTCTTTCCATGTTATTTCATGATGGCCCATTTCGAAAAATGCAATGCTTCCGATGAAACCGGCCAAGCCGCAGATCCCGTAGAGGACGATTTTCTGAGGGCCAGATTTTCGAAAATCGGGGCTTGGCCTGAAACAAATGAGCAATTGAGTAAGCTGTGTTTCAATTATGTAATGGGTTTTAACTAGATTTTTTTAAGGAATCGCCAGCACCCAGCCAGTTTTAAATTTTTAAATTTAGAACGATTTTCGATCAAAAAAATAGTTTCCAGCTAAGTCGCTTGACTGGTCTATCTAAGGTCTGTGTGGTGGTGAACCTGTAGCTTAGTCGTTTCTTATCATTTTGGTCTGAAAGTCGTTGACTGTCAGCACGGAGAAAATAGACCAAAATGAACCAAAACGACCGAGGTAATTAACTAATCTCACCTCGTTCCTCCAAACATCCCAAAACTCCATTGTTGCGAGGACGCTTTACTTTGCCTCGTCGGTCTAGTACGGAAAGAAGATGTGCTTCTTCTTTGTTCTGACTGATCGCCCTTGTTCCTATTGATATCCGTGGACTTTGATTTTTGCTGAGCTTGCTTGCTATTTCTGTTCTTGAAGTACTTTTCGAAACCTCGCGGTGTATTTTCACAATAAACGATTATGTTCTGTCGCAGCTGCAGAGCAAATTGTGTCAACCATGTTTTCAGAGAATTTTGCGCCATTTTCTATGATGTATAGAAAGTTTTAATGAGTGTCCTAAAATGAATATTTCAAAAACGCTTTATGAATTACTAATTGCGAATGGAAAGTTATACATGATGTTTGTATATGTAGTGGAATCGGATAACATTGTGAGGAAATTTTTCAAAAAATCTCTTCTTTAACCGTGTTCGTATAAATTAGAATATTTAAAAAAACTACTTACATCAGAAATCGGTGTCGGAAATATTTGTGTGCATTTAACAACAAACTCTGATTTCCAAGGGTGGAAAACATGGGATAGCCTCTTTGCGACAGAGCTGACGATCCTAGACATTAGTACATCTTATCATTTTCCCCGATCATTTTTTCGCTAGTTTGTGTCTACCTGGAGTGCTTTAAGTGTAAGCTCAGAGGCTTCGGTTGTATTTTAAGTGCCTTGAATAAATTTTGTTTCCATTTTGACTCACTAATTTAACAACTGGTTCAAATCTTTTTAAACATTTTTTTGTTACATCTGTTCTTCTGGAAATAAATATTTCGTGGGATGATAGTTTGATATCTAGAAGTGAAGAATAATTTGATTTTGCTGTTTTGAGATTACAATGAAACTTTTAATTTTAATTTTATAACCTATAATTTTTTATAAAGGGAAAGTTATAATTATTCAATCTACGAGTGTTTCCCTGTGCATGACGATGTTTACCAATCGGTCGATAGATAAAATGTTTCATTGACATTACTAACATATATTTACAATTTATTTACAAGTAATATAGGCATAAAGATAGTCAATGGCCATAGCTGACTGACGAGTTTCTATTATATTTAATTTGTAAAGTAGTAAATTATTATCAATATTTTGGTTAGAGTTGTTGCTCGGTGTTAGTCTGCTAGTCGGGAACTCATGCTGAACGGCACTAGCTCACTTATTGGATTCGACTTTACTCGAGGGTTTGTTGAACTACTCAAACGCGTTTCGTCATCGCGCCTTCTTCAGTGAGTAACTCATGAACTCTCGAACTCGGTGAACACATGCTAAACCGGAACTGGCTCCTGATTGGGTCCGTCATACCTCGGGGGTTTGAGCAGTTCAACAAACGAAGCGAGTAAAGACGGACCCAGTAAGCGTCCCAGTGCCGGTTAGCATGAATATTTTCTTTATGATCGTATAGAGTGGGATTAATCAGGCAGAAAATAACTAGATTTTTATCACCCTTTTATTCATTTCACAGACGTTCGGACAGTTTTGCTCGTTTTTCAGTGTTTGCAACAAGATGTTGACAAAATTTGTCAAAATAAAATTTAAAAATCTAGAAAAAAAGACCAACTTCCTTCATTATTTTTTTCAAACGGTTCTTCTTTAATATTTAACTCTTCTACACGTGACACAAATGTTCTAAGACAATTAAATACACATTCAATGAATGAATGAATAAACATTAAAAAAAACAAAAACTTATACATTGTTTCTTTACTTTTGTGGTCCGCTTGACCAATTAATACTTTACAATTAATTAAGGTTTTTAGTTGAGATGAAAAAAAGGAGGGAAAACTCATAAGGTGGGGTTGAGATGGGGAGTTGATGTCCGAGTGGATCGAGGTCACGATAGCTCAGGTGGTAGAACAGTGGCGTATCTAGCCGAAGGTTGTGGGTTCGAATCCCTCTCGTGCCATTAACTTTTTTTCATCTCAACTAAAAACCTTAATTACTTATACATTGTGTTACATAACATTCATTAAGCAGGGGAAGTGGCGGGGCACTTTTACTTCCTATTTCAAAATTTTTTCCTATCAACGCACCTAGTCCTAGTTTGTTATTATTTTTAATTAATCAAACAAGAAAATAGTGGGAAAAATCTTCTTAAAAAACCCACTAGGTATCAAATAGGATGACAATTAACAAATGAATTAACAAAAATGTGTTAACAAAAATAAAAATAAATAAATGAGAATAACAAGAACAATGCTACGCGGGTAATTGAATTATCACAAATTGTCTTATAGTATCACAGCTCTAGAGGAAACAATAAATATATCACAGATCCTAAATTTATGTGTTGTGCCTAATCCTTCTATGTTTCCAAGGAAAGTTTACATCATACACTCCTACGTCCCTACAAGTAGTGTTCTTGCTGGAGGAGAGACCAATAAAGAAATTCCTGGACAGACGTTTTAATTCGGAATTAATATATTCCACTCCCGCTTTCTCATGGAGGAGGCCAATTCTGGTGTATCGAGGTAGTGAGGTTATAAGCCTTAGAAATTTATTTTGGACCACTTGCAGTTTTTTGATGTTCGATTCGCACGTGTAACTCCATGCTGGGCAAGCATACAGCAGCATAGGTTTAATATATAGTTTAATATATATATATATATATATATAGTTTATATATAATTAGTTTATTTTCAAAGCTCATTCTACTCTCACGGGCCATCAGCGGAAATAAGGCTTTTATAGCTATTTTACCTTTCGTTACTATATTGTTTATATGCCGAGAGAAGTTAAGTTTTCGGTCCAGAGTTAGAGCCAAGTACTTTACCCCCCATGCCATTCGATTTTGTGTCCGTGAATGGAAATGGTTTCCTTGAATATTGGGCGTCGTTTTGTGAAAAAATATGGCCTCAGTTTTCGGGACATTAATTCTGAGTTTCCAGCGGTGACAAAACCTGCAAATTCTGGTGATGCTGTCATTTAATCTTTTCACAATTGTCTTAGGCCTCCAGGATGAACAATAGAGAGCAATGTCATCCGCATAAAGCGCAATTTTGCAATTTCTCAGTGAGGGGAGTGGATTTATAAAAAAGAGGAATAAGCATGGCCCTAGGATTGAACCTTGGGGAACTCCGGCGGCAATTGGGAAAGGTCTGGAAGTTTCATTGTTTAGGGAAACACGGAAACAACGGTTTTTTAAGTAGGCCATGACAACTTTTATAAGATATCCAGGGAAATTCATTTCAATGAGCCTGTATACTATACCGTCCTGCCAGACCGAATCAAAGGCCTTCTCCATGTCTAAGAGGACCATCCCAGTATGTTTTTTGTTGTTGAACATGTTGGTCACATGATCTACTACTCCAGTGAGTTGGGTGGCCGTAGAGAGGCCCGGTCTAAAGCCGTGCTGCTCATCTATGATAATGCTATTAGCATTAATGTGTAGGTAAAGACGGTGCTGATGCACGTTTCAAATATCTTACTAATTGCACTCAACAGGCTAATGGGTCTATAACTTGAGGGATTCTCGGCAGGCTTTTTGGGTTTTTTAATAAAAATAAGGTTCGCTGTCTTCCAGTTTTGAGGAAAATACCCAAGGAAGAACATCGATTAAACAAGTAAACTAAGAAAACCAGAGCTTTTTTTTGGAATGTGGAAACTATTAAAACGATCACTTAATCTAATGTAAGTTTGGAAGGACTCAAGAATTCTCGATATACTGCTGAGACCCCACCCCTACATCTATGCTAAAATTAAAAATCCTTTGGGAGGTTTGGAAGGATGACAAGGTGAACACACTACATTCTTGCTAATATATACATTAATACAGAGTAAAAATCACGCATTCACTCTCCCAATTAAGCTAATTGGTTCGACAGGTTGTGTGATACTCGATATTCCGAGACTAAGTCCATACAGACTTAACCACTTATGCAAATAAATGCATTCACCAAGATTTCGGTAGTACACGAGTGATTACCTATCACACTTCAAATACATATAAAACCAAATATCCTAGACAATTTTGATGTGCCAGTGAGTACTCGATATTCCATCACAATCACTCACAACCAACTCAAAAGTTCACGCTAATAAATATATTTGTACGTAGTAAAAATCACGCATTAATTATCCTAATTAACTTCATCGGTTGGAAAGGTCTGTGTGGTACTCGATATTCCGAGAACGAGTTCGTACACGCTTAACGCTAATAAATACATTCACCACGATTTTGGTAGTACACCAGTGATTACCTCCCGATCACTCTTCAAATACATATAAAACCAAATATATCCTAGACAACTTTGATGTGTCTCTGGGTGCTCGATGTTTTGTCACAATTGCACCCAAACAACTTCAAAGTTCACGGTAATAAATACATTCAAGGTAAGACTATCATTGGACTATACATTCCAAGCAAATTTGTTGAGGAAATATATCAGATCAATGCCATGGTTTTAAAAATGGTATTTGTTTACTAAAGCTAATCTTTATGTAAGTATTTCTACTCTCTTAATCTAAAAATTATTATGATAGAAAACATGCAACAAAAAGTGAAATAAAAAAAATGATTATAGGAAGATATTTACAAATAAGTATACAACCTAGACTACTTTGATGTTACAATGGGTACTAGATATTCCATCATAATCACAACCAAACATTCTCCAAAGTAAGAATATTATGGGAATACATATTCCAGGCCAAAATATGTTATTTTTATCGAATAATAAAGTTTATTTAAAGAAAATATATACCAATTTTATTAATAGTTTTTTGTATTTTTACTATCGACTTTCATGTCCTGTTAGAACATATTAGGGAAATAATCTTTAAGCAGTCTATTTAGCGTTGAACAACCAAAACATTATTTTCAGAAAATCAAACGTTTAACATAACGATAACTTGTGAAAGGAAGCTTAATCGACCTCTTTTGTACAGTACCCTTTTCATGTGAGTTGAGAAGTTCTTTTGTTTTGCCAAGGGATTTTTCTACCAGAGCCCTAACTTCATTATCGACAAGTTGAACTCTGTGTTCAGTGTAAGGTTTCACGAAAATGGTTTCACCGCGTTCTGCTAATGTCCGAAGCTCTTGGCTTAGCTTACTCTATAAGTAAGCCGTTGTTGACAACCTCGAACAAAGGTATTCAGAAAAAACTATAATTAAACGTCAGTTATAATAAAACTATAAATTTCTTAATTTTTTATCTAATTTTGCATCATAATATCAGTAATTTGATCACGTTAACATTATTTACTCACTGTAAACTCTTATTTATTTTTTCTAAATACCTAAAATGATTTACAAATATATTGAAAGAAATGTGTATAATAAATATAAATTTAACCATTTTTTATTTATTTAAAACTTGTCTCAGCTATTTTCTTTTTTATTTGTAAGTTTTAATACACACCAAGTGTCTTCTTGAGCTCAAAAGCCTTATGCATATGACATATTTTGGTATACTTTGAGAAAATAAAGCGTGTTTTTACAGATGTTATTTCGTTTCATAGGAAAGCTAATGTTAATTTAAGCATTTATAATAGTTTAATCTAAGAATTATTATAATGAAAACCAAGGAACAAAAAGGGAAAGTAAAAAACAAAACAAAAATGATACAGAGGAAGATATTTACAAATGTGTGGTGATTAGTGACCGTTAATCGATAATTATTCAGAAATCGTGAGATGCGTTCTGGTGTGATGTAGGTTTCAGAAAAACATTTTCTTTATCGTGCCAACGTTTATGTAAATCCCAGGCCCTGAAGATGATCTCAATAAAGATCGAAACG